GCAAGAGAGGGACGCATGAGACGACGCGCAGGGCATGGTGGAGAGTGCCACAACGTCATAGAAGGGCAGGTTGGGACCCCGGGGCACAGCGCCGAGGAAGCCAAAATAAAAACCAGTGCCAACACAATCCAGCCACGAATCCCGTACTTTAATTACATCTACATTAAATGGTTGTATCGTGAATAAATCTTACGGCATATTAATATTGAAACATGTCGCAGCCCCAGCGAACTACGCCAGCGAGGTGTCATTTCCGCGATTGAACTCGACGCGCAGCGATGCTCCATCGGTCGAGCAAGACGCTGCAGGACAATGGCGTCATCCTCGAGGACGACGCCGAAAACGAGAAGGCGCCCGACGACGCGCCCAAGGCCGTCGCCAAGCAGGCCTCCGACCACTCGCTCCTGACGCGCGAGGAGCTCGAAGCACTCGAGCCTCCACCAGGCCCTCGAACAGCCTCGTTTGCCGAGCCGCCGCCGAGCCCTGGTGGCCGCGCACGGTCACGCAGCACGAATGACATACATGCACCGAGCCCGCGGCCGCCTGCGCGCAGCAACAGCCACACGCTCGAGACCTCGAGCGCGACCGACGAAGCGCCGTTCCTAGGCCTTCCGCCCTCGTCCGACAAGCGCGCGGAGGTCAAAGCGCGCAAGCCGTTTCTCATGAAGAGTCGGTCGAGTGGGCAATGGCTCGCGGCCGCTGCCAAGCTCAAGAAGAAGCGCACGTCGGGTATCGCCGAAAAGGCCAAGGACGACAAAGAAGCAAGCACGACGCCGACGTCCAAGTCGCTGGCCGACGTGGCCAAGAAGGTTGTCGCGTCGCGTCGCGCGGCCAACTCGTTTAAGTCCATGTGGCCCAAAGACCATCCGAGCAGCGGCAGCTTTACGACCATCCACGGGCTCCACCTCGAGAAGAAGAAGCTCGACTTGCGCATTCTCAACGCGCAGTACAAGGAGGTCAAGCGCTCGGAGTTTTACGAAGAGCTCGTCGTCTACTGCGTCTTCCTTCTCCTCTTTTTCCAGCTGCTCAGCGGCCTCCCGTTCCACGGCTCGTTCCAGCAGAGCGACGTGACGGTCGACTTGACGTGCAGTGTGCCCGAGGTCTGCTCGGTCTCGTCGCCCGATGGCATTTACAACTTTGCGAAGCACTTGCAGTCGCGCATCTGCCACGCGCCGGCCGCGGCGTCGCCAACGACGTTCCAGACCTGGACGCGCGTCGGCGGCGTCCGCTTCCGCCAGATCCGCGTCAAGCCTCAAAAGTGCGCGCTGGGCTTTCTCCACGACGACAAGCAGACGTGCTACCCCGAGTTTGACGAGGAGCTCGAGGAGAAGGCGGCGCTGCTCGGCGTTAACCGCACGTACGTGTGGCACAACGACTTTGAGCCGCTCATTCCGGGTCAAAACTCACGCTTTACAACCACGTCGTACGGCACCGGGGGGTACGCAGTCGACCTCTGCGACATTGGCGACGTCGAGGAGCTCGAGGCCGACAGCTACCTCGACATGGCGACCCGCGCCGTCTCGCTCGAGTTTGTGGTTGTGAACCCGTCGACACACGTGTTTACGATCGCGTCCCATGAGTTTGTCATTCGCCCGTCCGGCCACCTTGAGCAGTACTCGCAAAGTGCGAGCATCCGCGTGCTCGGCCTCGATGACTCGCCGACGGTGCTCTCGTCGTGGCTGTGGTGGTGCGACGCGCAGTACCTTCTCTTGCTCGCGGTGGTTGGCTTTGTGGGCACGTACCTGCGCGGCGAGATTTCCGAGATTGTCAAGATGGGCATCACGTCGTACTTGACGCTCGACGGCTGGAACCTCTTTGAGATGGCGCATTTGCTGGCTGTCATTTGCACGGTGTTTCATATCTTTGTCTACTTTGGCCAGTGCCGGGCGACGATCCGAGCTGTCCACGGCGTGGACGACAATGACGGCGACGTCCTCGAAGTCCACACGCACATGCTCATGCTTCTCGACACGTTTCTCTCGCTGAGCGACTATGCGGCGCTCAGCTCGGCGTTTTCGCTCCTTAAAGTGTTCAAGTTTTTGCGCATGAACTCGACGTTGAACTTGCTCTGGCAAGTGCTCGGCATGGCGCTCCGCGACCTCATGGGGTACCTCGTCATCTTCCAGCTCATCTTCCTCTCGTACTCGACCATGGGCTCGTACGCGTTTGGCTTTGACCTCGAGGAATTCTCGACCATCTCCAAGAGCTACGGCACGTGCTTCCACATGCTGGCCGGCGACTTTCCGTACGACCGCCTCCAGCAGGCCAACCCGCGCTTGGCGCCGTTCTTCTTTGTGACGTTCGTCGTGCTCGTGCTGCAAATCATGGTCAACATGTTTGTCGCGATTCTCTCCGAGTACTATGACAACGCCAAGGGCGTCGGCGCGGACGAAGACGACGTCGAGTACGATATCATTACGCGCGCCAAGGAGTTTATGAGCTCGTGCTCGCCGTCGGTCGAGCTCAAGAACCGCGAGAGCATCGTGCTCCGGCCCAACCAAACCGTACGGCTCATCTCGACCAACCTCGTCGATAAGGAGCTCAAGCGCCAGCGCGCGAAGAAGCTCTTCCGCGGCGCTGTCTGGCGCGTCGTCGCGCTCCTCCGGTTTGGCGTCAAGTTTGACACGCGGCTGGACTTTGACCGGTCGAAGGCGCCGGCGCCGTCGCACGACCCGAACCGCATGACGTACATTCCGCTCTCGGAGAACTTCGACCACGCGACCATCAAGACGCTGCTGCCCAAAGGCATCACGATCCGGTTCACGGGCGACTCGATCCTTGGCCAAGATTTGCTCTTGCGGGTCGTCGACCACAACAGCTTGTCGGTCTCGTGCGTGGTGCTCAGTCACGACGATGACGACGACGACGTCATGGAACTCGCGGGCGGCGAGACGCTGCGGCTCCCGATGCGCCTCTTTGGCATCCACGTGCTGCGCATTCTGCTGAGCGAACTCCGCGCGGCGATTCTGCGCGCGACCAAGTGGTGGGACCCGTACGAGGCGCACTTGGTCGACGACTACCACTTGTACCAACTCCTCAAGGACGAGCGTGAGCGGGGCAAGACGACCTTGCGCTTTGACGAGCTCTCGCGCCTTCTGGATCTGTACCTCCGGAAGGAAAAGCGCAACGGCGAAATCGACCAAGCCCACGTGAAGCGGGAGACGGCGCTGGTCATGTACCGGTTCCGCAACTCGCTCATCGATATGCCGTCGCGCGAGAAGGAAGGTCACGAGTACATTCCCAACCCGATCGACACGAGCATGGTCGAGGTACATGGTGTCTTTTTGTGTGTCCACAGGTGGTGACGGGTGTGATCTATAGCTCGGACCCAACTTGCTTGCGCTCGGCGAAGCCATGGCCGAGAACGTCCACGATATTTGGGCGATCGAGCGCATCGAGCAAGGCTGGAGCTGGGGCCCGCGCCGCGACGATACGCTCAAGACCCACCCGAATTTGATCCCGTACGCAGAAATGTCGGAAGACGAGCAGAGCTACGACGTGCGCACGTCGATGGAGACGATCAAGACGATCATCGCGATGAAGTACACGATCGTGCGCGCGCTCAAGTGGGCGCGCAGCCTCATGCACTCGTCGAGCAACGTCTCGAGCTCGTCGAGTGGCGACAAGGGCATCCCGCTCGCGTCGTCGCCGAAAGCCAGTACGCTCGTCAAGTCGTTTTCGCTTCGGGACGTGTCGCATACCATCAAGTATGGCAACGAGGGCCAGGTGCGCAATCGATATCCTGTGGATTGTCCAGTTGATAGATTGATGATATGTTAGGTGTACACGCCGCGACCCGTCGACACGTCGCAGGTCGTCTTTCCGCAGGGCCTCAAGCGACTCATGGATTTGCTGGCGGAAAACGCGCACGAGGTGTGGTCCAAAGGCCGCATGGACGACGGCTGGACGTACGGCCAAGCGCGCAACGACAAGCTCAAGAAGCACGTGTGCCTCGTGCCGTACGTCTTTCTCACGGACGCCGAGAAGGACTATGACATCAAAACGGCCGAAGCGACGCTCAAGATGCTCTACGCTCTTGGGTACCACATTGTCGACTCGAACGGCGTCGCGCTCTCGTAGGATAGTATCCAATGGTATAGATAGGATCTGGATTGCTCGTAATTGCATCCGACTCGATAGTCATAGATATGCATGCCCTTGACACATAGTATATCTGCTTTCTTGGCGTCTTTGGACACGCAAGCGACGTGGCGACTGGAGGATCTATCTATCTACTACAGTATCTACTATCTATCCATCTACCTACCGTTACTCTTGTGCTGGCCTTCAATTCGTGTCCTGTCCTGTCCACGCCAGGGCTCCAATGAGCCATCATTCCTGGCTGTCAAAAAGCAGAAGAGGAGTGCCGGGATCATCTCGCGGTACATTTGGCTCATGAGCATCGAGCCGAAGAGCGAGGGAAGCGTCTGGAAAGCTCTAGCTGATAGAGCTAGCGTCCACACTGCATCGCAGCGATGCAGAAGCCGCTGCGTTGCGCCAACGTCGCATGGAGCGAATTTCTAATACTATTTATGCAGCACTTGTTAGATCAGCTATAAGGCCGTTCTCTATTTTCAACTATCGCATTGGGTTTGTGTCTCCAAAAGTCAAAACGACTGCTGCATCTCTGCAAGACACTGTTATTGTACAATATGTAGTCACACCTGTGGTGACATTAGCGTTACAGACAGGCGTGACTTCGACAAGGTATAACACCGTGTTGGAGAACGCTACAGATCGCGAGCGATGCTCTAGCTGATAGAGCTAGCGTCCAATATGTCCTGTACTGGTACTCCCGGTACTAGTATTTCGGTATGAGGTAATCGTAGGAGAGGCTGATCGCGTGGTCCACCCAAGTCTCCACGTGCTGCATGGAAAAGTGTCTCAAATATGACCGAGTGCGATGGCATTTCTCAATTGACCACCTTGGCGCCAGAATGACCGCCTTTGTCGCCGCAATGGGCCCAAACACTTCAAGAACTTCGTTATTTCGGGCATCGATGCTACCCCTTGGCTACCTTCTCATGGCGGCCGCCGCGATCGCCACGTACGCTGTGCTCTCGATCGGGCCGGTCGAGTTCGTCGCGAGCCCGCCTCCCTACGGCCTCAACGCATGCACAGCGTGCGGTCTGCGCCTGTCGGTCCTGTGCCCAACGTCGCTCTTCGCGCACCTCGAGGTCTCCATGCAGTTTTGCAGCACGCTGGCTCCAGCTCCGTGCTGCTGTCCCACGAGAATCTCTCGAAGCACCTCGGACTATGACGGATTCTGCCCGCGACGCGACGCGGAGACGTGCCAATGCACTTTTAGAGAAGTACCCGAGGACCACGTGATCAACGACATCACGGTTAAGTGGAAGGCCAGCCTCGCCACCATCTTTGTCCTCGCGTCTTTCTCGGTTTGGATGTACCGCGCCCTCTCTTTGTTTCGTGATAACCCAAAACAACAGGCGCCCACGACGTAGATCGGACAACATGCAGAAATCATTTTCATTATCCCACGTACACAAGACGTCGATGCTATCGACAGGACTTGAACCCACACCGCTTTCTCCCAGAATGCCCCATGAGAATACCCGTGGTAGCGCCATGGACGCACACAAATCCTCGACAGCGGATTTAACAGAGCGTAATCTCACTGGATGGTAACGATTGACGACGCCATGTCGCTGCCTTCGGCACCAGACGCCGCTGAATCGTTGTGTGAGCAACACGGACCTTTTCGATGCTTAAACACATGCATTATGTACACAAAATTCGTATCCAGGATAGTAGACAAGGGCAATCTGGATAGGAATAGATACTATCCGACGACGACGAGAACGGTCTCAGACCTTGGCCCGCAAGGCGAAATCGGCCGCGTCCAGCGACGCGAGATCCATGAGCGTCATCATGCTCTGGTACATCGGGTCGCGGGCGGTAATGCTGTACGTGGCGAACTCGGTTTCTTGAAAGGCGTTGACAAAAGGCGTGTCGCCCGAGAGGAGCGCGATCGCTGCGTCCATGCGAAACCACGCGATCGACCGGACCTCGGGCGACAGGCCGTGCTTGGCCTCGGTCTCCATGGCCCAAAAGTCGCCGGTCGCCAGCGCCAGCGCAAACGCGTCACGCTTCGCTGCGAGGTTGGCGTTGATCTCGTTCACCAGCGTATCAAGCTGCAGCCATGCATTCTCGGTTGCGAGCGCCGCAAAGTTGTGCATGCGGTACCGACGGCCCTTGACGATGCGCGTCTCCTTGGTGCTCACCCAGTGCAGACGCGCAGTCTCGGGCACTTGAATACCGAGTAGCTCTTCGCGCAGCTCCCGCAGCGCCGTCGCCCGGAGGCTCTCGTCGCTCATGTCCTTTTGGCCGCCAGGAAACTTCCACTCGCCAGGGTACCGCATGAGCACGGTCGTCGTCGGCGTGGACCGCAGCCAGTTCTTGACCTCGCTCTGCGCAAGGAGCACGTCCCACTTGTTGCTGGCGTCGGCAGTCGTCGATGGCCGAAGACACACGACGGTCGCCGCATCCACGAGCTGCACCATCGTTCGCCGGAGGGCAATCTCGATCACCGCCGACGGCTAGGAATAGTGTGACCATACCGGAATAGTGTTGTAGAAAATGAAGGATGGAAGTCGAGGCGTCATCCGTGTCGCGCGATCGCATGACATTCTGTGCAATTCTCAAACTTGAAAAATGCATCAAAGTCTTCCATTGTGCTTCCGTCGTGTAGATAGGTAGTTGCTCAAAAACGCAGTACGAGTCCGCTTTGGTGCTAGCGTCGATCTCGCCGTTGCCGTCCATGTTGTTATGAGAGCGCGAATCGATGCCACCGTCGTTGACAACATGAACATCACTGACAAAGACCTTGCTCGGATCGATGACTCGTTGCTCGTCAGTGCAGCTTGTGTTGCCGGGCATGCTTCCAAGCACGCCGACGTCGTCATCGTCGCACCAGTGCCTTCCACCGATGCGCTCGAGACAGGCTGCACCGCCGAGGTGGCGCCCTCCGGTGGTGGTGTAGCAAAGAGCATTGACCGGAGTGCATCTTCCGTGAAGGCAAGCATTTGCAATTTGCGGGGTTGCGGGGCCGCGTCGACAGCCGCCAATGCCCGCTCGCGCGCATTCTGTTGATATGTCATCGCTCTCTTCAGCACAGCGACATGGCTCGCGAACCGGCGCCGCACCTGTCGAACAAGAAGCGCAAGATCCTCTTGTGCGCCACAAAGTTGCTGTCAACTTGGGTCGACCATCACAGCAGCGTCGCTCGACCGGTTCAGCAACGCAACATGCACAGATGAGACAATGACGGGCTTTTCTGTGGGCTTTGACATCCCGACTTTACAGAGCATTGAGAGCACGTCCTTGTGAAATCCGTGCTTGTTGTATTGATACAGGGAAATCCAAACGCCCCTTCTCGAGCGCCGTTGCCTCCATCTGGGGCGGCCGTTCGCTGACCCGCCTTGATGACAACGTTGCTACTAGGGGGATTCACGTCGCGTTGTGTTGGAGTGCGCTCTGTGGTCGACGGGCGCAACGCCGCCATGGCGTTTTGCTGGACATGCGTACCAAGATTTCATCTCGGCGCGATCCAGCCATCTGATTCGCGCACAGGAACTCGATGTCACTCCCAATTGGTAGATTTTGCATCAAAACCCCTCACAATGCATGTAATCAAAGATACATTACTGGAGGTTGGCGGGTCAATCTTCGGACTTCTTGACATGATAATAATACCGGTAGGGCCTACCGTGGTAGAGACTCGGTGAGATGACAGCAACACTAATTTTGGCAAGTAAAAGCGCTCTCGGTACATTCTCCTTCTTCCAGCAAGCACCGATGTGCGATGCGTCCCGCGCGGAAGAGAGTATGCTATTACACTATCTCATGTATGCACACTATTCAACGTTGAAATGCGCGCGTCGGATTGGCTGTTATGGCGCGAAAGATCAATTATTGGCGAATCAAACGCAGGCTTACGGCCGTTCAAAATTTGATTGGCTGCGCCGGAAACCAGTCAAGCACCGAGCAAATTCATTTCGAGAGACTGCGTCATGAGCTCGCAGCGCGGCAACGTCAAGAAGGGTGCGCCCAAGCACCAGAACACGTTCGCGTTCAAGCACAACCCGAAGAGTAAGAAGACGGAGCACATTCTCGGCCTCCCGATCCATGGCCTCTGCCCGCACTGCCACGAGCAGATCGTCTGGCGCAAGAAGTACCGCAAGTACCGCCCGCTCACGCAGCCCGGCAACTGGTAGGCCTCATCAACTTGCATGCCATCGATGGCTCATGTGTCCTATAGTACCGAATGCCGCCAGAAGACCGTCACGGCCGCGTACCACACGTTGTGCCAGCCGTGCGCCAAGGCCAAGGGCGTCTGCGCCAAGTGCTGCAAGGCCGACGAGCTGGTCCTGAGCGAGAAGCAGTTGGCCGACCAGCGCAAGGAGGACGAGAAGGAGTTTGAAGAGTCGCTCGACGGCATGAAGGAGCGCGAGCGCCGAAAGGTCCTGCGCGAGAAGAAGAAGCAGGAGGAAGAGGAAAAGGCGGCGGCCAAGGCAGCGCGCCGCCTCGCACTCGGCCTCGACCCGATCGACCCGAACGACGACGACTTGGATGGCATGAGCGACTACCTCTCCGACTAAGATCGTAGTGCGGATGACGCCACTTTACTAACCTACACAAACAATTCGCGAAGTACATTGTTCGATGTCGTCTGACTTCGCCGGCGTCGTCCTGGCGTCAGTGATGACGTCCTGCGCAGCAACAGCGGTATCGGTCCGTCCTCAAGCGCCCTCCGTCCGAGGTATCAGCAAAAGGACCCTTGTCCAACTTGCTCATTGCAGCACGAAATAAGTTCAGCTTGCAGCGAATTGTTACCTAATTCGTGCCTGATGCACCACCTCGTTCGGACAGTTCAGACATAGAGTCGTATTTCATCAAGATAATAAAATAAATACAGACGCATTTGTATTGAGATCCAGCGCGTTCTTTTTTCAAGCAATTTAATTTGATAATAAAAACGCAGGCGAAGCAGTTGAAGGTAAATTATTTTGCCCCACGTCGCCGAAAGTATACAAACATCTAGTAGAACGCACCGCACACGACATTAAAATACACCGGCAACCCATCTGCACCCAGACGCAGCGACGTATTGCGGCTTGGCGCTTTAGCATGACCGACCTCATCGGGCCGGAGCGCATGGCCAAGACCCGAAGCAGCTCCTCGGACGATGACGGCTCCGAACCCATGACACCGCCCAGCGACGACAAGGACGAGAGCTCTTCGACCGCCGAGTACCAGCTGGACCTCGAGCTCGGGACGCCGACGACGCCGCCGCCGCCGTCGACCCGCGCGGCCTCGGCCGAGTCGGACTCGCGTACCGAGCTCTCGGTAAGCACGCCTATGGAAGCGGACGAGGCCCGCGATGCGATCTCGTTCCATATTGAGAGCACACGCGTCGTCAAGAAGCAGCTCCTGCCGTCCTGCCTCTTCCGCGCAGCCGTTCACGTCGGGCGACGCGCATCCTGGCACATTCACTTTGGTCAGAAGGAGCTTCTGCGGCTTCATGCATGCATGACAATCTACCTCCTCTGGAAGAAGCGCACGTTTGTACATTTGCCGCTCACGCTCCTCATGGAGAAGCGGGCGGCGACGCGCGCGCTCGACAAGGACGTGGTCGAAGGCTACATCCAGCGCTTGCTGGCGATTCCCGAAGCGCTGCAGTGCGAAATGTTTCTGAGCTTTCTCGAAATGAGCCCGCTGCGATTACAAGGCAACCCGCGCTGGAAGTCGATGAAGGAGGGCTACGTGCACATGAAGATCAACGGCGCGGAGCAGATTCCGTTCCAGAAATTCTGCTCTCGCCGGCTCGAGAAGATCTACCGCCACTCGTACCGCATCCTGCTGCGCATCGCGTTCGTCTCGTGCGTGCTCTTCATCATCTGGCCCGTCCTCCTCTTCCTCATCGTCGCCTTCCAGAACGAAGACCTCCTCGCCACGATGCAAAACGGCGTCAACGACTTTTTCGGGCACGCGGGCCTCCCACTCTGGTTTGTGATTGCGCTTGTGCTCGGGCTCCTCGCCTTTGGCGTCGGCTTCATCTACAAGTACTTTGAGCGGCGCCTCGGTACCGTCCGGCGCTGGGCCGTGCTCAAGCCGACGTGTATCGCGTTCTACAAGAGCCGCGCCGACCTCGAGGCGAGCGAAGTCTTTCTCTTTGACACGCGCTTCAAGGCCGTCGAGGGCAACTACCGCCAAGGCACGTCGTGGATGGCCAACGGCCTCACCGTGCGCAACAAGGGCGGGTACGTCGAGGTCGACTGCGGCCACTACTACACGCGCATCCTCTCGGTGCTCGCGCTTGCACTGGCGTTTCTGAGCGTCATTGCCATCTCGCAGTCGGGGTTTGACTTTAAACCGATCGCGTACGCCGAGACCGCCGCCGACCCCGCGACGTTCAACTCGACCATCTGCGGGTTTGCGTTCAAGGCCAACACGAGCTACTTTGAGCGCAACCTGGGCTTGAGCGGCAACATTTACCGCTTCCGCGTCGAAGAAAACAGCCACGACAGCGCCGCCCAGCTCGTCAGCAACAAGGCCTTTACCATCGACGAAGGTACGACGCCACAACGAATCGAACAAACGTTCGATCGAACCTCCTCTGCGCGTAGGGCTGCAAGGCGCCAAGCTCGGACCGCAATGGCTCGGCAACTACGAGTCCAAGCACCGATATGTGGGCATCTTCAAAAAGTACGACCCCAAAATCGACGTGCTTCGTGCCGTGACGAGCATGTCGCTGCCGCCGTTTCCCGACACGCGCTTTGTGGGCCTCCAAAGCTCGTCCAGCATTGACGGCGACGATGTGCTCATCTCGCTCTCCAACACGACGTGCATCATGCCGATCGAGTTTTCCAACGTGACGGCCGCCACGATCGGCTACGTCGTCGCGTCCCTCCTGCTCGGAAGCGTGATCGCGTCGACGGTCGGTATCTTTTGCAACTACATCATCTCGTACCTCGGCCTCTGGCACGCCCACGTGCGCCGCGACATTTGGCTCTCGCTCCTCCGCGACCTGCCGATGCGGCCCAAGAACCACCGGTATCTCTCGTTTGCGCCCCAGCGCTCGGAGGGTACACTTGATACCTTGATATCGTTTGATACGACGATTGGATGTGGTAGGCTTTGTCAAGTGGCACGTCGACGGCGAAGACACGTACGAAGCCATGATGCACGCGATCTTGAACGCGACGACGCAGATCCTGATTGCTGGCTGGTGGGTCTGCCCCGACTTGCTGCTCCAGCGCCCCAAGCCCGGCCGAGAGGGTCCTGGTCCGAGCTTGAAAGACCTCTTGCTGCAGAAGGCTGAGGCCGGCGTCATGATCCACGTGCTCATCTACCGCGAGGTGCGCGTCGCGATGGACCTCGGGTCGTACTACGCGATGAAGTCGCTCATGCGGCACCGCAACGTCCGCGTGCTGCGGGACCCGGACTTCCAAGTGCAGTTTCTCGGCTTCTGGAGCCACCACGAGAAGATCGTGTGCGTCGACACTACGACCGCGTTTGTCGGCGGTCTCGACTTGGCGTTTGGCCGGTTTGACACACCGGCGCACGTGCTCTCGGACCCAGGGCCGCCCGAGTGCCAGCGCTGGCCGGGCAAAGACTACTCGAACCCGATCATCAAGGACTTTGTGCATGTCGACCGACCGTTTGAAGACCTCGTGGACCGCGAGTCGGTGCCGCGCATGCCGTGGCACGACGTGCACTGCTCGCTCCAAGGCGAGGCCGTCCTTGACGTCGCCTTGCACTTCATCGAGCGCTGGAACTTTGTGTGCGCCAAGAAGGACAGCGCGCTCCGCACGGATTGGTGCGTCTGCTTTCGGACGCGCCGGTTCAAGTTTTTACCCAAGAGCATCGTACCGCTCGACGCGCCAGCGTCCCCACCGAAGGGCGCGGAAGCGTACCAGCCGTGTGCGCTGCAGGTGCTGCGGTCCGTCTCGCAGTGGTCGGCAGGCGTCCCGACCGAGGCCAGCATCCACACGGCGTACTGCGAGACGATCCGCGCCGCGCAGCACTACGTGTACCTCGAGAACCAATTCTTCATCTCGGGTCTCCAAGGCAACAGCATGGTGCTGAACCGGATTGTCCAAGCGCTCGTGGACCGCATTGCGCTGGCGGTCGCGCACCACCAAGTGTTTCGCGTCTACGTGGTCATGCCGCTTTTGCCGGCGCTCGAAGGCAACATCCAGAGCAAGCAGTCGCTGACGCACTTGCATGCGATCATGCACTGGCAGTACGAGACGATCCGGACGTCGCTCATGGACGCCCTCGCCCACATTACGCTCGTGCCGCACGAGTACGTGATGTTTTTGGCCTGCGCACGTTTGGGATCATGCCCAACGGCCGGCTCGTGACGGAGCAGATCTACATCCACTCGAAAGTTTTGATTGCGGACGATCGCGTCGTCGTCATGGGCAGCGCCAACATCAACGACCGCAGCATGAACGGCGACCGCGACTCGGAGATTGCGATCGTCATGGAGGACACGACGTTTACGCTCGGGCGTTTGAACGACGAGCCGTACCGGCAAGGGACGCTCGCAACCGCGCTCCGGCAGCAGCTCTTCCGGGAGCACCTCGGCCTCTCGCCGACCGACAACTCGACGCTGGACCCGGCGTGCGCCTCTACGTGGCACTTTATCCAGCGGCGCGCCAATGCCAACACGCGTGTGTTTGAAAACGTCTTTCACTGCGCGCCCTCGGACGAGTTGCGGTCGTTTGATGCGTTTGAAGCGACGTGGACGCAGCTGGACGCGGTCTTTGAGAACCAGCGGCTCAACCCGCTCCGGGGCCGGCACGCGTGGGACGCCCAGAACCTCAAGTCCGACGACTATGCGCCGTGGACCGACATCAACGGCGTGCCCGTGCCGCTCGAGAAGATCCAGCTCTCGGAGTTTACGCTCGTGAGCGACCACAGCTTCCCGATGCTCTCGGACGACGACGACAAGTGGTACTATGCGCGCAACTTTAAAATCTTTCAAGACATGCGCCTCGTGCCCGCCCACGCGGTGCGGCGGCGCGACAAGCTCCAGCACTTTATGGCGGACCGACTCCTCGCCCAAGTCCGCCGTCGCAAATACGTCCGGACGTCGGCGCTGCTCTTGCACGACGACGACTGCGCGGTCCTGCACTCGTCGCGGTCGCTCGCGGACGATGACGAGACGACGTTTTACGGCAAGTGGCGGCAGTGGACGAAGGCGTCGAATTGGACCCATCGCGGCCGCAAGTCGACGATGGACCAGGCCGACGACGCGGTCTTGCAGACGACAGACACGGACGTGGCGATGGCGACGATCCCGGCGCGCCACAGCGAGAGCGACGTGCCGTGGACGGACCCGCACCCAAAGAAGATCCTTCGGCGCTCCGAGACGGACTTTGCCCGGAAGGCCAGCAGCCTCTTCCTCCCCTTTTTGCACAAGGGCGAGTCGTCGCAGCAGCACCATCTGTACCATGACGACGACGCGATGGAGATGCGCCCGGCGCGGTCGTGGCTGCCGTTTTTGCATCCGAGCGATAGCGTCGACGACGGCAGCCAGCTCTTACTGCAGTCGCCGTCGGTCTCGGTGCAGTCGGAGCAGGCCGAAGCGCAGCTCGGGAACGTGCAAACCAACGCGAGCGTGCCCGTGACGGAGGAGATGGACGCGAAATTCCAGCTCTCGGCGATCCAAGGCCACCTCGTCGTCTTCCCGCTCGAGTTTCTCGTCGACGAGAAGCTCCGGCCGCCCATCTTGCCGCCGTACCTCCATATTTAAGCCGGTCATACATGATGATGATCTTGTGTTGTGCACAGTAGATATTTGTCGGCGCCAAAAACATGTTTATAACTAATTAGTTAGTAGTACTATAAGATAGGGTTGCGAGCATCATAAATAGGAACAAAAGCGCTCAGAGGAACGCGCGCTGGACGCTGCGCTTGACCGTCTTCTTGGTCGACGCCTTGCCAGCCTTGCGCTTCTTGATCATGGTCTTCTTCTTGGTACATAACGGGCGGTGCTTCGTAGCGCCTCGGCGCGGCGAGAGCAAGTTGAAGGCCTCGAGGTACATGCTGAGACCCATCGTCGGCTCGTCCTCGCTCGTGCAGTCGCTCGTTGAGAGCATCTCGAGCGTCGTCGGCGGACAGTACATGGCGAGCCCGCTCGTCGACGTGAAGAACGCCGTCGGGATGTACACGTCGCTCGCCTCGTCGTCGCTCCATGTCGGGTCGAGAACGAGGCTTGTCGCTGCTTGGTCGTTGGCGTCCATGGCATGCAGGCGCATGCGCTCCTCGATGAGCGTCGGGACCATGCAGTCGACCTCGTTGGGCTGGAGCATGCTGGTCGGAAGATGGAATTTGGGAAATGGACGAGGCGACGTCACCGCATTGCCAACGCCGTGCAATCTTCCAGCGAGATCGCCCGCCGATTGGCTGCATTTTTGGCGACTTCACCGACCAATCCCCGCGCAGTGTCGATGGAAACCTATTGCAGGATCTACCGCATACCGTTGGGACGCCATGAGCTTCTATGACGCGGCAAAAGCCTGGACCTGAGAAGCTACTGAGCCGACTGGATCGACTGCAGCAGCGAGAAGGCACGGCTCATTGCGGCGACCCTTCACTGCCAAAATCAACAAAGAAGGACGTGGGACAAACCATGCTAGAGCTTCTTCAAGGTTGCACCGAGAAGCTGCTTGAGGCGCGCTTGCGAGCTCCTGGAGATGGTTCAAAGTGTACGATGGCCTTGCGTCCGTCAGCCATTGTCTCCGGACACCGGTTCAAAGTCATGGTGATGGCAAAAATGCAGTGTACCCCATACAAAGTTGAAGACAACTCCGGGAACCCAGAAGCAGGTGCGAGCCACTACCTTCCTTCAGATCTCAACCGCAACTCAATCGGTGAGTCTTCTCGCCAATCAACGCTGTCGACAATGCAATTCCACATTGAACTTTCACAAACTGCCCAAGGCGACTAGAAGTGTGCTGCTGTGCACACCAGGCGTCAGGGTTCCTAAAGCACTGGTCGAACACGATGGACTCCTCGGACCACGAACCGCCCGCTGGAGCGAGACATGGAGATTGCTTCCGTCACGTCGTCGACGGCGCACTATTTTTCCAATGTTCCAAGATCGACCCAAGCGGCGCACGCATTCTTTTCGCCCTTTCGCTTTCAACACCACATTTTGCCCAGAACGTGCGCAATGGACGTTCTCTTATCGCAGGATGTCGCGCTGCTCGTGTTTGCATTTCTGGCGCCCGCGGACCTCCTCGTTGTCGAGCGCACCTGCGCCCGGTTCCGCGACTGGGGACCGAAAGACATCCACTGGCGGCGCGCCTATGCTGCCATGTACCCGCGCTCCCATCTTCGGCCAAGCGAATCCGCGTCGTCGTGGCGCCACGTGTATGTGACAAAACGTGAGCTGCTGCGCGCGTGGCGAGGGGGCGTACCCCGTCGCATTGCGTCGTTTAGCGCCCATAGCGACGGCGTCAACGCGATCGCGGCGCAGAAATTGCACGGACCATCGAGTAACCTCTACGCCACGTGCGCCTTTGATCGGCTCGTCAAAGTCTGGCGCAAACCAACGTCATTGAAAGGCACCGAGCCAACGAGCCCCCTCATGACCTTGGCTGGACACCAGGTAACGTACTACTCGACACAATCTCGAAAATGTCGTCAACGGGTGGATGTGTTAGCACGCTGTCTGGTCGCTCGCGTGGTCGCCACACCCGAACGAGCTCTTCAGTGCGTCGTTTGACAGCACGGTTCGCTGCTGGGATGTCGAGACGGGTCAGAACGTCCGCGTCCTCGAGGCCGACGCCGATCGGCTCTTGAGCATGACGATTGAAGCGTCGACGGTGTGGACCGGGTCGCTTAAAGGCGAGTTGCTGCAGTGGACGCGAGCAACGCCTAATGCAATCGCCCACCGAGTCCAGTGCATGACCCCGTGCATTTCAGCGATGGCCAAGCACGGGCATCGGCTCTACATTGGTGGCGTCAAGGTACTCACTTCCGTCCTTTCACGGTGTCGCTTTTTTCCTTGACGGAGCTAAATGTTAGGATATTGAGGTGTGGGACGAGCGGCGGCTTCAAACCCCAATCGCGCTTCTCGTCGGTCACGACCAAGCCATCATGGACGTGGCGCTGCTCAACGACGTCAGGAAATACGAGCACGTCCGGGTCTCAAACTTGTAAATAGGATCGTGTCATCACGGCCAGCAAAGATAGCTCGCTCAAGATCTGGGACGCGTCCGGGATCCATCGCCACGCATTGTTTGATGTCCCGAACGCCCATACCACAGCGGTGCGATCGATCGCGGTAGGCAAACCTCTATATTACAATGCAGCGTATCTATGTTTTCTGACAGGTCTGCGACGACAGCGTTGCCACGTCATCGAACGACTCGACGGTGGCGCTGTGGCAGGTTGGGCCCAAGACAGGCTTGAGAAAGCGAGAGACGTTGCACGTGCATACGAAGCAAGTCCCGTCTGTCGATGTCGACGAACGCTCCTTGTACACGGCGTCCTGCGACAGCAGCGTCACGATCCACGACTTGGTTGTTGCGCCCGTCGCTTAAGTCACCCACGTTGCACTCTGCTCCTTTCCACACGTGATATTAATACGATGCCATTACACTAGGAGTCGTTGGCAGCACCACATTGCAAGACTCGAGCCTCGCGGGTTTGCATGCAGTGCTTTTCAAGTCTTTTCCAAGGAGGACATAGGACAATCGCAAACAACAGATACATTATGGGAGGGTGGGTATTTAAAACGACTTGCCGAGCAGCGACTGCTTGAAGTTGTCAATGATGGCCGGCACGACCTCGGGTTCGGCGAGCGTCGAGACGTCGCCGATCGAGTCTTCTTCGCCGTGCGCGATCTTGCGCAGAATGCGGCGCATGATCTTGCCCGAGCGCGTCTTGGGAAGACCCGGCACAAACACAATGATGTCGGGCGTCGCAAACGCACCAATGTGCCCGCGCACTTGCTGCGCGAGCTCCTTCATGACGCTCGCCGACCCGTCGACGCCGTGGATGAGCGTGATGTAGCAGCAGATGCCCTCGCCCTTGACGCGGTGCGGGAACCCGACGACCGCCGCCTCGGTCACCACGTTGTGCGCGACGAGCGCCGACTCGACCTCGGCCGTGCCGATGCGGTGGCCCGACGTACTCAGCACGTCGTCGATGCGGCCGGTGATCCAGTAGTAGCCGTCCGCGTCGCGGCGCGCGCCGTCGCCCGTGAAGTAGTGTCCCGGGTGCGGCATCGTGTACACGCTGAGGTACCGGTGGTGGTCGCCGTACACCGTGCGCGCGAGGCCCGGCCACGAGTCCTTGATGCACAGGCGGCCTTCCACGTTGCCGCCGACGAGCTCCTTGCCGGCGTCGTCGAGGATCGCAAAGTCAATGCCAAAGAACGGCAGGCCGCACGACCCCGCCTTCATGGGCGCCGCCCCCGGAAGACCGACGCCAATGTGGCCGCCCGTCTCCGTCTGCCAGTACGTGTCGGCGATCATGCACTGCTTGTCGCCAACGACCTCAAAGTACCACTTCCATGCTTCCGGGTTGATGGGCTCGCCGACGGTCCCGAGCACCTTGAGCGACGACCGGTCGTATTTTTTGACAAACTCGGTGCCATGCGCCATGAGCGCGCGGATCGCCGTCGGCGCCGTGTAGAATTTCGTGATCTTGTAGCGCTCGACGAGGTCCCAGTACCGGCCGCAGTCGGGGTACATGGGCGTCGACTCGAACATGACGGTCGTCGCGCCGTTGACGAGCGGGCCATAGACAATGTACGAGTGGCCGGTGATCCAGCCGCAGTCGGCGACGCACGCGTAGACGTCGTCTTCTTGGAGGTCGAACGTGTACTTGCACGTCGTCGCCGCGTACGTGAGGTACCCGCCGGTCGTGTGCGCGACGCCCTTCGGCTTGCCCGTCGACCCGGACGTGTACAGAATGAACATGAGGTCTTCCGAGTCCATCCACTCGGCCGGGCAGTACGGGCGCATGAGCGGAAGCACCTTGGTCATGTCGACGTCGATCTTGGGGTGGAACGGAACCTTCGGGTTGTTGGTGCGCTTGAAGACAAAGACGTTCTTGACCACGTGCACGCCGTGGATGGCTTCGTCGACGGTCTTCTTGAGCGGCAGCGTGCGGCCGCCGCGCTTGCCTTCGTCGGCCGTGAAGACCCACTACAGAATACGAGGGTCCATGAGTACTCATTGTGCAAGGAGATAGCACATGCGACGTACCTTGCTCTGCGCGTCAATGATGCGGTCGCGGAGGGCTTCGGCGCTGAAACCGGCAAAGACGATGCTGTGGACGGCGCCGATACGCGTGCACGCAAGCATGACCATGATGCACTCGGGGATCATGGGCATGTAGATGGCCACCGTGTCGCCCTTGCGCACACCGTGGGCCAGCATGGCGTTGGCGATCTGGCACGTCTCGGCCAGCAGCTCCTTGTACGTGATGCGGCGGTGGACGCCCGGCTCGTCCGACTCCCACAAGATCGCCGTCTTGTCGCCGCGGGTCGCAATGTGGCGGTCGATGCAGTTGGTGCTGACGTTGAGCTTGCCATTGAGGAACCACGCAACGTCGCCCTTCTCAAAGCCGCCGTACTTGGCCATGTCGAAATCGTGGAACCACGTGAGCGCCTCACGGGCCTTCTCGCCCCAAAAAGCCTCCGGGTTCTCAATGCTGCGCTTGTACTCCTTCTCGTACGCGGCCATGCCCTGGACATGCGCGCCCTTGGCCACGCGCGGGATGACGTCGTACATGGCAGGCGCCGGTGCAGCAGCCTTGGTCGATGTGGCCGGCGCCGGTGCAGCGACCTTGGTCTGGGCGGGCGGCGCCGGCGCAGCGGCCTTGGTCGAGATGGCTGGCGACGGCGCAGCGGTCTTCGTCTTGGGCTGCTCGGTCTGGTGCAGGGTCATGGGGCCAAGAACGCTAATTTCGAAATGGCGAGCGGAGAGGTTTTGGTGCGCCTCGAAGTTCGAAGGTGGAAAGTCGTATTTCCGAGCCGATTTTTTACGTGTGTACTTGAGGTTGTATGCAACGTCGAATAAAAATACGATCAGGTTGGGCCAGCTGGAGTGTCCGTTCGAATGTTTATCAAAAGCGTCTCTTTCCGACCTAATTAGGCGCATAGGCCTTCATTGACACCTTGGGAAGCTAATTGCACGCAACGTTGGTGCAGGGGCTCGGCGCCTTCGGCAAGCGGCTTAAGAGGAATGATGGTGGACGCCCGCAACTTCAAGCCGCGCAGTCGATGGTGTATGATGGCGGAAGGCGGATTGCGTGCAAGGTCGGACGGTCGTATACCACGAACCCGTTCTGCAACCTGAGAATATACCCACTTGAGCATCCCAAGGCACCTCTTGCCTGTTGGATTGGTGCGTTGCTGTGGACACCAACAATGCCCAGAAGCGTGGTGTGATCCGACCACTCTGCGAGCTCACTCGGCTCCGGTTGACGAGCTCATTCGGCTCCCGTTGGGGCTGGTTGTGGTTGCTGTATTCTGTGGCGGCAGTTGTGTTGCCACCAGACAGGTCTATAGCCGCACGCCATTCTGGCTCGTTCGTCTGTGGATCAATGCAGCCTGGGTCGACTGAGCTGGTGCACTGCCGCCTCCTCTTCCAAGGAGCAGGCACGGGGCGGCGTCTGGTCGGCTCGTGCTTCGCGCCGATCGAGTGCGCGGAAGCTACTCAGCGTTCGTTGCGTGTGGCAAGCCTCTCCAGGTGGCGTCGAAATTCGGTCTTTTATTCTCTTGGGTGATGGATCGAGACGATCTCGAGAAGTACATTGGACTTGGCGAGTCCGACGAAGGCTCGGAGCGTGGTACCCCTACGCAAACCCCACCGTGGTGTTTGTGAAAATAGACCGTGCAATTCCCACATCCCCATCATTTCCTACAATTACCAAGCTAGCCGACCAGATGATGTGCTGGAAAGACGTGTTAAATCACGGTGCAACGCACCGAGGATTTGTCCTTGGCGAGTCAAGTCGAAGTAGGACCCACGTCATCGTCGAACGCTGCGCGCCCAGAGTGGCGCGATCGCGAACACGAGCGAAGTTGAACGTCGCCGCCGATCTGGTTCACGTTCCAGGGCTGGTAGTAGCTACGTTAGCCCTTCATGCTCGCCGGTACCGCTTGCTTGTCCTTTGCTTCAAGGATCATCTCGGTGGGAACCGTCGATGTGGGACACGCGTGCGCCACGAGGGTAGCACCTCGATTGGTGTGAGCGGCTGCTGACGACACCACCGGCGTCGCGAAACGTCATGCCTGCGACGGCCATTGAAACTCGCGTCGGCGTGTTGATGCAAGCACCTCGGCAGTTGCCGCGCGATGTGCATGTGCAGTTGCATGAAGGAGTCGATCGTCCTCGGCCGCATTTCATTCGGCGATCCATCTCCAGCTCACTAGTAGCCACACGCAGCGCTTTGTTCGAGAAGGCACCGTAGCTCGCAGCCGTGTGCCCGAAGTAGCTCGTGGACCTGTAGCAGTGCGGGCGAATTCGGTCCATCGTTTTTTTGTGGCCGATGATTATTCACACGTGACTCACGACAGCGCCGTCGACGCAATCGCAGGGACGCTGCTTCGTTTGGCAAACATGTTTTAAACACATCGGGTGGGAATGTGACACTGCGACGCACTATGCAACGTCAGCACCGCTCGCAGAGTTTTAAACAGCAATTAGCGCACTGTGATTGGTGGAGATGAGATACACCCAGGCGTCTGATTGGTGGAGAGTCGCGATGTCGACGTCGTGGCGCGGATCACGTCGCCTCAGCGTGGCCATCGAAGAACGCCGTGTCGACCCACCTCACAAGCAGCATTGGTTGTCGGTTAACGATCAGCAGTGAGAGATTCCAGAGAGGTGGCCTAGCTCTTGTTCAGCGCGTGTAAAAGCTGGCAGCGATCGGCACAAAATTAAGTTCAACGTCGGACATGCGGCACGGGAAGACTCGACAAGGCCCACCACGCAAGCTGCTGCTTTGCCATGAGAGTTTCTGGTGATTCCTACCTTGTTCGTTTGACGAGAGAGTTCGTGATTTGTAGAGTCATCGCTTGCCACTGCGAGTGAGGTGTGTACGCACTTGATGTCGCAGGCAGGGTTTGCACTTCGCAGTCACAGAGTGCTGGCATGGAACTGTCAGCGTTCAGTCGCTCTGGGTACTATGCTCAAATCCTATGCCCAAGGAGCCTCGTCGCAAGTCGAATCTGGGCGCTCGGTACGCCAGTATTTTATGGGTCGAAGGGACATACCTACCAATGCAAACGCAATCCGACCTCCGCGATCGCCAACTTTGTCTTGCCTCCAATTTGCGCCAACGTTGAGCTGCAGGTTCATCGCGCGACAAGCTGGTCCATCAGATTCTGTCGGTGCTTTGTTGTATGCAGCGTTGTTGTTGGAATGAGTTGACAACTTACTTTTCTATAGAACCTACACTGTAGAGGTTTGTTTAGGTGCTCGCGTGGCAATGCTGGTTGCGTCGTCAGCTCGGCTAATGTTACGTTTGCGACCTTACTAAGGGGACGAGGTACCTGGCACACCATGAATCATCACCACACTGTGCTGTGCCCTGTACCGGCCTCGAACCATGCAAGTCACGACGTGGCGGTGGACCAAGTGTCGGAGGTACAGCCCCACGTTAAGCGAGGGTTTGATCGCAATGATCGCCCGAACGCATGCACCAAAGATACCGCTACACTTCTAGTCGGGCTCGTCGCACAGGAGACCGTAGCGGTCGGGGCAGTGCACGCTGGTGCACCGGTACGGCCTTCAGCCAATCAAGACATGGTTAACGTCGGTAGTCGACGCGTCGGTTGGCTCCGGGCACGTGCCTCAGCCCGAGTTTTGTTGCAATAAGGGATCAAACATGCACAATGCCGACATCAGCGTGATGGATTACGGCACTATCAGCATCATTTCTATCCAGAAAATCCTGACTTGCTTGGTCTACCAGGTATGACTCGCATTACGACGCGACGCAAAAAGATTTTTTGCGATTTCGTTTGGCGCCAAAAAACGTGACTCTGCAATTGCTGTTGAAACGCATGTGTAGTTCCAGTTCCTTGACTTACGGGTACCTTGTGCTACTCCATGGAGCTCTCCATGGTGCTGCACTAGCGTTACCATCGATGATTGTGTAAGCGTATGTGCTTCGTTTGCACACTCGCAGTTGTGCGTCCGCCTAAAAACGCAGCTACACTAAGTGCTCTCTTCTGATTGGTTGACTACCAACGGTACCCGAGGCTGTGATTGGCCACCGATGAGAGGCGGTCAAAAAGTATCAAGATCGAGTCAGCCACAAAGTGGCGATGCGCAGACTGGGAACCAGATCCACACGCGTTTGCCGCGTGGCACACTGGAGCAAACCGCGACTGAATACACAGTACTAGTACATGAAGGCACCCATTGTCCTCAGCAGCGCAACGCGTATCACTCAAGCGATTGGAGGCGAGATGATTGCGTCGCGTGTGGCGCTCCAGTTTTGATCACTTTTGATATGCTCACGTATTTATAGTGGATTCCTTTTGCTGTTACGCATTCGTTGCAAAGATCCCGCTCAACGCAGTCGCCTTCCGTGCGTCTGGTCAAGCATCGTCCTTACCTGCTTCCCGAGAAGCCACGCCTGCCGTGAGGAGCTGCGAGGAGCCATAGGGTCGAGATGGGCAGTTTTACCCCTGCCATGTATATTTAACGTGTGGTCGGAGTGCGTTAAAGTAGGGTGCGTAATGGGGACTGCGATTTGGGCCATCACCAGAGGCACGACGCACGCGTTTTGTAATTTGAGCAATTTTGAAGCCGATGCGTCCGTACACAACCCCTTTCCTAACCCTCCCTTTCCTCTGTCTCTCTTTCCTCTTCGCCAGACGCGCCGATGTAGGATGCAGTAGTGGTCGTTGTACAGTACTGCTCGTTCTGGCATACATGTCCGTCCCCAGCGCCGACCTCGTCGCTTCTACGGCGCCGGCAGCGGGTGGAGATGGCGCGTGACCGCGGACGGCCCACAAACAGTGCAATTGCAGTAGCCTGGCCGGCCTGTCACGGATTGGCTACGTATCCGGACGCCTTTTTATGCAAGTATGGCGCTTTCCATACAAAACCCTCTATAAAGATTAAAACGTGTTGAAAAATGCCGGCATGACTAACGCCTCGCCAATCCGGATAAGCCGCGCGTCGAACCTTTGTTTGATGATGGACGGGCCGCACTCGCATCATTCTTTGACCCTTGGCACTGCCAGCGCATGATGTCGTCGTCGGTTGCTCCTCGCCGCCCGTCGTCGCCTCGCCTCCGCGCGCTCTCGTCCTCGTCCAGCATCAGCGACGAGCGCGAGGCTGTGGCCGTGCGCCGAGCCAACAGCGCGGCCAAGCTCGCGGTCGTGACGCCGGACCGCTGCAAAGGCTGCCTCCGCCTCTTCTCCAAGATGCTCACGACTAAGCAGTGCTTCCGCGTACGTTCAGTCCTGCCTCGATGATGTGTGCGCATATATCTGATCGATCGACGTGTGTGTCTAGTGCAAGAACTATGTGTGCGCGCTCTGCGTCTTCAAGGTGCCCATGTTCCATGGCGAGAAGGGCAAGCTGCCCAAGCACTCGCTCCACGCACGGCTCTGCGCATCGTGCTACGACGAAAGCATCCTTCGCGACAATAGCACCAACAGCGCAAGCAGCCAGCCCGAGATGAGCCCGCCGTCCGGACGCGACACCAATGGCAGCCTCTTTGACGACGACGCCTGCGACTGCGCGCCGGCATCAACCATCGTCGTCGCGGGGCCGAGCGGCACGGCGTCGCTCTGGCTCTCTCTCGTCACGGGCTCGCTCATGCTCGGCGCCGTGCTCCTCGAGTCGACCGACTTTCATGTCCGCGCCGGCAGCCTCGTCGGCTTGTACGTGGTCTTTGTCGTCATCCATCCGCTCTGGAAGTCGCCATCGACGCCGCTATCCGCGCAGCTACCACCTCGACGAAAGCCCAAGGCGACGCGCGACCCGAGCGAGACTGCGTCCTCGGACGACGAAGACGAGCCATCGATTAACATGGATGCTGTCCTGCTCGCCAAGAAGGAGTGGCTCGAAGCCCGCTGGAGCGAGCTCACGTCGGAGCAAGCGGCATGGGTCAAGAACGAGTCCAAGTCGACGGCAAGCGTCACGCTCTCGGAGCTCGACTGCGGCGACGACATGCCCGTGTGCATCAAGGTCGAGGCGTTTGTGCCCAACACGAGCGCCGACGAAATACTCTCGTTCATCGGCAACCCCGACCCGAAAGAGCGCATCAAGTGGGATTCCCACATGGCCGGTATCTCGTGTTGTTTCAATCTATCAACGCCATTCTGATCCAATGAGTGTAGCGCACACGGTTGTCGAGAGCGTCGAGTGGCCGGCGACCGCCCAGTCCGGTCGCGTCGTGCACAACGTGCAGAAGAGTCACGGCATGGGCCTCGTGCCGTCGCGGGACTTTGTCTTGCTCGCGCTGCGCAAGTCGCCCACGATCTACGTCCAAGGCAGCCTCGAGCACCCGAGCGTGCCGGACCGACCCGGCAGCGTCCGTGGACTGCTCCACATTCTCGGCTTCGAGTGCGTGCAAACTGACGACGGCGTCCACTTGACGTACATCAACCACGTCGACATCAAAGGCTCGTTGCCGCGCAAGCTCGTGGCCAACGGCACGTGCGACAACATGGTGAGGCTCATGACGACCGCCATCCACGCCAAGAAGAAGTGGCTCGTCTAAATTGCCAAGTTGCTGTTGACAACAAGCCCGTCTGAATGTATGTAGAAAGTCCTATTTTAGCCACATGTTGTGTTCAATGTCGCCGCGGATGCGACGAGACTGTCGGTGGTCGCGTGGCAGCATGGGGAAAGCGCAGCGTCGTCATCGTTGCTGTCGCTGCGCGGTGACGACGCTGCCACAAACGACTGCAGCAACCGAGCGTCGTCATCCAGCGAGTCGGACGCGCTGCTCTGCGCCTCTTGCAAAAACGTCGAGGCGTCGCTGGGCTCAAAGTATGTATCAAACGGCGGTGGTGGGTTGTGCATCCCGTCAAGAGGCGACAACATCGTTCTTGGACTCTTCTCCGCAGGCTCGGGTGGTAAAGTACGATGCACAACTGGATCCTCGAGCTCGGGGGGTAGAGGGCGATGTAGAACATGGGTCGCAAGCTCGAGCTCGAATGGCGAGGGAACGTCCGTGGTGTGGGGCGAGGTACCCTTCGCGCTGTCGACTTGCGGCGGAGTAGTAGACTCGGAAGACAGCGCCGTATCCTCTAATGGAAGCCACATCGGCGTCTCGAACATCTCGGTGGCAAGTGACGAAGCATCTTTCAAAGCGGCGGCAACGTCACTTGTGTCATGTATCACTGCACCGTCAGCTTGCGTTGTCGCGTTCTCGTCGCCTCCAACAGTTCTCTCATCGTGCCTCAGGACCGCATCGACGAGGTCGGACACACAAGCGATGACATCGGGCGGCGGCGCCTCCAGCGTATCCAGCATCGTGAGTGCAACCACCGTCCTCGTGCCGTTGGCGTCAGCAATGGCGTGCTCCAACCGCGTCCTGTGCCCAGGTGTTTTAGCTGCAGCGCTTCGCACGGGACTGAAGATGCGCGGGGTCGGACAAGGCGTCGTGCGGCACCGGGCACTGCTGCCCGTCTAGGGAGAATGATGAATTTAGGAACGGCCAGATAGTGGCTACCTGTGGCCGTGGACGCTTTGGTGGTGTTGCCAGCGGCGACGTAGTTCCTGTTGGGCGGGCCCATGCTGTGGCCGACTGCGGTCGCCGAGCGTTGGGTGTTGGCGACGGGTCGAGAACGATTATGTCCTTGTGCAGCACGGGGCTCAAGGCCAGTAGGCGTGGCGTCGGGCACCCCGTTAGATCCACAACGTTGGGCTTCTTCGTGGGCGTCTGGTGGATGAGATACTGAGGTTCGATCGACCGAGCAAGGAAAGAAAGATTGGGACCTTGGGGGCGCGGGGGGTCGATGCACTTTTTTTTGCCGCCGGTGGCTTGGTCGGGATCGCAGGCTTTTCGGGCACATCGCACCCACCCACGTAGCCAAACGACTGCAGCAGACTCTTCCACGCACTCGGCGTGCGCCAAGGATCTGCGTCGACGGGCCCACGCTCGCCTTTATTCGTCTTTGTGGCATGCATCACCTGCACAAAAGTGGTCGGACCTCGACGGAGGTACTTGATTTACGTGGGCGAGTGTATCCAAGCGCTTCCAAAGAGCTTCTGCGCGAGGATGCTGCTTCCCGACGCTAGCGACCGTGATCTCGTACGCCTTTCGACACGCTTGGAGAGCGTCTGCCGTCTAGATATATCGCGTTCAGAGCCAAGAGGAAGCGTGTTGCCAGACCTCGTGGTGGTTCTCTTGGTGGACGCTGAAATCGTTCAGTGCGCGGCCCAGCAGCAGCGCCCACTCGTTACGCTGGCGCCGTGCGACCACCGGAGCTTGCGCCGCGACCAAAAGCACTTCAAACGTGACGCCTGCCTGAAAGCTCGTCCGGTGAGGTAGGGCGACGCAATGGTAGACGTCAGCTGCGTACCGCCGTGCGTGCGTGGAACGACCCTGCGTCCAAAAGGTGGAGTTCCGTCGAGACGGCACCAAGGCGTACGTGTGCCTGTGCAATCTCGATACGCGCCAGTAAAAGCGCGTGGTTAGGGGTTGCGTCTATGCCAACGACATTGAAATGGACGCTGATATCGCCACGTCATGTGGCACCTAAAAGCGCCAGCTCCAAGAGGCCGTAGTGGCAGTCAAGCGCCTTGTAGAGATATGACAATGCGTCTTTGCGCGCCTCTAGTCGCAACACGTCAGTGCTTTTATCAAAGAGAAAGAGTACGCTGTGCATGACACGTGGCTGCAATATCGGTCAAGAGCTCGAGCCGGCTGTGCAGCCATGCATGCCGTTGGGTAGGCGTGAGCTCGCTTCCGACATCGCCCTGCGTTGACAGCCAATGGTGCACCGCATCATGCAGGGGCAGTGCGCACTGCAGCAACCGGCGCGCTTCCGACGGCTCTAGACGTACATGACTCAAAGAAGCACCGAGAGGGACACCCACGGAGGGCTGCGTGGAGACGAGTGAGGTCCGTGAAGAACTGCGATGCCTTGAGCGCAGCCTTGACCGTAGGCCACGTTGGCGGTCGCCGCAGAAAGAGGTGTTCTTCGCGCTCGAGCAGTGCGACGAGCGCCGAGACGCACCGCGCTGCAAGCGGTCCGTCGAGGCCCATGCCGCGTCCCGAGTGTTTTGGAGCCGTTTCGTTATTGGCCAAGCGACCTGTCTACGAGCGTTTCACAAAAAAGAAAGGTTGTCTAATCAAACAGCTACAGTATGTTGTTCTTGGGGCCATCCTCGAGATGTAAGTTGTGTCGTCATCTCCGTCACCTGCTCCGTCACCATCGCCAAATCGCAGGTGCCACGGCCGACACTGTGTCCTACGTCACGACGCCGGTCCCACTTGACGCGCAAAATCCTACCAAACCAAAACCACACTGCACACCCCGAGCGCATCGCACGACCCATCGGCAAGCCCACTATCATCTTCACCAGCAATAACCCCCCGCGTCGCATCGACCAAATCCAACAAGCCACAAAATTCATCGCTGGCTCCCTTGTAGTATGTAGTATCTTGACCCACCTCAGCGACTTGGCAGGACATGCGATTGGAGACTGAACTTCAGTCTCCAATCGCATGCTCTGCACGTTATATAGTGTGTCCATCAATGATGACAAGGTCACCGCCTGGACCTGAGAGCTCTGTGCCCTGGCGGTTCATTGAGATGCCGTCATCGGATGCTGCCCAAACGCGCTCGTCAGCATCAAGGCGCTCACGGACCTCGGCGTGTTGAGCGAGCGTAGCGCGTATACACAGACATGTAGAACGCGCTTCTACGCACAACGCCCGCCCTTCGTGAGGGTCTTGATGCGATTTGTGCTTATACGGTTGTAGCATCTCAATGAAACAAGTGTCGAGTGCATCGTTACCGGCGCGTTAGATCCCAAGGAGCACACGTCACGTCGCTGGGACATCTCGCAATCAACCGGTTGCCGCCATTGCGAAAGAAGTAGGTCGCGGAGGCTGAACGACCGGATGGCAACTTGAACGGCGTGGCGCTTGAGGCACGAGCGGTGCGACGCGGTGTAGGTGTCCGTGGTCGAGCGACTTGATCGTGGCGCCGAGTTGGGACCGCCCCAAATGTCGCTCGGCTTGGATCTAGGTCGTGGCTTCGTCACGAGTCGAGCGAGCCTCAGAAACAAATCTCGCGCTCTCTGATGCACCAGTTCTCTCGCGCTAGCGTCGTTCACGCATTTAAATACGCGTGAACTTTGAGCACCAAGTAGCCACTTGGATACCCGACCGCTCGAGCCGACCGAGCAGTGCAACCTGCTCGATACGCCGCCCCGTTGCACCGTCCTCGCAATCTTGTTCGTTGCCGCGCTCGCAATACCGTATTTGATTTGGATGTACCACTCGGGTTCGTTTTAAGTTGAACTCGGCATTAAGTTTCACTTCCTCACCAATCATACTCGCGATTTGTATGTAATATGATGCAAGGGATTTGTCTAAAGTCGAGGTGAAGTCGATAGCGCCGCGTCCGTCGTTATCAGTAGCCAATCACAAGGCGTAAAACGTCGCGTAATCTGTAGCACTCGACGAGAGCACACCGGTTGATCACGGCACTGAGATCTGATCGTTCACAGATATGACACGAGTGATCGCGTCTACGTGTCATGTGCGGACGACTGTTTCGAGGTATGGTGCGTGCTTGAGCCTGCGAGAGATGGCAACGCTCACCACGACGGTGCTTTTACCTGTCGCTAGCGCCACATCGTACTCAGTTCTAGACCCCACGAATTCCTGGCTCGTCAAGCATCGCCAAGGTTGACCCTTGGCATCGCGTACCTTCGTCTGCGACTCGTTGTGGATTGTCGGACTCGGCGTCTGGACACCAACTGCTCGATACGTACAGCGAGGTAACCACGTGCAAATAGATTTTTTGAAGTAGGGCACAGTCCGAGCGGCGATGATCCCATGACGGCGATGGACAAGACTGACTGCGAGACGTGGTAGCACCCAGAGGTGTGTTTGGTGCCGCTGGCAACCTCTGCTTTAGCGAGTGTTCGGGCCGAGGCGGTCGCTGCTACCACGACCTAGACGACAATACCAGTGCGAGCTCCCGGTCGCGCTAGCACGCTACTGACATAGAGACATTAATGAGTGCCAACAAGCTTTTCGTGCTGCATTGTTGCAGTGGTCTTGTACCATTCAACGGCACTTTGCCACGAAACGTAATGACTCATTTATGTGACATCAATATTGGTTAGTTAATAGGTGTAAAATATGTTACGTGGCACTGCACAAGACGAAATCAAGAGACATTTTGCTTGGCGTCCCTTGGTCAATGGCTTGCTTGCGGTCCTTGAAGGCCGACTTGAGGTTCTTGATGCCCGGCTTGCAGTTTTGATGGCTTGGTACTCGGCTTGGTGCTGCTCGATCAGCGCCTGGATGAGAGGCATCGAGCTGCCCGGGTTCTTGTCGAGAATCGCCCTCAGGCGCGTGATCTTTTGTGTGATCGCGGCCAGCTGCCGGTACGGCCACTTTCTGTAGCCCCGCGAGCGGCAAAGCCGGATAAGCGCACCTTCGTACGAGTTGAGCTTGGCTGCCGCCTCCTTTTGTGGAAACTCAAAGAGATCACAGAGCGCCTCGTTGCTCAAATTTGCAATCGATGGGAACGTGCGTGTCATGTTGGATGAGTGAAATTGGGAAATGACACAGCTCAGTACGGACAAACCCGTGTCCGGATACCGCGGGAGGGAAGAAATGCCAAAAATTGCTTGAACATTAAATTAAGAGATAAAGATGTAGTACGGCATAAGCGAATGACACTGCTGGAAGGGCGGTCGACAGGCCTCACAAGATTCGTGGTGTCAGTCGTCAATCTGGTCGGGCACGAGCCTCCATGATTTAGACCGTCGTTTCAAGAGAATGTCTCCATTTTCACGCTGGGAAGCAGTGGTGCAATGACTCGAGCGCTGCACATAGGGAATGACCAAAGAAGTGCAAAGTGGTCGTGCGATGCTCGTTGGGATCGCGATCGGTCATTCTAAGTCGTCACTGCGTCCATTGCGATACTCAACCGCAGACAAACGCTGTGTGGGAAGATTGCTCGAGCACTTATTATCACTTTAAAAAATGAAACCAAGGTAATTAACGACATGTCCGTTCCTTGTGACGGTGTAGACACTACGCACTGTGATGCCGACACGCCTCCCCCTGCACGCCTCCCACGTCTCAATGGCAATGACGCTCATTTCGCTTCATACCACGATGCACGTACAAGCTACTTGCCGAGTTGGCCGAGCACCCAGCCAAGTTTCGAGGAGCGGCAGACGAGAGCTGCGGACGAGGGTGGTTCCCAGCTGCTGCAACATGCCGTTCAGTAGTCAGGGTGGTTTCAGCCTCTTGGCCCCTTCCTGGGCTTTACGACTTGAACGTCCTCGAAATTGAGTTAAAGGACGTCATGGTTTCAAACGCTTTCGTCCTTGGACGCGCGGGTCGTCGACCCTTGCACTGCGGCCAACGACCCTGTCACCGTTCCGACCTTTGCGCCGGACAACGCAGACGCGATTCCCAGCAATCTGACTTGTCTGCAGTGACGGGCCAAGCTGGCAGCGTCGTGGCTACGACAGTCGCGAGTACGAACAACACGGAGCTCACGGGGCCGTCTGGTTGTCGCGCCGGTGTACGTCCAGCCAAAGTGCCGATGGCTGCACAAACGAAGATACACGTATGTATTAGGTTCTGGGCGACTCTACTGTTGTGGTATAACATGGGTATTATAACCCCATAAGAAATCGTTGGGCACCTTCCAATGCTGTAGATGGAAGTTCGGGTGCTCAGCACTGTCTGTCTGCAAGTGTGTTGTGATTGTTAGGTACGTAGATAACCTCCATCCATGGACGCCACCCATCACAGTCGGGCCAGCAATATCCTGCGGCAATGCATCGTTCGTTTCAGGGTGACAGACAAAATCGAATGTCTCGACCATGGTGCGCCACATGCCAACCTGAAGTACACACGACGTTGATGGGCCGTCAACAACTGCGAGTGTCGAGGCAAATGCCGTCAACGCATCAAATTTGCCTACCTAGTCTCCTGTCCCATTGAGTCGTCCAACCAGTCTTGTGCAGAGGGCACGGCGCGAAGGTGGCGGGTACGCTTGCGCGTGCGAGTGAAGACGCAAGGGCCCGTAAGCCCTTAAAAGATGGCAGCCGGTTGCATGCATCGGATTTGGATGGAGACAGAAGGAGTTGCCGCACACAGTAGGATGGGAGGAAGGGGGTGATGGGCTAAAAAGCTTGCACGTCATACAAGCAACTTGTTGACGCGAGCAACTGCACTTCCAATTCGGTCCGAGCTGCCCGAGCCAACTAATATGACGCAGATCGGTTTATCTTGCGGTTTGTATGCATTTGCATTCTCGTGTCGTCAATCTGTCTCATCAAACAACGGATAGTGACCGCGATGGTAATATCTGCTCGGTGAACGCATTGCATTATATGCAATGCGCCCACACTATGCATACGAGTTGCGAGGCGGGTCTGGAGCACCATTTTCATAAGCATGTACTAGTACTAGTATTACTGATCCAATGTTGTTATTGAAGTGGGTCGTCTATTACTATAGATAAAACTATGCTAAATAAAATGGTCGGACTTTCTTCGTTGTGTGTACTGATTACTGATCCAATGTACTAGTACTCGCTTCGCCTTTTAACTCGACAAGCACCACCGCAACATGTATTTTTTCTAGCGTTTGCGGAATTCTGCCTCTTCTTTTTAAGCTTGGCTACTGTACAGTGTAGCCTCGTCGACAGCTCTCATTGGCAACTCTGTACTAGTAGATTTGTATGGCGGCAAGACTTCTGTCTGTTTCTCGAACTTGCCCGCGTAGCTTCCTCGACCGCACGCTGCTGTCGACCGAAGCGCATGGCAAATATTCACATGCATCCATGCGCCAGGAATTCCATAACTTGGCGGGGCCATTGGAGCGCAATGGATACGAATGGGCTCTCAATGGACGTCAGCACATATCGTCTCATCGCAGATCGACGACTCACTGGCAAGTACGCGTCCTCGCGCTGCCTCGCGTAAGCTCCAGTAGAACCACAAAGCCACGACGAAGTAATCGAACGGGGGGTTGGTGAGAGGCGTCCATGGCTTGACTTCAACTGTATTCAGCAAACCGGCGCACGTATTCGTAAATGTCCAGCTTACACAAACTTTCTTCGTATTTGAATATGGGTTCTATACCAACAAACGGTGCCTCATACGTGCAGCGGCGGCGAAACATGTGTTTCAAACACGTGCTCGAGACGACATGGTTGGCTGTGATGGCCATACGTTCAATAGCATAGTGTAACTCCCATGCGTCAGAGGTTCCCGCCACCAGGTGTTGTCGCCACCAACGACAGCCGCACGTGCTAGGATATATAGCACCGTCTTAGGAAGTTTCAAGCTCAGAGTTGCAGTCGATCCTCGGTCGTGGTGCTTTGTGGCTCATTGTGGGTAGTGGTCGAATGAAAGAAAACAAAAAGGAGGACCGAAACTCGTGGCCACTGCCTCGATGTGGCGTACATGGTGCGTGATAAATTAGGTAGAAAAACAGGCTTTCCGAGCCAGTCCTACAGTTTTTACAGCGCACTCGCGTAGGTTCTTTCTTCGTTCGTCGCTGCGACACGATCGCCCGACGAAGAATAGGGCTCATGGCGCCCACCATGCCGTTCTGTTGGCGCCAAATAAGCTCCAAATCTCCTGCTCCAAATATCCACGGGTCGTGCCTACCACGCTTACAAGCAGATTTAGCTCGTCCCAGATCCATCGTCTTGCCCTACATCGGGTCTAAGGTGCCATACAGATCGCGGTGTGGGCCAAGCGTTCGAAATATTGCCCTTCTTTCAACATCAATTACGCGTCCAGTGTTTGTGAGGAGAGAAATGCCGTGAGCAAGTGCGCTTGGCAACCAGCCAGCGTAAGAAATGGCACGTTAGTGGTGGCTACATGTACTCTTGTTCCTTATGTCGCCAATTCGGCAGAGTACATGTCTCTACATGCTTTAGGGTCGACCGAGACGATCGCAGATGCGTCATACATGGAAACGAGTTGGTCATCGTCGCCGCCGTCAATCGAAGAGAAAGTTTGTACGCGGCACTAAGGGTCGTGGTGGTGCAGAGATTGCAGGCAACCTCGCTTCGCAAAAGCTGACGCGTCAAAGGTGCTCTTCATTCACACCGACAATTCAGTGCAGCTTACCGCCCCGTGCTGGCGAGCGCTCTTTTTGCTTCGGACTACCGCGTCCGCTCGCAAAAGGAACGGGAATTGATGGGCCGGGCGCCATGTTCATCTGCCACATGACCAACATGCCACCGTGGTCACGGTGATCGCTGCCAGCGAACTTTTCTTCGATCACGAATTTTATTGGCGCTTTGAGTTCCCTCCGACCTCTTACGTCGACGAGTTTGAGCTTGGTTTCGCCCAAGATCTTCTTGAGGCAGATGACCACGACCTCGCGCAATTGAGCACCGTACCTCCTACGAGCACTTGATCAAGCGTACGTCTCCAAAATGTGCTTGGATAGGCGTAGCGTAGGTGGTGGTAACCTCGGCTCCGTCAAGCAACACCTCTCGCTGCGGTCGCTGTGGCACAATTGTAGCTGTCGGGCAACTTTATCCTCTGTGTGTGCATAGTTTCCCACGCTGTGAGAAATGTGTATTATGCGGTGGTTGGAGGGATCATTCGCGTGTGAAATGCAGGTGGTAAATAAAACCCACCAAGAGGAGATGTATGGGTTTTCGCGCCAACATCGTTGCAGTTGGCTCACTCGAGATCTGCAACGGCAAAGGGCAAGATGGCACCTACGACGACGACGCCGACATGGCCGACGCGGCCCCACGTACGTATCCTTGTGCGCCCTGCTCGAAGCGACCCATGCATGTAGAAGCAACCAGCTCGAGCATGCGCCTAGGGACACGGCGACAGCAAACTTGACCAAGGGGTCGAAGTGACGGGCCGCCGACGACGCCAATGGCTCCCACTGCAAGCAAGCCAATAAGTTCGCTTCGAAACAAGTTCTTAAGGACGATGACGACGACGATGAAGGCACGGCGTCGCCATTCTCGCCCATGAGCCCGACGATGGTTGCTAGGTCCCAGGACGCCGATGACGATATGGGGTCGCTGCCCCATGATGACGACGACGATGATGCTGAAGTGGCGTCGTTGTCGAGCCCGCCGAGTCCGAATGTCGCCACCCGGTCGCTGCTCAAGGACGACGATACCAACGACGACGACGACGACAACGTACAGCTGTAGCCAGCCCGGTGGTTGCCGCGTCGCTGCATTTTCCTTCGCCACTGCAGAATGACGCTGACATGGTGACAAGCTACTTGCCGAGCTTACACGCGCCGACGTTCGCACCAGCGCTTGCACCTCCTGCGATGGTGCGTTGACTTTTTCCATACGACTCGAGAACTGTGCATTACATGGCCCGCGACTCCATATCACCGCTCGACGCCCAAGACGCACCCGAACCGGCGAGTGTCGAGCCGTGGTACCGGGAAACGTCATGTTGCGGCTGCCTCGGAACGCGGACTTCATTGGCAACAGACTACCCCCGCGGCCCGCCACGGCCTATGTATTGAGTACCGCGTTTCTGATACTGTGGCGCCAGGCTCTTGGCGCGCGTCCCGAACTTGCGTGGAGACGACGAGACCACGTCTCTTCTGGGCGACCCGTGCTAGTGCCAACAACTGGGCCTTTGATCAAATCGTTTTCTGTGCTTTGAGCTGCACCACCAAGCTATAATAGCACCGAGATCGCAGCACCGTGACTGCGTCTTCACGCCCATTCTCTCGGTATATGTACATGGAGCACGTCACGAGATTGCTGGGATACACAGAGCGTATAAATTAGAACTAAAAGAGGCGAGAGATGGAGTTGCGTGCATCGTCATCATGCGGGCGCGGGCTTGTCGTCCGTGCCGTGGATGATCGACTGCACGAGCTTGTCGAGCATATACATGAACGCCGGGTTCTCCTTGACCCAGATGATGAAGCGCGTCGCTTGGTGTGGTGTCAAAATCGTCTGCAGTTGCGCGACTTCGGCCTCCAGCGTCTCGTTCTTCTCTTGGGTTGCAATCTCAAACGACCGGAGGATGCCGAGGTTCTTGTTGAGGTTCTCGCGGAGGTACTTGATCTTCTCGCGACGCGCAAAGATCTGGCGCTGCTGGGCCTCTGAGATGTCGAGCTCCTTGGCGAGAATCGCCCAGAGGTTGGACGGCGCTTCGTCCTGGATGTGGTCCATGTGCGCAGCTGACTCGAGCGCGACAGCCGCCTGCTTCTTCTTCATACTCACAAAGTCGCCTTGCTCGACCGAGTAGAGACACATCTTGGTGACTTGCGTCGGCAAAAGAAGGTCGCGCACACGCTGCGTATGGAACGCGATCGTCTCCTTGCGCTTGTCGCCGTAGTCGCTGTACTGCGCCTTGTACTGCTCGACGAACGTCGCCATCTCGGCCTCGCTCGCGTTCGACTTGAGCAGATGCTCCATCTTTGCTTGATCGTCGCCTTTCTTGGCGCTCGACCAAGATGGCTTCCTTCCCGATCTTCAAGCGCATCTTGAGCTCAATGTTTTCCATCTCGAGCTTCTTCAGTCGAATCTCGTTCTGCTGGATGCGCGCGAGGCGCCGCTTCCGGGACTCGCGCGCCGAGTCGCGGTTCCGCGCGAGCCGCTTGCGCTTCTTCTTGTTCAAGACATCGGACGTGCCAACGGTCGAGTTCGAGAACGCGCTGTCCTGCGACTGGTCCGAGTCCGAGCCCGAGTCCGAGTCGGACGCAAGCACGGAGTCGAGGCTGTTGCTTGTATCGCGCTTCAGGAAGGGCGGGATGCCGGACGAGATGGGCATGACCGATGGCTGGGACGACGCCGACATGTCGACCGGGTTGGGCTCGGTCAGGTCCACGAGGTCTTCGTCGGTCGGGAACGAGATGCTCTGGTCGAGCGGCGCCAAGTCGGAGGTCAGGAAGAGCCATGAGAACGCGTCTTCGTCGCGGAAGATATCGGCGGCCGTTGCCGCGGGCGCTGCGCTGGTCGTGTAGGCCGAGAGGTCGGCAAGGGGGTCTACACATACAGCCATGTCGTCTTCCATCGACGTCTCCATCTTGCGTCGATACCTGTCATGCCATTCTTCGACGACGAGGCTTCCATCGCGGTCTCTTGCTCCTTTGCCGCACCACCCGCGCTGCTCGAATTTAAATTTGACGCTCGTGGCCACTTGTTATCTTGGCCTTTGTATGCTGAACGAACGCGAAGCCGGATTACAAATGTGGCCTCTTTCGTTGCACCGAGAGAGTTGCCTCACCCTTTTTGCGACACAGTCTATTTATAAGATAGTGCTAATTTTGCAAAGAGGGAGTTACCAGTGATGGTGATGCTACGCGCGGCGCCGCCACGAGTCAGCGACATACAATGCGCAGCAGTGATGGTAGAGACCGATATGAACCAGATTGCACTTAGCTATGAAGCTCGTACTTTGATCTTGCGCCTGGTTCGCTGCTGGAAGACACGACGTGACGCGCCTAACGCGTGGCCCCAAGGCCACCGCCGTCGGCTTCAACCACGAAAGCTGGATGATGACTCGGCGACGGACCAGAAGGCCCTGGCGCGAGCAAGGGCCACACTGAGATCTTATCCTATGCCACCGTCACATGAAGCTACCAGTCGGAATGTCGTGATCACGCAAGGCCGACTCGTGGGTTGACGCGCGAGCGACAGGCCGACACTAACCTTTGACTAGACCCGACCATCACCAGATGCATTCATCCTGCTTGAGCCGTGTCGTTGCTCTCTTGATCATTGCCGCCCGCCAATGGCGGCACCACGGGCATAAAACCACTTTGCGGCACCTTTGGCACTGGTACATCGACGTCGCCTGGCAAATGGCTGACAACGACGACAGCATCGCAGATTGCAAGACAGAGTGCAGGTCGTGCACTTGGTCGGCGCCTTTGGTGAAGGTGTCAAAGAGGCCGGAAGTGTGCTTTAGAGTCGGGGTTGAAGACCGAAGTGACTAATCCATGGGATGCTCGGGTTGTGGACGGTTCCCACACGCTCAAGTCTGTGCGTCTATTGAGGTCCACTGAGGTCCTATTGGTAAACGGTCCATTCCTGTCTTTCCTTTCGCTTACCATCAAGGCCTCGGACTGTGACCGATTCCGCTCCCTGGCAACTACCAAATCGTGAAACACTAGACAGAGGGAGGCCGTACTCCCTAAACACCGGCTAGTGTACTACAAAGCAGAACGGAAAGTGACAGCTAAGCAACGTCTACAGACTGCTGTCAAAGGCTGTACAGTCCCACATCAACCGGCTTCTCCCGTAGGACTAAACATGCAAACACACATCGCCTTGTCCCGGCCTAGTGGTGTTGACGTGGGCTAGGCTCACACCCAGTGCCCCACCACTGTATGCGACCAACGGTCACACGGACTTGCTTTGATTCCACATAACTCTATTTCCGAATAACATGACAACGTCATATAGTGTTTCCGACTTGCACGCTGGGTGGGCGCAGAAGATGCAGACGCACCAGTGTGCGAACCCGCTCTGCGACGTTGAGATCAGCAACCCGTACATCCACTACTGCGACCGATGGATGTGCCAGCAGTACCGTGGCGTCATGGCGCTCTTCCCGGCGTCAGCGAGGCCGACAACGTCGCTTCAGCGCGAGGTGCCCAGAGGCGCGGCCGGCAAGCGCCCGCGCGTCCTCGACGACGACGAGGCCGAAGAGCAAGAGATGCCACGACAGCTCAAGCTCGGGCGACGCAGCAATCGCATCATCGACGATTCGGACGACTCGGGCGCGGACGACGAAATGGAGGCGCCGGTCGGGCGCATGACACGGGCAACACTTCCCGAGAAGGCGCCCAAGCCCCGCCTTCCGCCAACGGTACGAAGCAGTCGCCCGATTCCAGAGCCTCCGGCACTCGACATCGTGTGCAAGGCCGAACCGCTTGCCATCAAGGCTGAGCCCATCATTCCTGTCGCGGCGAGCGAGTTGCAGTTGACGACCAAGCGTGCCACTGCCCCGTCGCCACCGCCGCCAACATCAGCGCCAGTAGCATCCGTGTCCTCATCGTCACTTGGTATTCCAACCCCAACGCCGCTCGTCCCTGCGACACGACCTCCCGAGCGTCAGCCGTCGCCCGCGCCGGCAACGACGACTGTGCCGCCGCCGAGCGCGCCTGCTACGGTGCGCAAGCTCAACCTTCAAGAGTACCTCTCACGCGGCAAGATTTCACTGCGTACAATCCCGCCAAGTCGGTCCACTTCGGTCACAGATGCGTACAAGCCGCGCCCGAAAGCCGCGAGCATGAACGACATCTTGAGCAACGAAGAAGACGACGTGGACGACGACGCTGGCCTCGACCACAGCGAGAACGCGGCTGTCGCCCGTCCAACGCTCTGCGCCCATGGCCGCCCGACGCAAGACTTTTGCAAAGCCTGCGTCTCGGCGCGCATCGTCGCCGTCAAGCCAGAGTCGAGCGCTCTCTGCGCGCACAGCCACCTCCGCGACGTCTGCCCGATCTGCTCGATGCCGCCGGCCCGTGACCGGCGCCTGAGCGAAGCAGGGACCGCAGCGCTGTGTCCCCACGGCAGCGCCAGCGCCCGCCACTGCGCCGTGTGCCAAACCACAGCCAGCATGGAGCTTCTCGTGCTGCCGAAAGACGAGGCCGATGGTACCAGCGATGGCTGCGGGCACTTCCAGCCAGAGACAGTGCGCGGTCCGTGCCGCGTCTGCGGTGCACCGAAACCGGTTACGGCGCGGGCAAAGCGCCCGCAGCCCAACCCACCGTCGAGTCCTCTGCATGCTGCGAAACGGGTGCACGTCAAAGACGAGGTATTGCACCCGCCTGTGCATCGCGCCGTCCCAGCGCCGCCGCAGCCAGCGATCGCAGTTCCAACACCGCAGCCCAGCGCCCCACCCGTCGTCGAAGCCGCGTCTCGAGCCTCGTACCCGCCACCGGCAACGATGGCTCCTCCACGCATGGTCATCGCGATGCCGTCGCCGCCTGCAGTCGTGAGCCCGCCGACGCACCGTGCTGGGCAGAGTGCACCGGGTGCGCAGAGCGCTGCGTTTATCGATGACGACGACGACGTCATTGGACACGATAGCGACGACGACGACGACGACGACGAGCTGGACGACGGTCCAATGGATTTGCCGCCCGAGCCGCCAATCCTTGCGTACTCGGACCACGAGCTCTACACTATTATCTGGTTCTTCTCCGTCAAGCTCACGGCGCTGCTCGGGACCATGAAACAACTGCACATTGCGCATTACAACTGCCTCTCGCACTTTCGAGAGCTCATGAAGGGGGTCAAGAAGGCCAGCGTCGAGATCCAACTGCCGTTTGAGATTACGTGCGTTCGAACAAAAGGGCTCGTGCGCTTTGGGGCCCACACGTACCTTGAGCTGCCCGCGCGCAGCCTCGAGGACGCCCACCGCGCCGTGCTTCGTGAGCTCTACCTGCAAGCCACGCACTGGGCGCTTCTCAGCAAGCAAATCCAGCTCGGCAAAGTCACTTCAATGCTTAACATCCTCCCAAACGTGCGCACCATGGCGGTACGGCCCTCGCCTGCAACTTGCATTGTATGTGCGTCCTTTTGGTCTAGATGAGCACAAAGTATGCGCGACTTCCAAACGGCGACATCGAGTATATCTACGGCGTGCTGTACTTTGAGGTCGGACGTGCTACGGCAGCTCGCCTTGCGGACGCCAAAGCCGCGGCGACATTGGATGCGTGGACGCGCCTCCACCGCGTCTGCATGCACATCTCGCCCTTGTACCGGCCAGACCTCCACCTTGCAGTGCACGGCGCCGCCGCACCGAGACCCGCCCCGCCTCTGCCTCGTGCTATCAATAACTGGGTCGACCGCATCGATGGCACGCCGTTATCGCCTGCGCAGCCGTCGACGTCGACAAGCTTTGGACCACCAACCTTGGACATGGACGACGGCGACTATTGACGGCGACGTGTCACACCCTAGAACTATAATAGTATACGATGACTATTAATGTCATTCAATAAGTTTAGCTGATTTCGCAATCCGATATACTCGGTTGCCATCGCGTCACGATCGTTTGAGGCTTGTCGACACCCGTCAGAAAGCGACGTCGGAATGCGAGTGATCACTTTACGAGATGTCACCACGTGACCGGTCCACCATGGAAGCATTGTCCTTTCATAACGTCGTACTATAAACTAGAGTAGTATTTTATATGGACGTTGGTCTTGATGTGCAGTCGCCGACTATGTCTCTTCTTTGTCAGAATGAATTGGATTAGTTGCGCTAAAGCTTAGCTTAGAGCGCGAGAAGGACCATCGATGCGAGCAAGAACGACGCGATTGTGGTCGACGCGGTCTGCATCGCAGCACTCGCTGTCGCCGCGCTGAGGTCCTTGGTGTCGAGCGACAGGGCCTTGCCCGTCGAGTTTTTACCAAACTGCCCCGTGGTGTTGGTGATGAGCTTGGCGTCATCGACCTTGCGCTCGACCTTGGCAAGGGTCGGGAACGGCGCGGCCGACGCCGGGCGCTTGACGCAGTCGGCGGATGGCGACGTGCAGACCTCGCAGACTTGGGCGAGGAGCTTGCGGCGGCACCCGTTCGGCGCGTCGGCGCAGCGCTTGGTCGTCTCGTAGCACGGCGGGTTTTCCTTGGCGAGCGACGCGACCTCGGGCAGCGGCTTCATGTACGAGGCCGACGACGAGTTGACCATGAGGTTGTACATGTCCATCATGGCCTGCGACCGCGCTTCGTTGGCTTGGCGGCTCAGCGGGTCCTTCCAGAACGGGAGGCTCTCCTTGGTCACTGAGTCGTACTCGACGTTGCCTGCGAGGCAAAATTCACGGAACCCCGAGTACGGCTTGCCGGTTTTCTCGTTGGCGAGCTGCGTGATGCCAACAACATCGTCGATCGCAATGTAGCCGAGGACCTTGAAGCTAAAGCTGCACGAGACGCCGTCCGGCTCCTTGCCAAACTCGCAGAGACCGCCGGTTTGCTTGGCCCGGCACGCGTCGTCCTTCTTCTCGAACGGCTTGGAGTAGCACGAGTTGGGGTACGAGAACCAAATGTTGTTGTCGTACGGCGCGCGCGGGTCGTCCTTGCGCGGCTCGCCGCCCACACAAGGCCCGAGCTTGGGAAAGCCGTCGAGGCCGTCGATCTCCTTGCACTCGGCGGGAATCTCGACGCCAATCGGCGTGCACATACCGAGGTCGAGCGCAACGAATGGACAGTACTCGGCCATCGGCGCCGACTCGCCAAACTCGGCAATCGCGGCTGTCGGCTGCACGATCGTAATGTCGTAAAACCACACGTAGCTCATGTTGACCTTGCGCATGCAGTTGGGGTTGACGCGCTTGTCGATGCCTTCGGCCTGCACGTACATGAGCGCGCCTTCGACGCTCGCCGTGTTGATCGTGTCCATGGCCGCGCGGTACCGCTGCGTGAACGTGTCGGTGCCCTTCTGGAAGAGCGCGACCCACGCCTGTTTGTTGGTGTCGTACACGGGGGCGGTCGCTTGCACGCGCGCTTGGATCGATCGCACCTTCTTCATGCTCCACGACTCGGCGGCCGTCGTCGTCGAAACGGCGAGCGCCAACAGCAGCAGCAACATGGAGAAGCGTAGTACCATGCCGGTCATGGTGGCAAGTCGTCGACCGAGCGCCGATCTTGAAATGAAGATGGACGGGCGACGGGGCGTGCTAGAGGTGTGCGAGGGCGTAGCGAGCGTTGCACACGCAAGTGCACTCAGCCGCACCCGCCGTCCGCGCACGTACGTTCTTGGAACCGCGTCGAGCTGACGACGACGGGTTGAGGTTGAATCGTAGAGGCGCGGAGTCCAAAAGATCAGGAAGACCGCTACCAACGGTGCGGGCTTTTTTCAGGCATAGATCGACAGCGATGGTGCGCTCGTTACTGCGGTCGAGGGCCTCTCGCCAGCTCCCACTGCTTCAGTTCCGTCATCTCGTCGCGTTGTATTCGCCTGTTGTCGCGACTCGTGCGCTGCGAAGCAAGACAAGAAGAGTAGAAAGGAGGGTGAAGGCAAGAGGTCTCCTGGCATATATTAGCTTTGTGTCGTCGAGGGGAGTCGTCGACAGCTACATATCTCAGTTACAACTAAACTAAACTCGATGCATTAGCTTAATAGTCCGAGCCACCGCCGAACATGTCCATGCCACCGCCGAGGTCAGCCTCTTCTTCTTCCTTCTTCTCTTCCTTCTTGTCGGCAGCAGCGGCGGCCGGGGCGGCAGCGCCAGCGGCAGCCGGGGCAGCGGCACCCGACGACGGGCCGCCCGACGTGATGAGCTCGAGCATCTTGCCGTCCTGCGAGAGGAGGTTGGCGAAGAGCATGGGCCAGTAGGGCTCGACTTCGTTGCCCGAGGCGACGATGACGTTCGAGAGGGCCTCCGACGTGATCTCGGCTTCGCCGTCGAAGAGGATCATGGACGCGTAGGCGACGCAGAGTTCATCGTGTTGTTCCTTGGTCAAAGCCATCGTTCTTGTCTTCAAAAAATGATGAGTGCTCTCTCGACGCACGGCTTGAGCGCCAGCGATAAACCGTTGGCTCTCGCCCTTTGGGACATCCTCCGTCTTTTGATACTGCAATATCACCTCCAAGAGGTTTATCCGGATATTGCCATTTGGGCAATATCCGGCACCACGCACCACGGACCTGGATGGCATGCGCGATGGCATGACGACGTGCTTGATGCGATGGAACGCCATGCAGGATGGTGGAAGAAGACAAGGTAGAGGCGCGAGGAAGGCGGCGATGGCTGCGAGGCGACGGGCCTTGCGACGGTGCTGGCAGGATCGGTCGGCGTCGGCTGGCACGCGACGAGGTCGTGGCGGCGGCGGCTGCGCGGGGTGGCTGTCGTCAGCGAGGACCTTTGCTGTCTGCGCAGTACGAGGGGAGTCGTGGAGGGTGGAATATTTTCTTAACATAGACGACCTCGGACGCATCTACCGCGCGAACGCCTTCTTTTGCGTCTTGCTGTTGTACGCTGAGGGCCCAGCGTCGTCGACTTCGACCTTGCGGTGGACAAACTCGAGGAGGTCCTTCGCGGCCCTACACGGAGGAACCTTCGCATGCGGTCTCCAGAACGAGTGGTGTACGTACTTGTAGTAGTTGGTGTCGCTCGAGTTGTACAGCATGCAGTTGTCGCACATGAGGACGAGGTCGGCCTTGAACGCCGCCTTGTTCGCGTACGCATTCTCTTCAATGCGCTTGGCAATTGCCGTCAAGTCGATCGGCGTCTTGACGATCTCGAGGTAGTCGGTCACGAGCCGCGTGTCGACCGGTTCGTGGAACGGCCACGCGCTGCGGTGGTTCGAGAGCGTCTTCCAGAGCGTTTGGAGCTGCGCCTTCAAGCTCCCAGGCTCGCGGCTTCTACGCACCCGATCGCTTTGTGAGCATATATGTGCTTTGCATCCAAGGAAGGTACCCGATGCGGTTGTTGCGGATGATCGTCTGCGACCAGCCCGCCTCGCCTACGCCAACAACACATGAGCTCGGGCGGAGATGGAAGCGCACGTACGGACGCCCGGCACCGAGTAGACATCGACGAGCCGTGCTTCGCAGAACGTCGTCAAGCCTGGATAGACGACATGTGCGTGGGAGCGTGCTTGGATCTTCTCCATGAGCATCTAGCAAAGAATGCATGGAGAGGATGATAAGGTCGATGCGCGATGCATCTTGTGTACCTTGCGCTGGGTGTGGACCATGGACGTAATGTCGAGGTAGTTGATGTGCTCGTGGATGCAGCACTCCATGAGGGTGCCGCCGTCGTAGTCCTTGATGTAGCCAAACCAGTTGGCCTTGGGCATCGAGACGATCTTGGAGAAGCCTTGCTTCTTGAAGTACCCGATCGCATAGTTGTCGGCGTACGTGAGAAAGTGCGAGATGCCCTGCGTCTTGACGTACTCCTTGAGGTGGTTCATGAGCCGCGTGCCATACCCCTTGACTTGCTCGCTAGCGGTGATGGCGCAGAAGGCGATTTCGCCAAAGTGATTCGCCAAGAACGGCCGGTAGCAAATGCCACCGACGACCGTCTTTTTGTTCTTGAGAATCACCATCGAGTGGTGGTTCCGGTCAAAGACGAGGCGCACAATGTACTCCTTGGGCATCTTGGGCAGCTGCTTGGAGAAGATGTTCTTGAGCGTCATGAGCTGGATCATGCGGTCCGGCGTTCCGTCGTTCGTGATCACGTCAAACTCGAGCACGCCGACGTCCTCCTCCTTCTTGGCCATCTCGTCCCGCGACACGATCGGCGCCACGCCACTCGCGTCTTCGCTGCGCTTGCGCTTGAGCGAGCCGTCAACCGCCTTGGCCTCGCTCGACGGCGTCGTCTTGGCGCCTGTTGTTTGCGCCTCGGATGCGTCATTGGGGACTGTGGTATCTTGAATCGTCGCCGCCTCGTCCACCGATTCGGTGGTCGGATCGGCGCCGGCCTCGACCTCGGGCTCGCCAGCGTCCGTTGCATTGCCTTCCGACGGCGCAACCTCGACAGCGTCATTGGCAGTCACCGGCGACGTGGCTGCAGCGTCCGGTGCGTCGCCGCTGCCCATGTCCACATCGGCCGACGGCCCGTCGGCGGCAGCGGCCGTATCGTCGGTCGGCGGAGGCGGAGGCAGCGGCGCTGCATCGTCCGGGTCATTGAACGTCATCTCGTGGTCGCTGGCGCCGGCGGGGGATGCAGTGGCCGGCGGCGCGGCCGCGACCGGCGCCAGGCTGTGGCCATCGGCTGCTGTCGCCTCCATCATACGAATTCACAGTGCTTTCAACGCCAGGGTGGTTCACAAATTTGGTTGCGAAATTTTAGCCAATCATCAATGTCTATTTGAATTTTGACCAATTATCGCGCAGAGAAAGAGCGGTAATTCGACCGCGCTCTACTGCTAGCACGGCGTCGAGGACTCGCGCCAAGATCTGGTAGCACCTTCCCTCGCTCGACTCGAGTAGCCGACTAGACCGCACCTCCTTGCCCTTGGCTACGAGGACTCGATAGAAAAGGGCTGGACGCGTCGCCAGGACGACGGTTCCCGTTGCAGACAAGTTGTGCACGCATCCATCCAGCTGCTTTGCCCCATCAAAGGCGCAACCTCGTCACAGGACGGCGTCCGTATATCACGCAATCGCAGCAACACAGACATGTCGTCCTCATACGCGAGGTGGGTGCAATCCTTGGTTGCACTTTCTGTCACAAAAGATACCTACGACGACGCTTGCTACTCGCTTGCAAGGCCACAACCATGTCGAACTATCGACTGACGCGATGGCGTCTGGGAGCTGTCGGGCGTACTAGTATAGAGTATCACCCCAAACGCCATTGATGGATGAAGCTAACGAGCACGGCCAGCACCAGCGTAAGCTTCCCTGTAGCCGGGGCTTCGAGGGAGCTGCAAGCGAGCCGGTGTACTCGAGGTGCAGGCCTATGTCCAGGGCAGATACTGACGCAGCCAATCACCCTTGCATATCACAGAATGGTGGGGACCAGTATTATCTACCTTTGTGCCCCGTGCGCCAGGACCGTGGACGCGGCAAAGACGAGGTTAGACGCTTGCACACCAACGCGCGTTGTCGACGACGTCGATCGTCCAGCAAGCAGCACATCAAGGCCCCAGCGACGCGAGTAAGGTTTCAAATACGCTGTTTTGCATATAAAGAGTGGCGCCTCCGCTACCGCAGATGCTCGTGTCCGTGGCCCTCTCAATCCGATGGATGCGGCTGTCGAACGTCCTACGGACGAGTTGGCATCGCTTAGGACAGTGCCCTCGCTGGCGCGGGGCCGCGCACAAGCGTGTAGAAGCTGCCGCCCTTGTGCATCCGACAGTCGAGAGAATTTGTGCAAAGTGGACCACAACGCTGCGAAGAGGCAAGTAGTGAGTAGCCCTGTTGGCCACCTAAAGGCAGCTGTCGCAAAGGCTGAGCGCGAGGCTGTCGCGGCCAGCGAGTGCAGGACATCATCGACATGGCAGTGTTCTGCGCCCATCGCGAACGCAGCGCAACCTTTGACGATCGTCGAGGTAGTACCTTCGAACGTTACAGCTGCCGCGAACTGCATTGCCCGGACCGCGCTCCAACAATAGCGGTCGCGACGGGGCGCTCGTCTTACGCTGCAAGGTTCATCACATGGGCGCTCTTCCTACGTACAGCAGGCATCGGAGGACGAGGTCGACGAGTCGAGCAACAGCAGCGCTGAGGAAGAGGCGCATGGAGGTCATGTCTATGGGGTGTAGCAGCGTCGTCATGGCCTTGAAGATCGCCATGACATCGCAGAAGCGCCCATCGCCGACGCGGTCGCGATATCTTTGGTTGACTGGTCCATCCGGATACAAATACCTTGCCAAACGTCGACGGTTGCGACTTCCGGATGCCACTGGCGGCTGGCATGGCCGTCAAATTCTCGGTCGCCTCGGCCGTCAATCGGTATGCCACCACCATCACTTGCTCCTTGCTCCGCGTTGCTACCGCTCGCGGCGCATGTCGTCGGCAGCCAAGCGCGGGTTTGCTCTTCGCCGTGAAGCACCGTAGTACGCGTCAGACGACTGCCTCCGCGCCGAATCATTGGATGCTCTCTGAATTTAAAACGAACGGATCCGTACTTGTGATACACATGCAATTCGCAATCTAGATGCGCCCAAGATGGACCTAATAGGTCGCAGCGTTGACCTTTAATCCAACAATCTAGAAACGGTGTTCGTCAAGTCTGGGCGCTTGACGGAGCCACAAAAATGAGTTGCAGTGTATCTCAACCGAGTGCTATCAAGGGAATGCAGTTGTGAATCACAACTGCATTCCCTTGATTTCGACCTAGATGACTCCAAGCGGACCTTGTGCGCCACCAAGACGTGCATCAGGGCGTCTGGCGTCAAAGTTTTGCGCGGCACGAGGACAAGCATGGCGGATTACATGAAGCATTTCAAGTCCACCGTCTACGGCGCTTTCGCCAACGCAGCGTAGTTTTAGTTTCCGAAATGACGACTACAATTCAACAACTTAACTCTTGTCTCTAAATGCATGAGCCAACCGCCCAAAACGCCATTCGGTGCAACCAACCACTTGTCCGGCCTCGTTTACCGGTTCTCCATTTCCTCGTTCCTGCACTTCGCCGTCTTCAAGGTAGACACACTTGGTGTTTTAGCCATGACGGCTAGAGTCAAGTGTTCTTCTATTCCCTTGGCTAGAGCTCACCGGCGCGTTCACAAGCCGATGGTACGACCGCCACCAACACTCTCTCGTACATGCAACGAGGCTCGAGCTCTGGTTGAAAGACCACAATACCGACCCTTTTAGCGACCAGATTCAAGCGAGTTTGGTGCTTTGGTGCGAACAGCGCGCTGCCCGAGCCTCGTCAAGCCAGATCCCAAACCCTTTCCCTATCGAGGTTAGGGTTACTCGCGCCATGCACGCGACCCGTTGAAGCTAGTTGACGCACTTGACGCTCCAGAACCCCTATAAATTTTCACATACCACTGTGGAAAAGCGTCCAGGAGTGGTAAAAACCATGTTCACCACTTTACAAAGACGATTTTCAATGCCAGTGGAAGAATATATTGGACCATGCCGCGACGACTGCTTCCGAACGTGACGACACCCAATGTCTCCGTGCTGCATGGGAATGCTACCTTTGCGCCTGCGACGCAAGCCGTCCTATCGCTGCCGCCATTGGCCACCGCGGCCCCCGAGTCCAGCAGCGTCGTCCTTCTCTTGTACGCAGCGCTCTTCGTCATCCTCCTCGGCTCGGTGCTCGTGTGCTACTTGCTCCGCCGGTCGCCCCCACGTCGTCGATCGACCGGACCAGCGCACATCGCGGCGTCGCCGTACTATGATCGCTTCGGGCCGCTGACGCCGCCGACGCTCCTCGAAGAGGTCCATGGTCCCTGCACCGAGCCAGAGCTGAGCCCTCTCGACTCGTCGCCGTCGTCCTTGCATTCGGACGGCGAGACGCCAGTTTTGCAGGACGAAAAACCGCGGCTCGTGAGTGTCGATGCGCCGCCCGCTTGCATTTTGGCGCATGAAAGGTCAGAGAGTCGCAGCTGCACGCCGCCGTTTAGCACCCGCGTGCCGTCCTTCTACACATCGCGCTTCACGGACCAGTCGCTGCGCTACTCGGTCAACTCGGAGGCGTCGAGCGACCGCGACACGTCGCTTTTTGCCACCGTGCGCGACAGTCACCTCTTCAAGGACTTTATGGGCAGTCCGTCGTCGCTCGCGTCGTCCCGAGGCTCGTCGATCTTGTACACGCGTAGCAGCTCGGTGCTCAACGCACAATTTTCCGTTTAACGACAATATGATGCCTTTAAGATCTTATCAACATTTAGTTCTTTTCAACATCACCGAGGCGGAAGCATCCTGCATACGTGCATGACCATCTTGGCAGGGGTGGTGATAGTTGAGCTGCAACTATTTCGAGTTTGGACTAAACTACATGTAGCGTTTATCGAACATCGGTTAAACTCTCTCGGCGACAAGCGAAGCAACATACTGCGAGGTGTCAGTTAGTCTATCGCATTTGGCCGTACTATCGACGTATCGATAGTGAAAGAAAACAGTCCCAAGTGTGTTGAACTAACTTGCTAGTCGAGGATTTTCTCATGACCAACTCTGTCGAGGCTACCGTAGCACCACCTGCCGTAGCACTGCTGTCGTCGTCAGTCATACAAGTCGAACAACGAAGGGACAATGCATGTTCAAAGCCGTCGCATGGGAAACGCAGTATCTGGTCGTTCTCAGACCTGGCAAAACTAGATTCTGGATAGCGCAAATGCTGTGGTACATATCTGCCTAATGGAAGAAGAGTTCGCCACCGTCGGCCAGCACCACGTCACGCGCAAGCTTGTCACTGTCGGAGGCGATGCCCGTGGCTTCCATGGCGTCGACGACCTCAAAGCCATCGACGACCTCGCCAAAGACTACGTGGTGGCCGTTAAGGTGCGGCTGCGGCGCCAGCATGAAGCAAAACTGCGCGCCGTTCGTGTTGGGCCCGGCGTTGGCCATCTGCAGCACGTAGCGCTTGCTGTGTTCAAGCGCCAAGCCCGCCTTCTCGTCCTCTACCTCATCGAGGTGAGCCTCGTGTGTGAGAGAGTCGTTGTGTACCAAAGTCGCCACCGTAGATGCTTTTGCCGCCCGTGCCGTTGCCGCGCTCCCAGTCGCCGCACTGCACGACAAAGTTGGCCAAAATGCGGTGGCAGCGTGAGCCCTTGTAGCTAAAGCCCCGCGCGTTGTCGCCGGTCACGAGGCCGCGAAAGTTCTCGGCCGTCTTGGGCACAATGTCCATGTAGAGCTAGACACGGCGTACATCAACAGCAGCATGCGACGGCGTTGGTCGTACCTCGGCCGTGACGCGGCCCGCTGCAACACCATCGATCGTCACGTCGATCCACACGTAGCGGCGCCCAGGCTTGCGCACCCAGGGATGCATGGCGGTCGGTGGATCTGCGTCGTCGCCCGGATGCGGGACCGCCGCGGGATCGTGCACCGCCTTGGCGTCCGCCCGCTGGCCAATGTGATAGCCTTCGCTGTCGGCCGCCGCCGGCGCGGAGAAGACGCTGTGCATGACGATCGTGTAGACGATGAAGAGCGCAACGACGGCGCCGACGATCATCGCTGTGGACGCGTGGCGGCCAGTGCGCGGTCGGCCTCCGTCCAGCTTGCCTGCCACCATGTCAAGCTGCCACAAACCGAAATGACCACCGAGAACGAAGTTCGAAGTAAACGTGTCGAAGTTGTAGTTCGATTGCTGACTAATCAAAGATTTCGCCACCGTCCACAAAGACCACGTTGTGGTCGAGATGGACGCCGTCCTGCTCGACGCCCGAGGTCTCCATCGCATCGACGACCTCGAAGCCGTCGATGACTTCGCCAAAGACCACGTGGCGGCCGTTGAGGTGCGGCGCGGCGCTGAGCATGAAGCAAAACTGCGATCCGTTGCTGTTGGGCCCCGAGTTGGCCATCTGGAGGATGTAGCGCTTGCTGTGTTCGAGCTTGAGGCCTTCGGGCTCGTCCGCTACGACGTGCATGAGCCAATGAAGCGAGATTGGACTTCGCACCAAACTTGCCGCCGTAGATGCTCTTGCCGCCGTAGCCTTTGCCCGTCTCGAAATCGCCGCACTGCACGACAAAGTTCTTGATGATGCGGTGGCACTTGGAGCCCTTGTACTGGAGGCCGAGCGCGTTGTCGCCGGTCACGAGGCCGCGAAAGTTCTCGGCCGTCTTGGGCACAATGTCCATAAAGAGCTGGACACATGAGGAGCGGAAGAGGAGGATATGGTTGATTGTACCTCGGCCGTGATGCGCCCCGCCTTCTTGCCATCAATGCTCATGTCGATCCAGACATAGCGACGGCCGGGCTTGCGCGTCCATTTGCGCGTTTGGCGCGTGGCGTGGACGGTCGGGACCACTTCGTTGAGCGCAGCGGCCTCGTGCAGATTCGCGGGCGTCGCGGGGGCGAGCGCGCGCTGCATCCAGATGAAGTAGACGACCATGACCGAGGCGACGCAGATCGCAATGAGCTTAGTCACGCTGCTCGCGCCGCCCGCGGCGAGGCCATGCGGGCGGCGACCGCCACTGGTCCGGGGCAACATCACCGACGCCGTGTTTTCTTGTGACTGCCTTGTGGCAATTGGGTCAGGCGTACTTAATCGATGCACCTTGTTAGGTGCGTTGTGCAATCGTGGCGGCCTGTCTACGCAGCTCGCAGGTCACTGCTGCGGGTCGCCGAGCTCCGAGATGCGAGGTACATGGTCAATACATGCTCCGTGTCAGGGCAAGGGTGCTTTGTGCGCCGGCAAATCTCATGGCCCAGAAGGGTGCTCCATGGCACTTGGCAGTGCTAGCCAAGGATAGCACTTCCACCCTGCTCAACTGCATGGTCAAACGCGCTCTCCTCGGCCGACGCCACGTCCCGCGGCGGCTTGTCCCAGGCTGTGTTGATTGCAGAAGATGCGCCCGTTGCTACAGCATCGAACTCTCTCGAGACGGACGGTGGCACCAACATTCTACGTGGACCACGCTGGTCGGTGTCGATGGATGATCACATTCGAACAATCCTCGTCATGGGCAGCAGCGCACCCGCAGCAACGCCGCCGCCGCCGGTGGCCGACGCCGCGAGTCAGAAGAAGGTGCTGACGTTCAACGAGACGCACGTGCACGCGCTGCGCGAAGGCGTCAGCGGCAGCAAGGTCTTTGTCAGCACCCACTCGGAGAAGCACACGACCGTGGTCTTGACGGGCGCGCCCGCCGACCTCGAGGCCATCAAAGCGCAAGTGCACATGTACAAGCTCGGTAGCCGTGTGCTCGACCTCAGCCGCGACGCCGCCACCGTAATGGAAGGCCGCGTGCTCATGGAGATCTTCCTCGACGAGGGGCAGCCGCTGCGCGCGGTCGAGTCGGTCGGCAGCAGCGAGCTCGTGCTCGAGGACGGCACGCTTGCGCACCACGCGACGGTCGAGAAGATTGGCTCGGGTGCCATCTTTGTGCACTGTACCAAGGACGTGGTGTTGCAGCAACTCCACACGGTGCTCCGCGGCTCGGGGCTCATCCAGGTCGACGCGCCCAACCTGACGCTGCACGCCGGCCTCCAAGTCGACGTCGTCGGCTCGGGCTCGACGCGCTTCCATACGCTGCACCTGCGCGCGCCGACGGTGGCGACCAAAGTGACGGGCTCGGGCGACATTTTGCTGCACGCGACGCATCTTGGCGCGGACAAGCTCATGTCGATGGTCACGGGCTCGGGCGGGATCCGGTACTACGAAGCCGGGGTCGTCGGCGAGCACATCATCGACGTGAGCGGCTCGGGCAAGGTGCTCGCGACGTCGCTCCTGGCCGAGCGCGTGCTGGCGTCGGTCGTCGGCAGCGGCGAAGTGTTGACGCAGGCGACCAAGGCGCTCGACGGGACGGTGTTTGGCTCGGGCGCCATCGCGGCCTGCGACCCGTGGCCCGAACACGTGGCCGTGAGTCCGCGCTTGACGACCACCTCGCACGTGCCCAAGTCGTGGACGCCGCGCGCGCTGCCCACGCGCGACCTCAAGCTGGGCATTCGCAAGCAGCTCAACCTCTTTGGCAACACCATCTCGATCAACCTGGATCTCTGATCGCTTGTCGACTTGGTGTCGAACCAAGCACAGTGGAGTAGGAAGCTAATGCAATGATGAAAGAGGGGCTTGCGGCTAGTGAGTGCGAGGGGTTTGTGGCTTTGACCAGCGGTCGATCAAGACGACCGTAGCTCACCGTTGCCTTTGTACTCGAGAGAGCTTACGCGCCGTCCTCCACTGTGCACTGCAGACATGATGTCCTCCGTCGTAGGCAGGTTGCTCTTCACGCTTGACGAGTCACTTCTTGGAGGAAGCATCAGTCCATGTCATTCACATGATTTGGTGTTGCATTTTCGATCTTAATAAAGTGCCGATTACTCTTCGAGGTCGGCGATCTTCCAGCGGCTTTGGCGCCCCGCCGCGTAAATCTCCATGAGCGTGCGCTCAAACTCCTGGGTTGCCATGAGGTCGCGGTATTTGTTGTGCAGCATGAGCGCGGCGCGCGCGTCCTCGATCGAGTCGTGCGTCTCGAGCTGGATGTGCGCCTTGAAGAGGTACACGATGAGGAACCGGAGCGCGATCTTGCGCATGTTGGGCTGCTGGTACAGCTCGACCGTGTCAATGATCTACAAACGCAGTTGAATAAACAACGTCCACGCTCCAAGGAGGATCGGTGACCTGCTCGGGCGGGACAAAGAGGTTGACAATGCGAAAGTCCTTGCCGAGGCCATGGCCGACAAACAAGCAGCCGCGGTCGACGAGGTACCGCAACTTCATGTACGCGGCCTTGAGCGGCACGACGTGGTGCCGGCTCACGCTCGGGTTGAGATCGTCGGCGACGAGGCCGCTGAACCGCGTGAGGTAGTCGACGACCTATGCAAACGCAGATGCGTTCTTAGTCTCTGCATTGAGGTTTTCTCTCTCGTCCAGTGTACCGGCTCGCTCGGGAGCACATAGTCGTCGACAAACACCGTGTTGGTCTCGCCGTGGATGAGCGAGACGCGCGCCAGCGCCTGCCGGCTCTCCTTGGTGACGACCCCTAGCCCCAACATAGAAGAGACTCGTACGTGGAACCAGCGACGTACGCGTGCCGTCCGTCTGAAGCGTCGCTTCTTCCATTTCCACAATGACAAACTCCGTGTCGATCGCGACACGGTCGCCCTTTTGGGGCAAGGTGGCCACGTCGAGGGGCTCGAAGGATGACGACGACTGCGCCACCGATGGCGCGTGGAACACAGAATGCGGAATGTCGACCGTCGGCTCTGGCGTCGCGATCGCTCGCAGTGTCGCGCGCTGGCGGTAGATGAGCACGGACGGAAACTTCCATGGCACGTGAAAGGCCACCGCATCCAGCCCGACTGTCGGCGTCACGCTAAAGTCATTGAAGAGCAGCCAGTTGTGGTCGTCGTCACGCGACCGACTGCTGCCGACGTCCGGGTCCAAAATGTGGGCAATCTACCGTACAAACCGTCGTTGTCGGGAAAAAAGACGCGAAAAAGACGTACAAGGTGCGCATTGTGACCGCTCACGAGATGGCTTCGGCGGACATCGCGGACGACCGCGGCTGCGACGCCGACGAGGACGTAATCGTCGTCCGCCGGCGTCCACTCTTGGTCGGGCGTCGGTTCGTGGACAGCGACGATCCCATCGGTCACCGTGACACGGAACTGCATCGGCACCCAGCTCGCACCGCTCGCCTTCTCGGTCGCCCAGAGCTCCTTGATGTCGGGTGTCTCGAGCCAGTCGGCGACGCCTGTCTGGAGGCACAGCGTCGGTGCCGGTCGCACGGAGAGGCTGCCGCTCACGACGTCGCTAAATGTGGCGTCGCAGAGGGCCGCGGGGTCGGTCGGGTACGTCAGCGTGACGCGCTGCACGGACGGCAGTCCGAGTGTGTCGATGAGGAGGCCAAAGAAGGCATCTGCGCGCGGCAGAATCGACGTGGTCGTGTCAAAGAGGCCCAATGTCGTCGCCGCCGGCACCTGCGGCACCATGCATCATACGATCACCGTACTATCAAGTGATCGATCGGTACCTGGCGCAGTGTCGTGAGGAGATTCGTGGGCTGGCAGCTCTTGGCGTGGCGCGGAGCTTTCGCGCTCGCTTCGTTCATCATGTGGAAGAGAAAGCCGAGCTCGCATGTGACGCACACGGGCGCGTCGCAGAGATGCAGGAGCGCATGCGCGCGGAGCTCGGGCACAAAGTAGAGCAATTGGAGGAGCGCGTTGATGTACGAAAACGGCAGCGAATTCTCGAGCCCGACAAACCGCGTCGCATTGTGCTTGGCAAAATCAAACATAAAGCCGTCCATGCCGTGCTTGCTCATCTTGATCTCCTTGTACTTGTATCTATCCAAATCCCTCTCCATATCGATACATGCAATCGAGTTAGGTACCGCGGCGGCACGTGGCACGGGTCCGACTCGTCAAACGACTTGGCCGACGCGGTCCGATGCGTCACTTTCTTGTCGACGAAGCGCGGGTCCACGGTCGCAACGGCCGCCACCCGCCCTTGGCCATACACGAACGAATTTTTGGGCACGCCGCCGTGCTGCGTAAAGCCCTGGCATCGAAAGGATATGCGACATGAGCCATGGATCGATCGAAATGATATATATATCGACGACGTACAATGGTATCCTTTTGCTGGATCCGCGCCGCAAAGGTCGGGTCGAGCACTTTCGTGGGCTTGGGCGCCACGACAAGCGTCACCTCGTGCTTGAGCGTCGAGTCCATGTGAGGCGGCAGCCATGACGAGAGCGGCGGAATCGCTTCGCCATAGTCGTTGATGGTCGGCCGGAAGAGGTACCGGGACGCGGGCGCGGGCTCGAGCGGCGACAAGGCGAGCGGCGGCGCTTGGAACGACGCGGGAAACGCAAGCGGCAACAATGGGTCGTCCAGGAGCGCCTTGGGGTTCGACGCCTGCGACGAGTCGAAGAGCACCACGCCGCCGTCCGGCGCCCCGAGCGCGAGGAGCTCACCCGACGACGCAAATGCCATCGCCGATGCATTCGTGCCAAGCGGCCCGAGAGGCGTGTACTGGTACGATGCCGGCTCGGTGATGTCAAAGAGGTACAAGTCGCCGTCGCGGCTGCCCGCATAGTAGTGCGAGCCTTGGGCGTGCGGCTGGAAGTGCACGTAGCTCGGCGATGCCGCACCGGGAAACGGCATGGATTGGACCAGGCCCATCGTGCGCACGTCGAAAAGCTTGATCAGCGGGTCCGGGTAGACCTGGACAATGGTAGTTTAGACGAGAGGGAAACCACGACGGACGAGTGGCTACCTTGACGGGCGCGTTCTTGTCGTACGGGTTGATGCTGCGAGCCGAGACGCCACACGTGAGGATGTAGTGGCCATGCATGTCCATCGAGACAATGTTGCCGGCATGCGCGTTCGGGATCGAGCACTCGACGCGGTGCGAGCGCAAGCTACTGTCGAAGAGGTCGAGCTGCCCCGTCGCGCTCCCCGCACACATCATGGGCGCGTCTTCATGCGACGCGAGGGCCGTGATGGCGATCTTGCTGCCATGGTAAAAGTCCATCGACCACACCGGCATCGGCGTCTTGTGCAGCGGGTGGCTGAGCTGGCCCTGGAGGTCGTACGCGGCGACACAGCCCGCCGAGTTGCCGAGCAAGAGGTGGTCGTTGGGTTTGTTGCTGTCGTACGGACGGAGGTGGCCGCACGTGAGCGCGCCGCGCGAGTGGTCGACGGCGACCGTGTCGTTGTGTACGCAGCCGCGCGACCGGAAGACCGCCATCGACTTTGAGATCGCGACGATACCACTAGACGCAGAGATCGTCGTCGCCGGCTATGAGGCGCCAGAGACACATACTCGTAGCATGGAATCAGCGTCTTGATCGCGCCCGCGTTGGAGATGACGCTCGAGTACTTTTCGAGCGTCGGGAGGAGGTGCGCCGTGAGCCGACCCTAGCACAGTAGCGTGGTTGATGCTGCCAGCCATGCGACGACGTACGTTCGCGTGGCCCGTCCAGAGCACCTCCTGGCACGGGTCAAAGGCCACAGCGCCGACCGCGTGGGCAGCGCCCGCCGGCGCGAGCCGCGCGATCTCGGTCCACTCTTCGTTCTCCGGGTACTGGTCGTAGTAGTCGTACTGCGGCTGCGCCATCATCATGCCATGGCCGGCCATCATGTGTCCATGCATCCTCGCCGCTCTCGCACTGCGCAAGATACACCTGCTGAGAAAGCTTTACTGGCAGGCGGTCGGCGCTGCCGTAATTCTATGACTTGGTGTTTGTAGGCGCAATGAAATAATTTCGTTTCCGCGCACGCGATTGGCTAAAATGGCGCCTGGCGGTGTCGCTTTCGGCACATGCCGAGTATAGCGTTTTAAAGATGGCATATGGAGACGCACATCGCATGCGCCACCGAGACTGTAGGCGCGCTTCCGACGACGCCTGCCGTGCGCCAGTTAGGTATGCGGGGCTGCGAACGCCAGTGCTACGACCTCCAGCATAAGATCGAGCGCAGGTCGAGGCGATAGATAGGATTCGGCATTTCGTGCCGAATTAGAATCGGTGGTGGCGTGGGAAATGCCGAATCCGCCCCTGCACCCGTGCGTGGATACCGAGAAGCAGCATGAGCGCGCTCCGAGTGGCCGTCGTCGGATGCAGCCATGGGCAGCTTGATGCGATGTACGCGACGATTGAGCACATGAACACGATGGACCCGGAGCGGCCGATCCAGCTGCTCCTGTGCTGCGGCGACTTTCAGAGCTTCCGCAACGAGACCGACATGCACTGCATGGCGTGCCCCGACAAGTACAAGGAGCTTGGCGTCTTCCACGAGTACTACACTGGTGCCAAGGTCGCGCCCGTGCTCACGATCTTCATTGGCGGCAACCACGAAGCCTCCAACTACCTCCAGGACCTCTACTACGGCGGGTACGTGGCGCCCAACATCTTTTACCTCGGGTCGGCCGGTGTCGTCAACGTCAACGGCGTGCGCATTGCCGGCCTCTCGGGCATCTACAAGCCGCACGACTTTACGTTCGGCCACCATGAAGCGTTCCCGTACGACCAGAGCACGATGCGTAGCATCTACCACGTGCGCGAGTTTCAAGTGTACCAGCTCGGCCATCTCAAGAAGAGCGCGTCGCCGATCGACATTATGCTCTCGCACGACTGGCCGCGCGGTATCGAGCGCTACGGCCGTACCGACGTCCTCCTCCGCAAGAAGTCCTTTCTCCGCGACGAAATTGCACGCGGCGAGTTTGGGTCGCCGCCCAACGAATTCCTCCTGCACTCGCTGCGCCCCAAGCACTGGTTCTCGGGCCACATGCACGTCAAGTTTGCCGCGATCGTACGCCATACCGACGAGGCCATGACCAAGTTCTTGGCCCTCGACAAGTGCTTGCCGCACCGCGACTTTATGCAGGTGACCGACATTGCACCAAGTACGCCGTTCACTGCTACGGACGGCGGCGCGGTGACGCTCTCGATGGACAAGGACTGGCTCGCGGTGCTTCGCGCGACCCACCACATTGCCTCGAGCGTGCGCCTTCGCCCGCGCGTGCCCGAAGACGACATGGCGATTGAGGACACCGACATTGCATGGGTGGAAGCCCGCTTGACCGAGCTCGCGGCGACGTCGCATGACCGTGCGACGAACCCACTGGCGTGGATCCGGCCGTTCGAGTTGACGGCGCCGCCGGCGTACAGCGCGCCGAGCCACGTGCCGGTGGTCGGCAACCCACAGACGGACGCACTCCTGGCGCTGCTCAAGCTCCCGCATGTGGTGACGGTGCCGTATGTGCCCGTGGGCGCAAACCCGAATGCGATCGACCTCGATGCGGAGGCGGCGCCCGTCGCCGTCGTGGAAGATCCCAATGCACTCGACATTGACGATCTTTAATACACACAGGCTGGTCGTGTACCTCCTACTACAGCGTACTAGTACTATGTTGAACTGAGTTCTGATAAAATTATGGTGGACTTCCTACATGTACTGCGCTCGTGAGGCGTGGCCAGTGCGTCACGTGAAGAAAGTGGTCGTGATTCGGAACTGTGCGAGGGATAAGGTAGCGCGTACACCGAGGGTCGTCTCGGAGAGCGTTAAGCGACGCGTCAAGCAATGACACCACAGCGTGACGAGCCAAGTGCCGGACATGCCGTCATGTGATGGTTGCTGCCTCGACCGCGAGCGCAGCAGCGGGGAATTTCGTCAGCGTCGTGCAGAAGACGCGGTTGCTACGTTCGAGCAAGCGTCACTAAACAGTTTATTGCCCCTTGGTGCGAGCCAAAGACACTACCGGTACCAGACGCAAGATCGATCATTATAATAGTAGGTGCTCCTATACGATATCCGTACTTCAAGCGTCAACCGCTTCGCACGGAGCCTGGGATCGAGCATACCGGTATGACGATCGACGATTAACGCAGCGTAGCGTCAGTGTCACGCTACTCGAGTGCATCGAGAGCGCACCACGGACTACAGACTGCATCACAAAGCATCTTTTTCTTCTTCTTTCATAGTGTGAGGGCTCATGGAATGACGCAGCATCGAGTACAAGATCTTCGAGCACACGACCAGGGGCGTGATCACGCTGTTGTCGTCGTCACGAAGGACGTCATTTGCTTCGACGACAGGAACGTCTACGGCACTAGTACTAGATGTGTGCGGTAGGACGCGTGACGGTGCCAAGAATCAATCAACGACGAGCGTACCCACGCTATGAGAAGATGTTTTGCTTCGCATCATGGCGCACGTGCGATACCACGAGATGTGATACCGCTATAGGTATTTCGTATTGTAATACACGCCAGGTCGCAAGTTGCGACCTTGTGCGAACGACGTTGCGGCTTGCAAGGTCGAGGATGCTTTCGTGCTTGTCTCTGTGCCGCAAAAGACACTTGTGGGTGAGATGCACATACCAGCGGTTGTGTTCTAATAGTATCATCATCTATCGACAGGCAACGATCAACATGACAGAGGTGCGACAAGGAACATCGCAGAGGCAACGATGCATCACGGCGGCGTTGCTTCGTCCAGCGCTTGCTCAGACGCGCGATGGACCCTGCGTCTGGCCCTTCTATTCCGCTACGAGACGTGGACAGGCGCGCCAAATTGCCGTTTCAGCGATGACGGGGCACCACCAAATGGCCGTCGAATAAATCAAGTAATCACTTGGGTTTAGCACCCAGCGTGGGATCTCTCGCCGAGCACAGTGGGCGTCGCCAGCAGAGCCCTTTTTTTACACCGCGGACGACGGGCTGCGATCTCTCGAGCCTTTCTCTGCGGCAAGCGTCTCGCGGCCACCACCTTGGCAAGAAGCCAGTCTTTCGATATGACTGTACCGTCTTCCTTTGGGCTGGCTTCGCTCGTACCACTGGATTCGTCCCCCATTAGTCGCGTTTAGTTTACAAAAGAAGAGTGGCACTCCGACGCGGGCACCGAACAGGATGGCCAGGTGGGCGTACCACGCTTCCGGTGGACGGACCACGTACGCCAGTTGTTCAAGTTATCTACGGCGTTTACCCGCAATAGGTTCTCAGCCGGCCGCCTCTGTGCCGATCTCCACAGCCGTCTCGGGCTCCCACTCTGGCAACAACACCATCCACTTGGAATCACTTTTCAATTTCGCCTGCCCACGCACCACCCGACCCTCTCTGCTGCTGTGTATATGATGTTGGCGCTCATGGACCACCACCACGCAACTACGAGCAATATGCAAGACGGGACATCGCCCTCGAACGCGATGGGCGACGACCTGGATTTCGACCGGCTCAAGATCGACGACGACTTTTGGCGCCGCCTCCTTGCACTTGACGCCGACCTCGAGACCAAGAAGCGCCACGAGTGCAGCTTTTGTGGGAAGCGCTGCAAGTGCAACTCGGAGCTCGTGCATCACATGCGCACGCACACGCAAGAGAAGCCGTTTGTGTGCTCGTTCGAAGGCTGCAACAAGCGCTTTACGCAGAGCTCCAACTGCACCGCGCACATTCGGTCGGCGCATTACGGCGTCAAAGCATACGCGTGCACGTTTCCCGGCTGCTCGAAGCGCTACTCGCACAGTACGTCGCTCAAAGAGCACTCGTACACGCACACGGGAAATCGTCCGTTCGTCTGCGATGTCTGCGGCAAAGGCTTTGGCCAAAAGGTCAATTTGATCCGCCATCTGAAGACCCACAAGACCAAGGAGACGTAACTGACTGCGTCACTATGGTTGTAGAGTAATTATTTAATCCAGCGCAATGCACGAACTACTACGACGAGCAACTCAGATCGAAGAACTCAATTCGAATCTTGACTTTTGGAAGCTTTGAAAAGAAAGGTCGTGGCCAGCACGTGAGGCACGGCGACGCAGAGAGTTCAGCGCACGCAGGTGGACGTGTCCAGTGCGCGCAGATGCGCGATCACTCACGCACGACCAGCCCGACGGGTGCATATCATTGCGCCCCGTCGGCTTCACATGCTTGTTTAATTGATATAAATCCGCCTCAATTCTATGGACCTTCGACGAGGCTCCGACGCCACTTTGCTCGGATGCTGTGACCCGTCGTACGACGGCACAAGGGCTTTCCGTGTGTATCGTATCTACGATTGGATTAGAAACAGTAATCTGGTAATCGGGTGGCCTGCTTGCCACGTGGCATGGACCGCATGGGCGTCGGCGGCGTCGAAATAACTCAGAAAAGCAGACAATACTACCATACTATTACCTTCACGGCAACAAGCCCAACGACGACGACGACGACGATGAGCATCTTCAGGATGACTGAATTTCGAGCCGTGTACTTGGGAACCTACTCCTCGCTTTATCTATGAGCTGAGTTGTCGACGAGAAAAGCTACTCGATTCGCAATCGGTGGTCATGCAAGCGGGTGGTGTTACGCACGGGGGTACCAAACACCACTTGGAATGAATTTGTCATCACATTCGGCAACTGCAACCAGTTGCAGCCACCGAAGGCTCGCGGACGTTTCCTCGCACCTATGGTAAAAATGTCTTTTACCGTAGGTTGTATGTACGAATGGTATGCGGTGCACGACTGATGACTCGCCTATACGAGCAAGGCCATCGTATGTAGGAATAAAAGACGTTGAAATTGCTGGCTCTGGATTTGTCCATAGACGAGACCTGCAACCGCATGACATGACATCTCGCTCCTCTTGCGCAGGTCGCTTTGGACGCAATCGTGTCGCCGGTTGCGTCTGATCGCGACTCGAATTATTTCGCGCCCATGCACCGTGGACATGTCGCTGGTCATATTACCGTACAAGGGGCGGATTACTCGAGGTCGGCAACCTTCTCACAGCGTCAGAATCCATAGTGCACGTCCACCCGATTCTGGATGCTACCAGTACTATAATACACACGTCGTTCCATCGTGCAGTGCGAGTTCTGCCACAAAAGAACTTGCTCCATGAAGGGGTAATACATCGGCCGCCTCTGCAGCCGTGGCATCGCGTGACGTTATTCAAAGACATAAGACTATTATTATTACAATTAAGAATAGAGCATGGATTTCTTGTCCATTCGCGTGGAAAGAATCGTACCGGTATGTGTAAAGGCAACACGGTGGTAAATCCATGTACACCCGGCTCATCGAACGGACGTAATAGATCTTACTTGACACGCCGGCTGGAAGTGGTCATCTATACAGAGGTGCCGAAGAAGAAGCAAGTGCTGATGTGAGTTGGCACACCCTTCCTCTCCGCCTCAGAATCCAATAAGTACCGACTCGCATTACACCATGCTGCTCGCACTCTCCACCTTGCACCACGCGATGCACGACGACCTGGATTTCGACCGGCTCAAGATCGACGACGACTTTTGGCGCCGCCTCCTCGCACTTGACGCCGACCTCGAGACCAAGAAGCGCCACGAGTGCAGCTTTTGTGGGAAGCGCTGCAAGTGCAACTCGGAGCTCGTGCATCACATGCGCACGCACACGCAAGAGAAGCCGTTTGTGTGCTCGTTCGAAGGCTGCAACAAGCGCTTTACGCAGAGCTCCAACTGCACCGCGCACATTCGGTCGGCGCATTACGGCGTCAAAGCATACGCGTGCACGTTTCCCGGCTGCTCGAAGCGCTACTCGCACAGTACGTCGCTCAAAGAGCACTCGTACACGCACACGGGAAATCGTCCGTTCGTCTGCGATGTCTGCGGCAAAGGCTTTGGCCAAAAGGTCAATTTGATCCGCCATCTGAAGACCCACAAGACCAAGACCACCAACGCAATTGTTTAGTCGTTGGTCTATTTAACAATTCAGTGCATTTTGCTTCTACTACACTATCACACTACTACCATCGGTACTACGACAACGTGGAGCCACTCGCTATGAAGCACTCGACGCATAGAAGCAACGGTTCACCGAATACCGACGGGACCACGGTTGGTCCTTCAACACGGTTGACTTTTATGCTGGCACGTACATTTAGTTCGAGTGGAGTTGGACGTATGGAAAGCTGAAGAACGAGCCGTCACCCGTTCCGTTCTTCTACGGGTGCCACTGCTCCGACGTTCCACGGGTCGGCACGTTGGCGTCAACGGACCTCGTTGCGTTGCGCGAAACCAGCCAATGCTTCCAACTCGAGACGCTTACGCATACAAGCCCGTGGCGTTCGCACCGCATGCATTCGATCCGCGCAGGCGGACGTTCTTGTGCCCACGTGTGAGCTCTTGCTTGGTGTTTTTGGCCACCACCGTCATGTGGATAGAAGAATGCCCGAGCACTGTGGAGTGGTTTGCATAATCGACACTTTTGCATTGGTCTGACCCCACGGTTCCTTCTCTACCAAAGCATGAAGCTGTCGTCTCAGTGCGCGAGGAGGTGTGTGGCGTGGTTGATGCGCGTGGTCACGGTCGCCAGCGCCTCTTGGATGAGGGCTTCGAGACGGATTTGGGCGTCGCCGTCCGAGAGCTCGAGCAAGAGCGCTTTTTGGAGCCACGCAATCGAGTTGCGGTTGAGCTCGGGGATGGCCGCACTCAGCTCGAGCTCGAGGAGCGAGATCAAGAAAGACGAGTGCGCGCGGAGGACGAGGAAGGCTTGGACGCACGTCGTTTGGAAGAGCGGGAACTGGTCGCCCATGACGGTCACCATCGCGTGGGTCAAAACAAACGGCGCGCGCTCCCGAGCGTAGCCCATGTACGTCTTGAAGTGCCCGAGAAAGTGGCCGAAATCAATGTGTAGAAACTGACCAGACGCCGTGAGCATCAAGTTGTCGTTGTGCCGGTCGCCGATGCCAAGCACGTACGTAGCGACGCAGTACCCGGCGCACGACAGCACAAAGTTGCGGACAACGTCGTCGCTGCTCGCATCGCGCTGGTCATGGAGCCATTGCGCATACACGCGCTTCCCAAAGAGCGCGGTTTTGACCGCCGCGAGCTTGCGACCTGTCTTCTTGTGCTTGTGCCGGTCGCGGCAAATGGCCGCGAGCGTCGACGCGTGGTGCACGACTTGGATAAAGCCAATGTTGTCGCCAGACGAGACACATGCGTACGCCGAGAGCTGCAAGTGGAGTCCGTTGGCTTGCCAGAGGTCGTCCATGACGCGCAGGAGCTGGAGCGTGAGCTGGTCCTGGCGCAAATCGTCGCCCGACTTGAAGATCGTCGATGTCAACCCGAGTTGTTTCGTCGGAGTCAGATGCAGAAAGAGTGGCTTCTTCGCCGAGTCCATCGTGCGGCATTCGCTCGGGACAAACGCCGAGTAAAAGACATTGGGATGCAACGGAAGCTACTCGTCAGAAGGTCGTACGACATCGGTCATCCTGGGACAAACCTGAAAACAGTCGGGCAAAATGGCCTCTTCGAGCCCCGCGCGCAAGACGGCGTCGCGCGTCGCGGACGACGCGGCCTTGACAGCCGTCGCGAGCCGCTCCAGAATGCGCATCACATACATCGACTGGTACAGCTCGACGCGAAAGACGCCCGAGTGGCAGAGGTACTGCGTGCGCAGGAGCGCAAACCGATCTAGGGCCCATGAGATTATTGCGGCATCGGCGGGAACTACCTTGGGTGATCGGAACGTGAAGCTCGGCTTGGAGCAGCCAAAACAGTGCGTAGCCCACCTCGGACGGCGACTTGAGTGCGCGCACGAGGAGGAAACGCATGAGCGCCGAGTCGTGGTGCGGCTCGCACTTGAGCGCCTGAACGAGCTGCAGCAAGTACAGCCGGAGACGGTAGTCGGGGAGGGAGTCCAGACACCGCACGGCGTACGCCCGTACGAACGGGTCGGCAAACTTTGGACTGAGCAATTGCAGCGCCTACATCCAAACATATCAATGTATCATGTGGAAAATGGTTGGAACCAACCTGCAGCGCGGTGGGGGCGTCCAGAGGTACAAGTACTTGTACGCTTCCGTCACGTGCCCACGGTGTGCCCAGTCGACCGAGAGCAAGAACGGCATGAGCGCCGACGACGTCGTGACTAGCACCGACCGGTAGATCCAAAAGAAACGCCGGTCGTCGGCTGAGAGCGGCTGCATTGGGTTGGCCTCGAACGTTCCGAGCACTTGCATTTGTTTGGCGTCCAGTGTCATGGGAACCACCGACGTTGGCCGCGCCCACGCCATCTCGGTGCTACGGTACGTAAGCAAGACGGACGACGGCGGCGTCTCGAGGGAAATGCACTCGCCTACGGACACCAAACGTCGTTTCAACAAACGCTAAGAATCAGTGTACTGACCGAGGCCATCGTCAGGATGCTCGGTCGACTCAAGGCACGCGCTAAACTCGATCGGCAAGCTCACGCGCGCATGCAGGCGCAGCCGCAGCGTGCCCACCCGCAGAAAATGATCAAACGAAAAGAGGTAGCACGCAGTTTGACGAAGCACCTTCTTTTGCGATCCGAGAATCGAAACGCAGAGGTGAGCGGCGCGCGGCAGCGACTGCACGTTGCAGGAAAGGACAAGAGTCTCGAGGCACTCGAAGGTCCGGACACTGGACGCTGATGTGGCTTTGATCCACGTTGACGTCACCGGCGGCGTCAGCGACGCTTCGCCGTGGACGAGCTCGATGCGCACTTGAATGCGGCTGGCCTTGGTCGCGAGCCGGATCGTGCCCGGCTTGATGGCCAAGTCCTTCGCGACCTGCACAGACAAGGCGTGTTGCTACGACGTGGTAGGCTAGAGCAGACCTGCGAGACGGACCCGAGGTGCCGCGTCTTGGTGCCAATTTGGAGCAAATACGGCTGGGTAAACTGCGCGGCAAGTTCGAGAAGCTGAAGTTCGTGGATCGTATAGGGCGGTGGGATGCGGCGTTGAGTACTTCCCAGACGCCGACGACGTGGCTGGCATGGGCGACCGGCACGGCCATGATGGAAGAGCAGGCCGCGTACATGATCGGGTCGTGGGCAATCGCGGCGAGGTCGTCGAATCGCCCGAGGAAGGCTTTGCCACTTGCGTGCACGGCGCCGGGTACGCCAAAGTTGACGGGCGTCTGGAGCTTCTGAAACCCGTCGTCGCTGGTAAACTAGCATCGTGTTGGAAAATGCCAGTAGTCGACGTAGTGTACTTTGATGTGAAACTGCGTGCTATCCACGTTCGCGAGGTAGAAGCGCACGGCGCTTGCGTCAAAAGTTTGAGAAAGATCTGAGCCATGCACCGAATGCAGTGGTCGACGTCGAGCTCGGGCGAGACGGAGAGGAGGATCTCGCGGATGAAGGCTTGCGGCGACATGCGGCTACTCGACGACGTTGAACCGTAGTGCAAGCAGCCGGCCATTTCGTGGGCCCATCTCCGGAAGCTCTCGCTCTACAAAACCGCATCAATATGCTACATCGGCGTGTTTTTAGCCCACCTCCATGTCGCCGTAGCGGATGTTGTGCAGATTCGCAGACAATGTCGCCTTGGGCAGCTTGTCCTCGTATTGGAAGAGAACCTAGTCTTGCGTGATGATTTGCCGACGTACTTGCAGAAAGATGGACCGTGCGAGGAATGACGTAGCAGTCGGCTGCGAGGACGGCCACGATGGACAAGGTCGGGCTGGACGCAAGCATCTCGTACGGGTCGAGCATGTCGCCGCTGACGTACTGCAGTCGGTCGGCCAGGAGGTCGTTGGCGGCGGGGCTGGACGCGACCCGCGCTTCGAGCACGCCGGTGCGCACGACAAAGATGACGTCAATTGCCGACGCGCTCGAGAAGACGACGGCACGCGGGGCGTACGTCTCGAGGCGCGCGGCTGCGTTCACGTCGCGGAGCTCCTTGGCGTCCAAGCGCGCGAGCTGCGGCAGGCAGCAGAGCAAGGACATGGACGACGACTTTTGGAGTCGCTCGATGCTCTCGGCGCCATGCGCTTGCTGCACCTTTCCCTTGGTCTTCTCCATGAAGATGATCTGGCGCACGGTAGCTCGCCAGCGCTGCTTGGAGGACGGGCTCAGCTGCGGCTTGGTCGCTGCCGGCGCCGTCTTGGGCGCGTCGAGGATGGCTTCAATGCTCTGGAGCTCGGCTTTGATCTCTTGGACGATCGCCTTCTCCGCGCGCAGGAGCGATACGATCGACGTCGTCGCCGGCGGCGGCTTGGGCAGGTCGTCGAGAGGGACGACCGGGACCCCGACCTCGTCGCCAGCGTCCATGGGATCGGTTTCACAAAGACGCGTGATTTTAGTCTAGGACGCGCGCCCTTGCTGTAGGTCCAATCAGGACATATCCATGAAACCCCTGTCCCCACCCACTCGCGATGTAACTGCCACGCTATAAATAGTGTGGGAGGAAAGATACGGAATAGTGTATCGAGATGCCACGACACCAGGTGCTGCTGGTGCTGGTGCTGGCGATGGCTGCCACGTGCTTCGGTGCGAGTTGCCCCGTCCAGTGCGCCGAGGACCAAGAGTGCAAGCCGCTGCCCAACGGCGTGCTGGCCTGCGCCGATATGTGCAAGTGCGCTGCGTACGAGCTCTGCGTGCCCGTCGCCCTCGACTGCGGCGCACCGTGCCACCCAATCATGCAGTGCGTTTACAACCGAGCGACCACGCCAGTGCTGCCGCTCGACGATGCGACGCCGTGACGCCACCAAGCCTACAAGCTACTCAGTACGGATGTGCATCTACCATCTCTTCGAATATGCATGCCTCTGCTTACTATCTGGGTTGGCGCGTTGCGGCTGCTGGTGCCATTGACTTTGCCAGCAAGCAAAATAGCAGTGGCCAGACGGCCCACATCCATCCATGGCCATGACGCTAGCAGCTTTGGAGGCAGCGCCACTTGGGTGGCACTTGGTTACGGAATGCTATGCAGGCCTGCAAGTGATAGGCGCTTAATTTTTGGAGATGCCATTGCTGGCCTCGTGCCACGCATGGATGGCTGTCAATGACTGCTGTCGATGATGGGTACGTCGTCTAGCTGACTCGATATCGTGAGCTGCTCTCCGCTGCACGCTCGGCTTGTAAAGCTTCCACTTCGAACGCTCTGAAATTCGAAGCCGCGCGCATGTTCTCGTCACCTTCTCGAGCCGGTCAGGAGGCTTGGACAAGGCCGTCGTCTGATTCACCGGCCAGCGTCTTCTGCACGGCGTTGGGAATTACCTTTGTTATGTACTGAATAGGCGAACTGCGTGTATAAATGGGACGAACACCAAGTCCTCGCACCAAGCACGCGACCCCGCCAGCGCTCGTAGAATGTAGTTAGGACATGCTCACCGTCATCAACTAGGCGAAGAGACAGGCCACGAATGAATAAAATAATGCATTGCCCATCCCACTGCGGCACGACGATCCGGCCCACAACCCATCAAGAGGCCAAGCAAGCTGGCGACTTGCCCGAGCCCAATCTCGTCCGTACGTTCGAGGCTTCCTTCTTCAGGCGCCAGAAGAAGGAGCTCCAAGATCATTGTACCTCCAGCGTCCTGCATCATGGCCTGCTGCTTGGTGGTGCACCTCGTCGCGTCGTCGGTCGCTGGGGCAAGGTGGTCGCAATTCCCTTACCCAGTACCAAGAGCAACTTCAATCTCAATTTAGGTTTGTCTTTGAATTTGCATACAAACATTCAATCAAAAGGCAATTAATTTTCCAATTCACTGGACGTTTCTACGGGACACTCTGGCGCGGTGTTATATTATTATTCCGGCATCTGTTGGTTTCCAGGTGGGTTTTGCATTGAAATACATCTCTTTTTTATTCTATATCATACAAAATATGCATCATAAAATAAAACATGGGGTACGATCACATGCGCTTTTAATGCGACGTATGCAATGTATTCAGCGCCAATCCAACAATTAAAAACCAGGTATTTTGAGCTCGCCCGAACGTATTTCAGTCCCAAGAAGGCCGCTTCTACACATCTCCATACACAGCGCGATGGCCGAGACCGGCGCTGCCAAGCCACGCGTCGGCGACCTCTACTGGAAGAAGGTCGGCTCCAACGGATGGACCCTCGGGAAGGTCTGCGCCGTCGCCGAAGAGAGCAACATGGCCGAGTTCGGCCTCGTCGACGAAGACTCGGGCGACATGCTGCGCGAGCCGCACGAGATGCTCGACCTCGCCGAGCACCCGCTGTACCCGGCGAATCCGCTCTTTAGGTACGCACATCCGAGCGTGGCACCGTGACGCTCATGCATGGCGTAGCACGTGCGCCGACATGACGTCGCTGCACCATTTGCACGAAGCGGCGCTGGTCAAGAACCTTCAAGACCGCTCGGCGCTCTCCAACCAGCGCCCATATACGTTCATGGCCAACGTGCTCATCGCAATCAACCCGCTGCGGTACCTCGAAGGCGTCGATAAGGACCTCTTCATCGGCAAGCCGCTCGACAAGTGCCCGCCGCACCCGTACCACGTCGCCGAGGTACGCGACGCATGTTGCTCGAGCACGCAATATGGACCCTCGTACGATCTAGAGCGCGTACCGGCAGCTGTGCACATTGCGGCCCGTCATGCAGAACCAGAGCATCATCATCAGCGGCGAGTCGGGCTCGGGCAAGACCGAGACGTCCAAGATCATCCTCGACTTCCTCACCGTGCGCGCGGTCGCGCCGCGCTCCGAGAGCTTTGACGACCACTCGGAGCCCGAGGTGACGACGATGCCGCTCAAGCGCCCGAGCATCTCGAAAGGCTCGACATCGTCGCGCGTGCTCTCGTCCTTCTCGATCCGCGACGTCTCGAGCATGCTCAAGGAGCCCAACACGGTCACATTGGGCGAGCGTCTCATGGAGACGATCCCGATCCTCGAGTCGTTTGGGAACGCCAAGACCCATCGCAACCACAACTCGTCCCGCTTCGGCAAGTACATGCGCCTCCAGTTCTCGTCGCGCCATTACGAACTCACGGGTGCGTCGATCGATACGTACCTGCTCGAGAAATCCAGGCTCGTGCATCCGCCCAACGGCGAGCGCAACTTTCACATTTTTTACGAGCTCCTGCGGTCCGGGCGGTCGGACCTCCAGACGCTCTTGCACGTCGGTAACGACGACCCGGAGCGTACGATCCAGAGCTTCCACTACCTCAACCGGTCTGCGTGCACGAGCAGCGACCTCCTCGACGACGCGGCCAACTTTTCCAAGCTCACGGACGCGCTGCTTATGGTTGGCATCGACCATCTGCAGCAAACGGACCTCTTCAAGCTCGTGGGCGGCCTTCTCCATCTCGGCAACGTGGACTTTGACGAGGAAGAAACGTCGGAAGGCTTGTCGGCGGTGCTGGCCGAGACGTCGTTGGTAAGCTTGAGCCATGCGTCCGAGCTGCTCGGCGTCCCCGTCGACGAGCTCTCGAGCGCGATGCTCAACAAGCGCATTACGCGCAGCAAGGGCGGCCGGAAGAACTCGATCTACTACCTCAAGAAGGACGCGCGCCAAGCATCCTACTCGCGCGATACGATCGCCAAGAGCATTTACGAGCTCGTCTTCGCTTGGCTCATGCGGCAATGTGCGTGTGCCCTCGAGTACAACGAAGCGCTCCGCGACGTGCTGCCGTACATTGGCGTCCTCGATATCTTTGGCTTTGAAGATTTCGAGCCGATGAACCGCAACTCGTTCGAGCAGCTTTTGATCAACTACGCCAACGAGACGCTCCAGAGCATCTTCAACACGTGCATCTTCCAGGCCGAGCAAGAGCTGTACCTCTCCGAGCACATCCACGTGCCCAACAACGTCGAGCTCACGTTTCCGTTGCGCTGCCCGGGCAGCCGCTGCCACCGTCCGCGCCGACCAACGAGTAGGACAATCCAGACGACGACAATACGTAGTGTCTCATTCCATGTAGACCGATTGCGGACCGGCTCAACTCGACGAGCGAGCTCATTACGTATGTCGACAACCAAGAGTGCCTGACGCTGATTGCGTCGCGCCAAGGCGGTACGAACGAGGATGCCATTGGCGAGCGATGCTTGATAGTTGTTTGATACTAGGCGTGTTTGCGACCATCGATACGGTCTCGCGGCTGCCGGGCCCGTCGGACCGCAAGCTCAACGAGCGTCTCCACACGCTCTTCAAGCGCAACGCATGGTATTCCATCTCGTCCCATAGGACTGATACATTGATACTATGTTTTTGATAGTTTTCCGCTGCCGCACCCCAAGGAAGCGCACGAGATGTTTTGCATTGTGCACTATGCGGGCACGGTCAAGTACCACATCGAGTCGTTCATTGACAAGAACAACAACATCATCTCGGCGCAGTTTGAAGAGCTCATCCACATGTCGCGGTCGCGGATTCTGAGCTCGCAGCCGACAACGACGCCCGTGGCCAGCCAGCTCAAGGGCGGGTCGGTCTCGCAAATGTTCTCGGTGCAAATGAAGGGGCTCGCGTCCGAGCTCGAGGGCACGCGCTGCAACTTTATCCGGTGCATCAAACCCAACGCGGCGATGGCGGTCGGTGTCTTTGACCGCAACTCGGTCGTCGACCAGCTCCGCTGCTCGGGGACGGTCCAAGCCTGCTCGGTGCTGCGGGTCGGCCTCCCGACGCGCATTTTGTACGCCGAGGTCGTCGACATCTACGCGCCGCTCGTCGGCGACGACGTCTACAGCCGCTTTAAGCTCAACGAGCGCCTCTTCACGCAGGCCATTTGCGCGGCCCTGCGCTTTCCCGCCGACGCGTACCGGCTCGGCGACACGCGGCTCTTTTTCCGCACCGGCAAGATCGACTTGCTCGACCAACTCCTCAATGTGACCAAGATCGACCCGAATCTGCCGTCGGCGCTCGGCCGCTACGTGATCAAGCGCCGGTGGGTCTCGGCCGTCACCAAGGCCATCGTCTACAAGCGTTTTGAGCGCATTTACCACGAGTGCAAGTTCCGCCGGCGCGCCATCGTGCTCCAGTGCGCGTGGCGCCAGCACCGTGCGCGTCTCGAGCTCGCGTCCCTTCGCCGCCAGCAAGCGATTGCAATCAAGCTCCAAAGCTGGATCCGCAAGCTGCAGATCATGAAGGCGTTTGCAGGCCGCCCGGACGAGAAGCTCTCGCTCCTGCACGGTCTCTTGAGCAAGCCGGCGCTGCCAAAGGGCCAGAAATGGCTGCTCACGTGGCTTGGGCCGCTCCAGCGCGCCATGTACGTTCAGAAACTGTGCCGCAAGGCATGCGTCGCCTACATGGTCAAGCGCGGGTTCCTCTGGCTCTACGAAAACGTCCGGAAGAAGCGCGCGCAGCTCCTGCTGCAGACGCAGATGCGCGTCTTGCTCGCCAAGCGGCGGCTCCAAGAGCTCGTACGCCAGCGCCGCGCCCGCGACCACTGGAAGCGCGCAATTCTCGGTACACTCTTTCGACGGCCTTGAAAGATTGGTACGGATCGCATGGTATTTTGTGTGTGTAGGAGCGCGGGTGTGTTCGCTGTTTTTGCGGCAGTTTAAGCGCGTGCACTTGACGCGCCTCGAAGCCAGCCACGAGTCGCTGACCGCGCGCAACGAGGCGCTGGAAGCCCGCGTGTTGACGCTCACGACGGAGCTCAACGACGCCAAGAAGCAAAACGAAGCGTTGGCGGCGGCGGTGGTCGAGAACAAGCGGCTGCTGGACGCGCGGGCCGCTCGCATCGCGGCCCTCGAAGCCCAAGTGCCCAAGCCAAAGGAGTCGCTGCTCTCGCGCGTCTTTCGCTTCTTTACGTGCAACTCGGCGCCGTTCGACCTCGAGGACAACGACGACGACGCGGCCGAGCGCACCGTGAGCGAGTGCAGCTCGGTCGACGACCATACGAACAAGGTGACGCCGCCATCGTCGACCACGTCGACGGCGTCCTCATCGACCCCGTCGCCGGCGACGACGAATATGGCCACCAAGCAGGCGCGCAAGCTCTCCAACTTTGTCAAGCCCGCCAAGCGGCAGCACGAAGGCGTCTGGAAGATCAGCCGCTTCGTTTTTTGAAGCATGTACATGTGCGCACGCCGATGGCAGCGTGCGATGGCACATACAACAACAACAACTAGCACCTGGCCGTTGTGGCCACCGATCGCAGGTGGCATCGACACAACATCAACAACCTCAGGGTCCGGTCGTGTATCTATTTATACTAACATCAAGTTGCTTGTGTTTGCATATATACCCTCTGTGCTTCGTCTTCAAGAGACCACTTGCAAAGCGAGTAGAGCCTATATCGTACTCCTGGTCACGGACAACGCGATGAGAGTCGCAAGCCATGAGTAGGCAATGAATTCTATGGCATGCGTGGTGCCGCTGTTGGAAGACGTTTGATTGATTGATTGATGTCGCGCAAAATCAAATAAAGCACGCGTGGATCACAGGTATCGATCGAATCTTTGTAGTTTGATTACGTGCATTTCCCGATTTCCCGATGCAGGATACGCGCTGCAACCGTCAAGCAGCCCCGTCATGCGGGCGACGCTCTGCCTCGTCAACTCCATGCTGGATCTGCGTCGTCTCGGCCGCTCTAAGCGTGGCTACACAGATCGCTAGCTGATCGACGGTGGTAGCCAGGAGTTCTGAAAATTGTAAAAAAAACAATAGTGTAACCGCAGGTGAGTGTCATATGTACGCCTGCTCCAAGCGACCGACCGTACGCATCGTCGTCTGGGATGCAGCAGTGGTTTTGACTTTTGGAGACGCAAACCCAATGCGATAGTTGACAATAGAGGGGGCGTGGGGACGTTGGAAGAAGAATGAAAGATTGCCTTGTTCAGCGTGGTTCAAACCTCCTTGTACGGCGCCATGGCGGTGACGGAATCGTTGTTGTGGAGACGCAACCAAGGGTGTGGCGTTGCAGAGATGGAGTGATATGCCATCAGATTTCTTAGCGTCAAACATGCATACAAGCTGTTAATCTATCATTTTTCCCCTTCAGGCGACGGAAGCGACTTGCATGGCATTTGGACACCAAGTTTGAAGAGGTTTTCTCGTACTGTTGCTAGACTTCATACTGCTGTCGCCGTCCTGTCGTCACGTGTTGCGCGATGGCAATTAGGCGTAAATGAGCATCTTCTCTTGGATGTCGAGGCGGCAAATGGGGCACCGCGTCACTTCGGCGTGGCCCGAGCACGCTTGGCACATGCACACGTGGCGACACGGCAGACACAGAATCGTCTTCTCCGCCGTGAGGCAAATCACGCAGAGCTTGAGCTCCTGCTGCACTTCGACCTGCCTGTCCAGTTGCTGTTTTTGCTCTTGAATCTTTTGCTCCTACACCCCTTTCTGCTACCTGTCGCGGCCAACGACAGAAGGACATACCTTGATGGTGCGCACTTTGTACAAGGCCGTGTCGAGCGTGTCTTCGAGTTCGCGCAGCTCGGCAATCCCAAGCGCGTGGAGCGACTGCGGGTGCCTACGTGTACGTCGTTACGGCGCGATCGATCTTCGGATCGTGGGACCCCGAGAGTTCTTCGAGGCGGCGGCGGAGCGCTTGGGTCACGTGCTCGTTCTGACGCATGCGCCGCATGTGTTCGCGGTACTTTTGCTCGTTGAGCTGGATGCGCTGGCGCAGACTCGAGAGGCTCAGAAGCGCATGCTCCTGCTGCTGTTCGCGTTCGCGGTACGCCTCCATCATGCGCCGGAGCTCGTCGTTCTCCGACTAGTCGCAAGACGTCAGTCGTCCCAACGCGTCAACCTCTGCGAGACGACGTACAAGGATCGCGTCCCGGTCGCGCTCGACGCACTGCATGAGGTACTCGAGCTGTTCGTTGCGTTGCACGAGCTGGTGCTCCAAGCGCGTCATTCGGTGCGGCGACGCGTCGACAACGTCCGAATGGCTCTCATCGTCTTCGCTCTCAAGGTCCAGAGCGTGAAAACGGAGCTCGTCCTCACAATGATTGTTGTTGTTGTTGTTGTTGTTGTTGCTGTTGTCGACACGTGGCACGAAGCTGCTGCTCTCTTTGTGACTCTCCAGCAGCCGGTGGCTGCCATCGTACTCGCGGAAGAGCATGGCGCGGAAGGCCGGGAACGACGGACTCCAGATGAGCCCGTCGAGGGCGCGGGCGACCGCTGTGGCGTGCGGCCGGTCCGAAAACTCGAGGAATCCATGCCTAGCCAACGATCGATGCGGTGTCAGATCGCATCGCACTCCACATGCGCATACCCTTTGAGCAACCCTGTGCTAGGCACAACCGGTAGGACGACTTGAATCGGGTTGGAGAGCTTGCAGAAGAGCTGCGACAAGAGACAAGCATGCAGCGTCTCGCTCGTCGCATCGCTCACGGGCGGGACGTTGACGAGTACGACGACCGACGAGAAGCACGTGCCTGGGCGCGCCGTCCCAAACTCATACTGCGCCTACGCCACCGACTCGCTACGTCTCCTACTATCGTGTGTGTGGCTCGTACCATATCAAACACGGGCCACGGAAACGACGTAGCGCTGGGCGCGAGAATGTCTTGGCGACCCTTGCGTGCTGGCGATTCATGTGCTGTGCTGTTGTTGTTGTCGCTCGCGTGGTCGTCGACGAGCGCTTGGACGATCGATGTAAACGTGCGCGTCTCGCAAATCTCGTTGGCACCGCGCCGTGCGTCTCTCTCGACCACTTCAATGAGCACGGACGAGACAATGTCCGGGTCGAACCCGAGCATGGAGAAATGCGACAGCAAGTTTTGCTCAAAGTCGATCGATGGCGGCGGTGCGTCCTTCGTATCGTTGTCGTCGTCGTCGTCGTCGTCCTCGTCGTCGGACGAGAAGAAGCGGCTCTCGGAGTCGTCGCCCGGCGCGTCGTCCATGTCGTACTCGTCAAGGATCGTCTCGAGGTCGCGCAACTCGAGCGCCTTTTCGCCAAAGAGCCTACTGCGCTCATAGTTTGGGTACACGCGTCGGCGTGTGCTCAACGGCAAGGATGGTTGGTACGACGACGACGTCGCCGCAAAGGTCGATAGTGAGGCAGAATGGGCCGTGTGCCGGGCCATTGGCGTCTTGCTATGGTGTCGGGACGCAAGGTAGTGGGAGACATCTCGGTGCAGGAGACTGCCTTCGGTGTCCGTAGCACGCGACGCATGGGCTGCTAGCATGGGTACGTCGTACGTCGCTGCACGGGCGTGCGTCGAGGGCGTCTCGAGCTCGCCTTCCTCGTACGAGCTCGTGTCGTCCTCGTGGTCTGGATCCTCATCGTCGTCTTCGTCATCATCATCTACGTGTACATGCACCCGTGTTCATGGCTTGGTCATGGGCCATGCGTACCAATGTGGCCGAGCGATGCACCCGTGTGGCTTGGCGTGTCCTTCTCGCCGGGCCCGACGGCGTTGCAGATGAGCGCCATGAGGTAGTCAAAGTCGAGTCCATCCACTTCATCGACATGGTCCATCTCGAGCTCGTCCATGCGCATGGGCTGCAGCCGGCGCAGCTCGTCTGCCATGCTGCCTCGACGCAATCTTCCAAATGGCCCGTGCTCGACCATTTTATTCTGCTCTTTTAATTCTGGATACAATCACGAAATATAAATGGACGAAAGAATAAAATGCCATGGAATTGGTTTTGGATATGCTTCGACTTGGGCGATTTCGCGAAGTCGCGCGGAAGAGCAAGATGGCGGCAGAGAGCGGTGGACCACGAGCTACGAGACGCAGAACCTCCGGAAGCGCGTCTCGATGCACTGCGCATGCTTGGTCGCCTTCATGCCGAACCGGTCCTTGGAGTGCTACAGCATCGCCCATGGGCAGGCGACCGGAAAGGCCAGATAGATAGATACCTCCGAGACTTGCGGCAGGGCACCGCTGCTCGTCTCTGGCTTGGCAAAGGTCGATGGCGTCGCGTACGCACCCGGCCCGAGCGCATCGCTGGTCGACGCCTGCAAGCGTGGCACGCCTACGGCATTGTGGACCATGGACGCCGTCTACCAAAGGCAATGTGAAGCATGCAAAATGGCGCGAAAATGCTGAAAATATCAAAAAAGTCAAATACCGAGACAAGCCGCCCGGCCTGCGACGTCATGGCCGAGTACTTGACGTGCGTCGTGGCCACACGATCCTGGATCGTGCCCTATTGTAGAGATATTGGAATCATCCACTATCGGATGGCATATGAAGTGTACTTTAATGAGCGGCTTGTCGTAGACAATATCGGGCGGGTAGAAAATGCGCTGGTGCTTGGACGATGCATAGTTCTCTGAGCAAAACAGGCATATATGTATATGTACGTACAGAGACCGCTGATGCGTTCGTACCGGGAAAGGTCGAGTCGGACGTGAAGCGCGGGGTCATGGACACGGCCACTGTGCTCACCGGCGCCTTCCCAAGTGTCGATGGCAGTGCGTTGGTCGTCGCCGACTCGGCATACGGCTAAATTTTGCTGATAGAGTGGTTGCAGATCGATTAGCATTTACTCGCTGGGGCGACTCGAAGCGATCAACTTGGCTCGTAAACGTGTACCCGGGCTCGTGCAAATGCTTGATCTACGGCAAAAATATAAGCGTTCACAATGGAGGCTCAGCGAGCGCGTACGACGAGCGTCGTCGGACGCAGCTTGTAGGTGCCCGGTCCCATCTGCTCCGGGTTCCTACACGTATACACTCCATGCCGAGTTGGCGATGAGTTGATCGGCTACGCGTAAGGCTCCTTGGCGTTGATGGCATGCGTCGAGAGCTTGTAGTTGGGCACGCCGAGGAACCGGCCGCGACGGGATCTACGCGCATCAATAAGCGCCGACGGATCGCGCTCGATGGATTTACTTGAACGCCGGGGCGTACGTCTGCTGCGACGACGCCACTGCTTTTGCAATGCCCTTGGATACACACGTATTGGATTGTTGCAAGTACTATCCAATACAGTCGTATCTGGATACCTGGTGACGCCCACGGTCCGTGTCGTAGATGCCCAATGGAATGTTGTTGTCGATTTGGACGCCGTATGGCTCGCGGCCCTTGTCTGGCTTGAGCGGGAGCTTTCCCCGGCACGTTTTGGCGGCAAACGCCCGCTTCTCTTCGTACAGGTCGGTGGGCAAAATCGAGAGCCTAAGATCTCACATGAGGCGTCCACCACTGCAGCAAATTCGACACTGTACACGGCGTGGTACGGGTTGGCCTCGTCGTCGTTTCCGCTGCGCAATACCGCCTTGGCTTTGGTCGTCTATATGCATGCGCAAATGAGGCGAAGTCGAGGAGGTGGTTGTGTTACTACCTTGCAGCTCAGCGTCTCTCGCCACGGCGGCTTGCGCTGCTGACCCATTTGGCTGGGCATTCAAATTTATCCCAGCAAAATGACTCGCCGTTTCACGCCGAGCTCATTTCTTGCGATTTGGATGCGAGTTAGCGTACTGTGGTGAAGTGCACGCTCATTGATACAGGGCTAGAGAGCCTGTTGGGGACGACTTTCAGGTCGTTGTCGGCTTTGATTAAAGGTGCTGGCTACCGCCAAGAAACATGAATTCATTTGAATTGATGTTGTATTACTGCTTTCCGCTGCCAACAACAAAGTACCTAGGAGTGTGTCAACGCCACGCGTGGGGGCAACCCCTTCGGAGGCTGGCCACTACGGATGGGTCCTCCAGTTGAAACCCGAGATGTTACTCTAGCTCACGCGTCGTGGCGGCAGTAAACATGCATACTTCATGTATCGATGAAATCGTTATTGAAAGAGAGGTAGTTGAATTACGAAATGTACCCCGTGACCTTGTCCATGGCGCCGATTTCCATTTCATGGAGAAACTTGTGCGTAAATTCGCCTGTGATTTTGCCGTCGACGACGTTGTAGATAAGGATGGACCCGACGGTCTCGCTGAAGAGGCGCTTCAATAGCCGCGTCGGAATGAACCGAAAGATGACCTCGTACTGCACGTTGGAGAGACGCGTGAGGTTCGAATTCGAGACGTGGAGCATGTTCTTGATGAGCAAGACGCCTTCGTCGATAAGCGTCGCGCCGGTCTTGCTGTCGACGAGCGAGCACCCGCGCGTCGTCGTCGCAATCGTTGAAAAGTCCGAGACCGTGAGGTACTGGAGCATGCTGTTCTCGGCCGCAATTACGATCGGGTCCGGTCGGCGGTACGCGTCGTAGTAGATCGTGAGGATCGCCAGCAGCACGATAAACCCGCACACGATCGCCGAGACAAAGTACGTGTTGGAAATCGCGCTAAAGTTGTAGCAATTGGTGGACGACGTGAGCGCGCAAGTGGTCGGCGTGTTCTCGCTCGCGTACGGAAACACAAAGCCTTCCAAGACAAAGACAACGACCCAGTTGACGAGACTGAACGCGAGGAGGAGCCATGTCTGGGTCACAATGAGCGGGTTGAACCAGATCTGGATCGCGGTCCCTGTCATAATGCCGACGATCGACGCGATTTGCGCCGCGCCGCAGAGCGCGTAGAACGTCGTGTTGAAGCCGACGACGGGATTTTGCCGCAAGAACGTCGAGAGCGCTTGGAGATTCTCGTTGCCCCAGAACGCCACAAACAGAATCGCGGCGCCGACCACATTTTTCGACATGTAGACAGGCATGACGCAAATGACACTGCGGCGCAGGAAAATGGTCTGCAGCAAGACCAGATACAGCGTCATGACCCAGAGCACGATCGAGTTGGTCAGCATGAGCGAGTCGCACTTCCACGTCATCGTCACGACGCCCTGCATCTGCACGAGCCAGCCCGAGTTGGTGCTCGGGTTGAGCGTCGCACAGCTGGTCACGGCGAGCACATCCCACGGCGCACTTGCCTGCACCACGCCGCGTTGGTACTCGTCGACGCCTGGCACCGACTGGAGAAAGACGCCGCCAGAGAGACCGCCAGAGAGTTCGGCTTGACGACCCGCGTTCATGTACACTTGGTTTCGCTTGACGACGCCAACGAAGCTCGCGGTGCCCTTGTTCATTTGGAGAACGTACGTGTTGACAGTCGGGCCGACTTCGTTTTCGCAGCCCCAATTGGCGTCATACGTGCGCTGCGAACAGAACGCGAGCGCGTCGTTGACCGCCGTCGACGCGGCTTGCTGCGTGAGGTAGAAGTTGGCGCGACGAATCATGCACGTAATCGCGATCGGCATGCCGTCAATGTAAAACTGCGCCAATGGCGTGTTCTTGCCCGCGAGGTTGTTGATATGTGAGAATTTGATCACTTGGTTTGGATCCTGGAACGCCGGTTGATCAAAGTTGGGGATGAGCGCGAAGGCGTTGCCGAGGATCGTCCACGCCGCAAGTGCCGTCGGCGCAAACGATGCGGCGCACGCGGCATCGGCGCAGCTCGTCGTGTACAAGTCGATGAGCGACGGCGGATTGGCGTTGCCAGAGCTCACGGCAGCGAGGACGCCCGAGCCTTGCAGGAGCGCACCAATAGGAACTTCTTTCGGGTTGCTGCTGAACGTGTCGAGGATGGTACCAAAAAAGATCGGCGTGTTCGCAATCTGGTTGAGGTAGTACGTCGTAATGGCCACGATCGTCGCAAAGCCCGTGCAGAGCAAGGCGAGCACGAGACCGTGACGAAAAGGCGCGCGCTCAGGCACCACGAGTTTGGAAAACGTCGCAAACTTGCCCGAGCTGGTCGTAGATTTGCGAGCCGCCGAGCTCGGACCGATATTCGTCAGCGCGAGGGGCCCGATTGGCACCACGTCCGCCTTGGACTTGTCGCACATGCTCGTCACACTGATGGAAATACAATGGCCGTTATGTCGCTCGCTGCCCTTGCTATTCTAAACGGATGCACACCCGCCATATTGCGTGGCCACGCAATCTAATTTAGAACGCGTCCGTTGGGCGTGCTAGTCCCGGTTCTTGCCACTACTGTCCATTGTGCTAGCGCGATCTCTCGACGGCGCTGTGCACAGTCGCTCCCATTCGCGGCGCGCCAACTTCAACACCCCTGCAAGATCGCGCACGTGCGGCGATGCCACGTCAGTACGGATATCCCACCCACGTATCCGTACCATCTGAAAATGCTTGTGGCGGTGCATTTTATTATTTTATTCTCATCCTGCTCTTTTTTGTATTAAAAGCAATGCGGTTGGAATAAAAATATGCACCTTACCTTGCGATGGGTATGCCGATGACGCGCGATCCACATTGTATTAAAATACGATCCGCAACCCATTTGAGCCAGGAGAATTTTAATTCAACTTTGATTGCGTACACCGGACGCTGGCCGAAGATCAGTTTCGACGGCGAGGAGCGAGCGACCGCGTTGGCCAGCCACCAGAATCGCAATGACCGCCCAGACGACGACGACCAAGACGGTGACCGTCCTCGACTACGGCGCTGGCAACGTGCGCAGCCTCACGAACGCGCTCCACGCACTTGGCTACGAGGCCACCTTTGTCACGTGCGTCGAGGACATTGCCGCGGCCAATGTGCTCCTGTTTCCTGGCGTCGGCAACTTCCAGCAAGCCATGCACTTTCTCAATGCCAATGCGTACGTGGACGCCCTGCGCGCGTACATTTGCGCCAACAAGCGCTTCCTTGGCATCTGCCTCGGCATGCAAACGCTCTTTGAAGGCAGCGAAGAGTGCCCGGGCGTCAACGGCCTCGGTGTCGTGCCCGGCATCGTCACCAAGTTCCCGACGAACGCGCTCGCCGTGCCGCACATTGGCTGGAACGGCGTGAACGCGCGGAAAGCGTCGCCGCTCTTTTCGCAGCTCGCCAACGACGCCAATGTCTACTTTGTGCACTCGTTCCGTGCGACACCAACGGACGCGAACCGCGACTGGGTCCTCACGACCACCAACTACGGCGACGTCGAGTTCATCAGCGCGATCCAGCACGGCAATGTCATGGCCACGCAGTTTCACCCCGAGAAAAGTGGCGCGGTCGGCCTCCAGATGCTTCGAGGCTTCCTCGAAGGCGACGCCTCGGTCGCCCCGATCTTGCCGCTTCGACCGTTCGGGCGCCGGCGCCGCCGACTACGCTGTGCAAGCGAGTCATTGCGTATGCATCTCTCTCGGTCGAACGGGCCATATATGGGGATCTCACGAATGTACTACGCGTAGCTGCCTCGACGTGCGCTCCAACGACCACGGCGACCTCGTCGTGACCAAGGGCGACCAGTACGACGTCCGCGAAGCCAGCGACGGCGGGAACGTGCGCAACATGGGCAAGCCCGTCGAGCTCTGCACACGCTACTACAACGAAGTACGACACGTTTGCACTGGAAGCATGGCCAACCCGTGGCTGGTAGGGCGCCGACGAAGTGGCCTTTCTCAACATTACGAGCTTCCGCGAGCAGCCACTCGGCGACACGCCGATGCTCGCGGTGCTCGAAGCGTCTTCAAAAGAGGTGCGCTTCTTCTTCTTGCTCGCGTTTCTTGGAGACTAAGATGAGGCGGGGTAGGTGTTTGTTCCGCTCACGGTCGGCGGCGGCATCCGAGGCTACACGGACGACAGCGGGCGCACGTGGTCGGCGCTGGACGTGGCCGCGCGCTACTTTCGCGCGGGCGCCGACAAGGTGTCGATCGGCAGTGACGCCGTCGACGCGGCCGAGGGGTACTACGCGGCCAACAAGGTGCTCTCCAAGTCGACGTCGATCGAGCAAATCTCGACCGTCTATGGCCGCCAAGCGGTTGTCATTTCGGTCGACCCGCGCCGCGTCTATGTTCCGTCGCAAGCAGACACGCGCCACCACGTTCTTGCGCTGCAGCACCAGCTCGGGCCAAACGGCGAGACGCACTGCTGGTACCAGGTCATGGTCAAGGGCGGGCGCGAAGGCCGGGACATGGACGTCGTCGAGCTCACGCAGGTGCGAAATTGATATGTTGATGTGTCGATAGTTGCCAGAGATGACCGCGGGGCGTAGGCGTGCGAAGCCCTTGGCGCGGGCGAGATCCTCCTCAACTGCGTCGACATGGACGGCCAGAACGCAGGCTACGACCTCGACTTGGTCAAGCTCGTCAAGCAGTCGGTGACGATTCCGGTCGTTGCGTCGAGCGGCGCGGGCAAGCCGTCGCACTTCACCGATGTTTTCCGCACGACCAACTGCGATGCGGCCTTGGCCGCCGGCATCTTTCACCGCCAAGAGGTCAAGATCTCGCAAGTCAAGGACCGTCTCCACGCCGATCAGATTCCCGTCCGCACGTAATCTGTGTGTCCCCGAACAACGACGTTGTCATGCTGCATGTACTTAAGCATATCTTGCGTTTCTCTCAACGTCACGTCGACGCCTTCTCGAGCTTGCTCATCGATTTCGACGACGGCGGCTTCTCGTCGCTCGACGATGGCACACCGAGCGCATGCAGGATTTGTTGCAGAGACGCCTGCGACCGCTCCATGGTCCGTCGCATCTCGCTGAGCTCGGCGCGGTGCTTGGTTTCAACTACACACATCATGCGATAGTACTCTCTTCAAACAACAAGAGGCAATCGCACTGGCGACGAGCCGCTCTTCAAACGCCAAGACCGACGTCGCAAACTTGTCGGCGATCTTGGCTGCATCGCTGTGCACCTTCTCGCGCAGCTTGAGCTCGTGGCGCTGGGCGTCAATAATACTCAGGAGCACGCTCCGCTCCCTACGCCGTGTGTTTTGCGCGATCGATTGCAAGGCGGAGGCTACTTGTCCCAGGCCTTGTCGTCGGGCGCACCGCGGTGGTCGAGCACGCGTTGCACTTGCCGGTCGAGGTCGTGGTTGGACGACGCTTGCACGAACGAAGACGCGCGCGACAGAGACAATGGTGACCCGCGGTGGGTCGGCGACTGCTTGCGCCCGCCGTGGTAGTGCATCGACTCGGACTTGCGCGGCGAGAGCGACTGCGCGCGCTGCCGCGTCGGCTACACGCACCGAAGGAGGATGACCTGATGCAGCGTGTGGCGGGTCGTACGCTCCGGGACACGCGGTTCGTCTTGCTCAGCGGAAATGGCTTGCACGTCGTCGTGAGCTCAAAGTTCTTGTTGGTCGAGAGAAAGAAGGCGCTACAAGCCTCAATGCAGTAGTTGCGATCGATGGACGTGTACCGCTTGGACGCTTCGTCCTGCACTTGCCGCGCCTTGTGCTGCCGCGCTACGTGCGTCTGCATCGCGTGGACTTCGGCGCGGTGCGTGAGCTTGCTCGCGTCGGGTATTCGCCCCCGCGACTCGCGGTTCGTCTGCGCTGCGTGAGATTATGCCATATCGTGCGGACGGTAAATGCACCTTGGGCGTGAACGTGCAAGGGCCATGACGGTCGTCGTCGAGCCGCCGCGCCTCCAGCGCCAGCTACACGCCGTCAGCAAGCGGCCAGGACGCCTCAGGTGTACCTTCTTCTCGCCATGGCGCTTCCACTTCATCTGCCGCTCGTACAAGCCCGAGCTCATCTGCGTCCGAGTCGTCGAGTCGTTACTTTGCCATTGGTGTAAAACCGCCCTTTTGTAGACAGGCCATGGCCGAGCCGTGGGAGCTCGCGGTCGGGCCGACGCCAGCCGCGCGGACGGTCAAAGTGGCGCAGGACGCGGCCGAGCTCCACCGCGCCCACCACGCGCCCATGCACGGCGTCGACGTCGACCATTTGCGCGAGATTGGCGCGAGTACGCTCCACCTCGAGAGCCAAAGCCGCCAGCTGACGGCCACCAAGAGCGCGACGCGGCACAAGAAGAAGCGCATCGAGCACTCGTTCGAGCCGCCGCCGCTCGAGCACGATGGCACGCTGCACAAAACCGAGCTCGTACGTCGTCGCCGCCGCTTGCGACGCATAGTAGCATGGTGTAGGATCAAATTCTCATGGCCGAGGAGTGGGACACGCGGTTCTGGAACAAAGTCAAGATCAACGAAGCCATCCAGACGCTGTACATTGAAGTCGAGCGCGGTATCGACCAAATGCGGCGCGACCTCGCGCTGCGCATGCTCGTGCATCTCAACAAGCTGCACCCTGGTAGCCGCATGCGAGTCGCTCAGCATCCTCACCACCTTGGTAGAGGCGCACGCATACAATGACAACAACTTGCCGATGCTCACGAGCAAGGCGTTTGCGAAGCTTTCGGCGACGACCCATGCGGACCATGTCTTCAACATGGCCGAGCTCGTCGCGACCTTTGCCGATGCGTACCCGATCGAGCTCGCCAACGAAAACGCGGTGCGGCGTCCATACCAAAACGCCGCGTTGATACCATATATGGAATCGTAGGTGCTCCGCGCGCTGCAGTGCGTCTTGCGCCGCATGGACTGCGCGGCGCGCGTCTTGCAGCACGCTCGCCGACGTCTCGTCTTTGAGCGAAGCCTCCGCCGACGCGACATTTCAGTGGACGCGCGGCTGCGCGCCCGCGCCGTCAACTTGGCCAAGACGTTCGACCTCCAGCGGCAGCAAAAGGAGATTCGCGATGCGCACCACGGGCGGCCGCTGCCACCGCGGGCCCAGCACGCCTACATGCGCATCGTCCACACGCTTTTAAAGTACGAGTTTGAGCACCGAAACGACGCAGGGCGCCACGACGTCCGCAAGCTGCTCCACACCGGCGCGCTCGTCTGGCTCATCCAGTGCGTCCGGCAACGCGGCGAGCTCGAGCTCATGGCTCTGCATCTCTTTACGATCCTCGCATGCGACAAGAACTACATTGGCGACGTCCTTCTCTCCAATATTGTCTTGCACCTTGCCGACAACTTGGTCGCCAGCGACCGTACGTTTCGATGCGACCATGAAGTTATTCGTGGTTGTAAGGTCTTGTGCATAGTAGAGTCCGACGCCACCACGATAGCCTCCCTGGCCTTTCTCGACGCCGCGTGCAAGAGCATGAGTGCCATGGTGCTGCGGCTGCACCGACCGCACCACGACGTTGAAAAGAAGAGGCTCCGGTCCACGCGCCGACCGGGTCTCCCTCCCTCGACAAACGCTGCCTCCTCCTCCTCCTCGCCGACCACCAACTCTAGCAGCTCCTCCGTCGACGACGACGACGCAGCGTTTCTCAACCGCACGCTCCCCGCCATCATTGCCGAGCGCGTGGTCGCCGTACGAACGTTCCAGAGCCTCTTGCGGCTTCTTGGGCACCCGAAAATGTCACTCGCAGCCCTCCAGGTAAGACAAACGAGCGCCAAGCAAAACCTGACGTGCAGTAGGTGTTGCACAAGATGGCGCATCCGAGCATCGGGTACTTGGCGCTCGTCGACGTCGTGACGCGCAACGGGGCCGGGCCCTCGAGGCCATCGTGCGCTGCCTCCCAAGCGACGACCTCGCCGTGGGCCTGGCCTCGCTCCAGCTGCTTTTCGCGCTTAGTGCGGGCGACGAAGGCCGGGACGCGCTCACAACGGCAGGGCTTGTGCTCTTGGTGGCGCCTCTGTGCGCGCCGGGCTTTCGCCGCCCCGGCAACAGTACGCAACGTCAATATAACTTGTGTGTTTGAACGGAATGACCCCACTACCGCGTAGGCTACCGCTTCGTGCTAGGGCTCCTCGTGATGACGAGCCTCGCGTCGCCGTCGCCGCTGAGCTTTGGTCCGTCGGCCGACAGCCTCGAAATGGTGCTGGAGCTGGCACCGCCTACGCTGCTCAACTTTGCATTTGACTTTCTCTTGCTCGCGTGCGAGGACGACGGGCGCGTCGGCGTCTACCTCGTGCGCAATAACGCGCTCGAGTTTCTTCTCGACGTGCTCGTGCAGCCGCTCCAAACCCACACGCACCAAGCGCAGACGCGCTACCAGCGGTGCTTTCTTCATATTGGACGATGTTGGTCCAATATACTACGTACGATGCGTAGGCACGCGAGCACGATCATTCTGGCGAGCTTGACGCGGGTCAAAGCGATCGCGGCGCGGGTCGCGTTCCGAGACGACGTCTTGCGCCATGTGGCGCTCGTGCTCCAGACCAACCGCATGGACGAGGTCGACGGCCACGGGCTTTCGCGCCACGAGATGCACTTGCATCTGCGGAGCTCGGCGGCCGCCATGCGCACGCTCGTCCGCTGCTTGCGGGTGCAAATGCAGCCGGATTTGGCGCCGAGCCTCCTCGTGGCGGCGCAGGTGACCATTTCGCAGACGCTCTTGAAGCTTCATGCAGTCGAAGATGTCGTTGCATACGTTCGACCGCCCAAGTACGCTCGCGATCGCGATCGACCTGTCCTTGACGAGTGTATGTCTAGCCTTGTGTCGGACTGGGTGGCTGCCGACACGGACGCCGTCAAGAGTGCGTTGCAGCTCCTCGGGCTCATGTGTCCGTCGCCGCTGCCAGAGCATGGCAACCACGAGACGACGACTGTCGTTGTCGGATCGCCGCCGCGCGACGTGACAGTGACGCTCGCAACGCTCCAATCGCTCTGCACACGCCTCATCGACATGTAGACGCTCTCCTTTTCGATGATATCAACGCGACGACGACACGTGTAGGGCGGCAACGGCCGTGCTGCGCGCGATTGCGTCGGACGAGCCCTTACCGCGCGTGATCAAGTGGTGCTGCAAGACTCTCTCGCAGCTCGCGTGCACCAACGCGTCGGCATCGCAGCTGCTGAGCTACCGCTGCATGGACGTGGTCGCGATGCTTGTGCCCAACGTGCCGAGCAGTCTCACCGACGCATCCGGCGTGCGCCACACCAACCTCACGGCGACCAGCGTCCACGACGACAAGTACGTATGATGCATATATGTTGGCTAAAACAAAAACACAAAACACAAAACACGACGTGCGTACTAGGCTGCTCGCGCTGCCGTCGACGTTTTACACGCTTGTCGCGACACTCTGCCGCGTGCCCGATGGCCGCGCCGCGGTCGCCAAGCTCAACATGCTGCCGCGCATCTTGAAGCGCCTGCACTTACGGTGCGCGTCGGCCAAGCAAGACGAGTGGTGCCGCACTGAGCTAATGCGGCTCGTGCACGCCATGGCGCACACCAACACGATCGGTCTCGGCAACGCCAACGAGCTCTTCTTGCGCCACCACGTGCACTCGGTCGCTGTCGAGATGCTCGAGTCCACGCCGTGCTTTGTGCCACCCGCCGCCATGTACGAGTCTTTCGAAGTTCTTGTTGACCATGGTAGCGTAGGCACGAGCAAGCGCTGGGCGCACTGGGCGCGTTGGCGCTCGATCACATGCGCTGCATTCCGCCGCTCCTGTCCGTGGGCGTGCTCAAGCACTGCGCGGCGTTGCTGCAGGCGTACCGCGACCACGACGCGTCGTGTTCACTGCATGCGCTCGAGAGCGCGCTGCAGATCGTTCTCGGCCTCGCGCTGTACCCGTCCGACACGATCCAAGCAGCGCTTTCGAACGCAAACGTCCAAGACGACCTGCTCCGCATCGGGTGTTCGTTCCATTTGGAGATGCAGAAAGCGAAAATCAGCTTCCGCGGCGCCAAGTCCCTCGGCGAAATGGCGCGCGAAACGCTGCGGCACATGGGGGACTACGTCAAGAAAACCCAAGCGTGTATGTGATCCAAGTGCTATCTCCAGAGCGCGTACGATCGCGATATCGTGTAGATGAGCAGCGCTTGAAGCAGTCTCTCGGCCAAGAGAGTCCGCCGCGACGGTACGTGCTGATTTGAGTAGTCCTATCACCAACTATGGCGTGCTAGATCCCCGGGCAAGCCGCAAGAGCACTCCATGAGTTCAGAGGCGCGCACCGTGAGTCTTCCAGCCCTTCTCGATATCAGCCATGCTAGTCGACCACCGCTCGAGATTGTGAGAAACAACTCGAGCCGCCCCAACTCGCCGCAGCAAGCAAGTAACATGGTGCCCAGCCTCGTGCCAAGCAGTGATCTGCGGCACACGCGACCACCGGGGCCGTGTCCGACGCCCGACAAGCCGACCGTACGAGATGACAAGCCGCTGGTGAAGAAGAGCAACGAGCCATACCGCTTTAGTCGACCCAAGGCGGCCGAGGCTCAAAAATACCCGTTCTTGCTGCTCGACCCGCTCTTTGGCGCCGTCGACATGGGCGTCGATCCGAGCGTGCCGGGCCTCGCGCTGCGAAAAGCAACGAGTTTGCCCAAGGCGCGCCAGCTTCCGCCGCATACCAGCGCGGTGCTCGGCCACTGCGTCGAGCTCCAAGCGTCGCCGGATACCAAACAAGTGCGTCTCGAAGCGTGCACCTTGAGTGCCAAGCACAGGCCAAAGCACTAAGATCTGCGTCTCGGAAGTGTAAACTCGACAAAATCCATGCCAAAGATCCTGTTTTGGACCATTACCACATGTCGCAAAAGGTTGTCGTTGGGCCAATGGGATCCAAGGTCCGTGGAAGCGATCTTCTTGGTGTCGTCGATGGGAAAGGTTGTGGGTCGAAGCTGCTGCGTTCGATATCGGCCCGTCGTCAGTGGCGCGACGGAATGCGTCTTTTTAGGCTGGCAGGACGCTCTTGGAGTAGTTCTATGTCGTAGAAGCCGCGCTATACAAGGTGCCATGTCGCGCTAGATGAGGCGTAGTACACTTGTATCTGGACTGCTGCGAAGTGCATTCCATGGCCAGTGCCTCAAGCCACTGTGGGCGGTCCCTTGCTTCCGTCGCCGAGGCAAGCGATGCGTTGATCGACGAGATTGCATTTTCTAATAAAAGGCTACTACCACAGCGACGCCGTTTTATTGTGGCGAGCTTCCAGCGCTTGGCATTCGCGTTGGTGGCGCCTTCGAAAAACTCGCGACATGCAGTTACACAATTACAGCGGCCTGCGGATTTGTGTGCGGGCAACCTCGCGTATAATATGCCAAGCATTCTGGCAAACCCAAAGGCTCGTACTACGCCATGAAGGCCACTCTGTTGCCACACGAGGAGGAGCACCTGTCGGCTCATTTTCCATTGCACTGGTCCCAAGACGGGCGAAAGATCTCAGAGCATGCAACGCCGACTGCAGAGCCTGCGCATGGACGGCTACGCGATGCAGTGCCACACGCTTTACGTCGGCGCCAAGCTCGTCTACCGCGTCACGATCCAAACAGCGATTGCACCTCATGCGATGTGGGTCGCCGGCGTGAGCAAGGCCAAGCTCGAGGCCTTCCGCGGCCAGCTCACGCGCCTCGTCGAGGCTATGCACGCCGACCCGGTCGAGCCGTGGAGTGCGGACGGCCACATTGAACGTCTTCTGGAGCACGTGTTGGACATCGCGACCAAGCTCCATGCGACGACGTTTGCGACCAGCACCGACGACGACCGCGACCTCGTCGAGCGGTTTGTCTTTGACGTGCTCTCGGCGTACACGCTGCTGACGAGTCTCGAGGTCGCCGACGTGAGCGCGTCGGCCTTGGCCAACCAAGTGCTGCACTTTTACGTGGTTTTGCGCGAGTTTCTCATGATTCCGGACGACGTCACGAGCGCCCGCAATCGGCTCGCGATCGCGGTGATGAACCTCACCGACATTGAGCCGCCGACGGGCCTTGGCGGCGGCTGCAGCATCTGTCTCGAGCCATGGCAACACGTCAATGCTCCCGCCGCGCTTGCAACCGTCCAGCTACCGTGCGGCCACGTGTACCACGACGAGTGCGTTCTCGGATGGATACGCCAGAACGCCAACTGCCCCGTCTGCCGCGCGGTCATTGGACCCGTTCCGTAGAGCGGCTTTCCATCGATAATTTATGCATGACGTTCAACACATTTGAAATGTACATTTTGCGACCATGCGACGGAGTGATTCATAAGGAACGCTTCAGTAAGGCTGCGATGGTGGAGGCCTCCGATGGATGTAGGTAGCTCTTAGTCAAGTGTGGCTAGTGACGGTCACACCCGCGACAGCCACCTCAACCTAAGCACAGGCAATTACTGCTATGCGTCATGACGTTGCTGTTGGAGTTGATGGGCTTCGGGCTCGCGGTGTGCTCCTTTACGCCATGATACAGTTCCAGTCTGAATACAGGCGATATATGCGCCATGCGCCAAGCATCCCAAACTGGGCCAGATAGCTCTGCCAGATCTGTCAGATCAAGTGCGTTCGATAGCTCGTTGGCATGCGATGCACTGCGTAGAGTTGAGTACGCGGGTTGTGGCATCATGGTGTCATCGTCTGCAGCACGGTTAAACGTCCACATCGAAACCACACGTAGTATGAGGCGTAGAGCCATGAAGGCTGGACCTGCCTACGACCGCTTCCTACAGCGTTCACCTCCTGTGTACGTTGATGGTGTACACTGTACATCGACCAACTCGCGTAGCTCTCCGGCTGGATACTGCGCGTACCGTCGCATTGCGATCTTCCGACACGATGGCGTGATTTTAGACTCGGACGCGTATCCGGATGTGTGGGGTTCCGGCAACCTGCCAAAATTAATAGTATTACGCCCACAGAGGGGCACCATTCATTCATTCTTCGCGAAGACGACGAGAAGCAGCATGTACAAGCAGGTCAAGGTGCGCACGAACCAGGTCATGAAGATGGTCAAGCCCGTCGTCCACTACGGCTTCCTCCCGCTCGTCATCTACCTCGGCCTCAAGAACGACCCGGACGTCGACCTCCTCATGGTGCTTCTGCCGTGGGTGCAGCCCGAGGCCCCGGCTGGCGGCTTCTAAGCCACCAAGATCTTAGCCTTCGTTTGCCTTATATACAGCTAGTACACGTCATCCCATGCCATGATGCCTCTGCGAAACTGCTTCTGCCACCGAGGGGCAAGGCGGGTCGCCATATTCACGTTGTGATTATCAACGTCCTCCTGCGGCGTCTTAGCACTTCCAGATGCGGCACGTGTTGTCCTTGGAGCCCGTGATGATCGTGTCGCCTTCGTAGTTGAAGGCGCAACTAAAGATCTCATCGGTGTGGCCTTCGAGCATTTGGAGACAGTCGCCGGTCTCGACTTCCCAGAGCCGCGCGACCTTGTCCGAGCTCGCCGTCAACACCTTGGAGCCCTGCGGGTTGAACGTGACTTTTGAGATCTCTGCTTCGTGGCCGATCAAGATGGCTTGGCACGCGCCCGTCATCGTGTTGTAGATGCGCGATGTGCCGTCGGCCGACGCTGTCACGAGCTTGGAGCCCGTCGAGTTGAAGGACACGTCCAGGATTTCGTCGTTATGGCCGCGCAGCGTCTATCGCTAGATGTAAAGCGCATGGTCACCGACATGTCTGTGATACCTGCACGTTTTGACCGCTGGCAACGTCCCAGATTTTGCAGGTCCGGTCGATGGACCCGCTGATGCAGAGCTCGCCCGTGTAGCTAAACTGCGTACTCGAGATCTCGCCGTGGTGTCCCGCCAGCGTGTGGATACAGCTAGGCATCCCAGCCATGAGATTTGCACTGCAACCAACGCGTGTACCGTCCACTGCGCACGTCCCAGACCTTGACTGTGTGGTCGAACGACCCGGTAATGATCTTTTCGCCTTGGGCGTCAAAGTTGAGACTCACGATTTCAGCCGTATGTCCCTACAAAGCTGCATGAGAGCCTTCTGTGCGCGCTATCGCAGCACCGTACCAACAGCGTGTGCAACTCCTGGCCGCTCTCGACGTCCCAGAGCTTGGCTGTGTTGTCCATCGACCCGGTCGCAATGACCGTGCCTTGCGGGTTGAAGGACAAGCACACAATCTCGGTCGAGTGCCCACGGTACGTGTGGTAGAGCTGTCCCGTATCGGCATTCCAGAGCTACGAGACGTCTTCCATGAGCATACATGGAGTTGCTACATGCCGAGTCATCATCACCTTGCACGTTTTGTCGAAGGACCCTGTGATGATCTTGTCGCTACGCGCCCATGAGCGGTCACGCCGCATCGGGCGCACGACGTACCCATAGGGGTTGTTGAACGCGATGGCGTACACGACGTTTTTGTGACCCTCAAGCGTCAGGAGCTCGTCGCCACTCTGGGTGTCCCAGACTTTGCACGTGCGGTCATAGCTGCCCGTGATGAATCTACCGGACAGCATGAAACTTCTGTGGGCATACGCGCTGGCGTACTTGTCGCCCGACTTGTTGAACGCGCAGTTGGTCAGCGGCAAGATATGGGCACGGAGGATCTTGAAGAGGTAAAAGTCGCTGTTGTCGTTCACTTCGAGCTTCTCAATGAGCTCTATGCCACTTGCATGAGGCGAAGCGAGGCGACGGCCACGTACTGTAGATGAGCCGTCGGAGCTGCGGCTTGCGCGACTCGGAGATGAGCGGCTCCTCAAAGACGATCTGGTTCACGAGCACCTCAATGTCGGACCTACGCAGCCCATGCTGAGCTGGCGCATATCGATCGGATCGCCACGTACTCGGCCGTCAGATGCAGGAGGTCGATCTCCTTCATCTCGCGCGTCGCATCGCGCAGCTCGTACTCGAGGATGATCCCCGGCGGGTAGTAGCGCAGGAGGAACCGCTTCAGCTTCATGAGGCCACGCGCAAGATCTGGCAATGGCCGGCAAAGATCGCGGCCGTAGCCAGTGCAATTTAATGCAAAGTCGAATCTCTCACTTGATATTGGTATACTTGCAGGAATAAAACCGCGCCACGTCCGTTCACAGCCGCACCCGCAACCGTTTTGGATGCGTATCCGGACGAAGATCGCGCGGGGCGAGTATCCGGATATCTGGCAACCACTAAACGACTACCAAGATCATCGCCACGACTACGCGATCGACTAGACGAGATCGACTGCGATTAACTACGAATACCCGGTAATACAGTACCGACGACAAAAACGCCGAAAACAAACTCACGTCGACAAGATGAGATCGATGGCCAAGCACGAGGAAGGAGCTTGGAAATGGGCTTGACGCGCGGCCGCTGAATTCCCGTCTGACGCGACTCAACGCCGGCGAGGACAAGACTTTTGGGCTCCATAAGAGTGAAATTTTCGCGAGATTGTGTGCGCCTCCATCGATCGGACATGGCGGCGTTCGGTGGCAAGGCGCCTTGGCGGAGTCGCGAGGAGCGGTCTCGCGCCGCCGCGTTCCGCGCTGCCACAGACATTCCTGGCAACGACGACCGCGTGCTTCCTTGAAACGACTTGGCGGCGGGCGAGATTATTGTTTTGGGCTTGTCGTGGTTTTGTTCCACCGATCGGTCCGTTAAACCAACTGCTTTCGTACGTGCATGGCCAATGTGAACTCGATCCGCAACATCCAGCAGCAGTGTAGTGCATACCAGCAGCGATTGCATCATCTCGGTGGTGCGCTGCATCCTGGGGCCGGTTGCCGTTGTGCAAGCAACGGGTCCGTCTCGATGATGCTTGCTCGGCACCGTGTAGACTCTAGTATTACTCCACAGCGCGCGCGTTGGATGGATGATGCCAAGCCCGCTCTTGGTGCTGACGAGCAGGTAGGAGTGTGGTAGTCGTGGAGCAAACGACCCGTTACGTAGCGTCACTACGCCTCGAGGAGCACGCATTGCATCCTCCTCCAGCGCAGTATGCGGTGGTTGTGGGAGGAAATTGGCGCGTTTCCGCTCCCGACCCAAGTGCAAATGAACTCGACGACAGTGATGAGGCGGGCATCGCAGTGACGCTTTTCTATGCAGCTTTCCGCCAAGGCGATCTCTTGACTTATCGGTCGCCGTGCCATTTCGGTGCCGATCGTTCGTGTGGCATGGTCAGTTTGGCACCCTGACACCATCCAAACTTCAGAAAAGCCTCCCAGATCGCCATTCTTGCCGCACGTGCAACACGGACGTCGTCAGGCGCGCGCCAAATTTCAGCCACAAATTTCGCCGCTCGTAGGTCGCAGCCAGGGTTGGACGCCTGCCAGAGTTGCTGTCGCCAATACGGCTTCAACTCGCCGCGCACTGAGTTGGCTGCTATTCCGAGACTCTGTCACCGCCACGAGGGCGATATGATGCCACAATCAGCGTGTCCAGCGCACGGCGGCCACCTCGTCGGCCAGCCGGCGTCGCGGAAGCCACCGCGGCATACAAACCCGAAGTCGTCGCGTCGTCTGCATGTGCCAGCCACGCTTTTGGACGGAAACCAGATGGAGCATGCGTCACATCCGTGACGACCCCACACCGCCTTCAAGTTGTCGCGGCGTGTGGGCAGGAAGAGGCGGCGGCGCTCCTGTCTCGAAAGACGCACTTGCATTGCGAGCCGGTCGTCTTATTGATCAGTGTGCGCCCCTCGCGTAGGGGCGCCAAAGACGTGGCGCCACGTCCGGGCATCAATCATCGCGGTTTACTAGTATCTTTACATTACAGCGTGGCGCGGACGAGGCCGGGAATGGTGCGCTGAGATGCTTAGGATCCGCGCGTTTAACGCGTCGCCCAGTATAAACCCGACGCGATCCACCAATGGGCTTCCGCGCCGTCTCTTTAACGCCGTTTCGACAGGCGCGTGGGCTGCGACAGCTGGGCGTGAGTAAGCAACGGTCGGATACTCGGAGCTGTCGCTTCCTTGCCGCGCTTGCTACACTGTACCCTTCATACATTGGGGCTTGTAAAGACCGACGATGAGGCCAGAAGTTTCGGTTGGCAATTATATCAATCCCACCACCACCCTCCTCCAGCTCATTTCCCAACTTTCCGCATTAGTGGCATCCCCCGTGGACGATGCTGCCAACGACGTCGCCGACAACCTACTCGCCGCAAAAGACGACCTCGATGTCGTCTTCACCCAAGGCCATCAACTCGGCGGTCGCGCCCTTCCTTGCGTCGCTCTACGAGATCCTCGCCAAGGAAGACGCCAAGATCATCTCGTGGTGCGACGACGGCAAGTCGTTCATCGTGCACGACAACGACGCCATGGAGCGCGACATTCTGCCCACGTACTTTCGCCACAACAAGTATGCGAGCTTCCAGCGCCAGCTCAACTACTTTGGCTTCCGCAAGCTCCACAAGGCGCGCGAGAACGACACGAGCTCTGTCTACTGCCAGCCGTGCTTTGTCAAGAACGACCCGTCGCGCATGCTCCTCATCAAGCGCAAGACGCACCGCCTCAAGGGCTCGACGCCGCGCAACGGGTCAACGCCGCGCAACGGCGCGCAGCGGTCGCCGATGGCGATCGACGACTTTGCCTTCTACCCGGGCCAGTACGGCCATGGCATGGACCTCGAGCATCACAGCATGCCGGCCTACACGCGCGCCAAGAGCGTCTCGGACCCGATGATCTACCTGCCGCAAAACAGCAACTCGACGCCGACGCACGGCTACACCAACATGTACGAGTCGCCCTTTATGACCGTCAACCCGTTTTTGCAAGTCGAGGCCGGCAACTACGGCCGGCCGCACGCGCTCTCGGACCCGGCGCTCCTCTACCAGATGCCGAGCGCGGCGCTCGCGACGCCGGTCGCCAACCCCGACATGCAGGTCGAGACGTCGATGGCCCTCGAGTTTGCGACCATGCAAGTGTGGCATCCGGACTTTTTCCCGCAGACGACGCCGTCCGAGGACCCGATCCCGTTTGGCGATGCGACGACGACCGACGACGCCAAGCTCTTTACCACCGAGGACCTCCAGCTGCTCTGCGACGACCCGCTCGAGTGCTATCTGTGAGTCGTCCGCGCTCCGTGTCTGCTGTGCCATACTAGTCATCTTTGTTGTTCGCGAGTCATTTATTACTAACCTTATCACGCTGCCAAGCGACGTCTTCTTCCTCTTCTTCTTACCTCTTGTCACACGACATGGACCTCACCGAGAGATGCGATCCAAGCCGCCAATGACGTCGGGCTGCATTACGTCAAGTGCGAGGCGGGCAATTGAAGTTTCCGCGGACCCATCTGGCGCGGCTACTTGTACACGCGATCTCGCTATTTGTAGCGCAGGACTTTGTGGCCTTTCCGTGCCGACGCGCCGTCATCGCTACCGTACACTGTACATACATTCACACACCTCTGCGTGGAGGGCCTGGCGCGGAGCACGAGTAGCAAATTGCCGCTGTAACGCGCGCCGAGCTACTCTCGATCATCCGCATCGCCATCATCTCTCCTTCTTCCATGTCTCCAAGGTCCACGGTGGTAGTAGCTGCAAGGGCACGTGGTTGGTAGGGGCGTCGCGACCTCATATCCTGACATGACACGACGAGCCAGCGCCGTGTCTGTATCCTATCATCACCTCTCATCGCTTTGCAATTTCTGGATGCGGTCCGTCCATACCGGCGAGCGCGTGTCCAAGCACAGTCGTCGGAAGTTTGCTTGCCGCAATGTTGCGACCTGACCTAGGCTGCGAAAGGCTTGACAGACATGTCATTGTCGTATGCGCTGTATGGACCGTCGCGGCTTGTGTTCAGTCGATCTCCTACTGCCTGCATGCATACTATTATCCGTGGACGCGTGTATAAGACTACCTGGTATACACGGCGAGCCTGGGTCAGACATGGTGTTCTGCCCACGGCAACGTAATGGGCAACGGCAACTTGGCGATGTCTACGTGCAAAGGGCCAAGTGGGCGGATGCAAGGTACTATGGCTGATACTTGTAGTACACGACGCATCGACGCGCTGGATCTGAAGCCCGCTCCTCGTCGCGCCGCGGTGACGTCTCGGCGCACCGGACTGTCCAGCTGCGTTACACCCGGAGGACGCGCCGAGTTACATCTCGGCAAAGGCGTCCCGCGGGATCAATCCCTTGATCCAGCTGTACGATGTCTCCTACAATTAGCTTGGCTGGCATAGTCCAATTTCTCTTGTGCAGCAATGGCGTCCGAGACCAAGCCGACGTCGGCGTCCTTCACGACGGTGGTCGCACCCTTCTTGGCGTCGCTCTACGAGATCCTCTCCAAGGAGGACGCGAGCATCGTGGGCTGGTGCGACGACGGCAAGTCGTTCATCGTGCACGACTACGACGCGATGGAGCGCGACATCCTGCCCACGTACTTTCGCCACAACAAGTTTGCGAGCTTCCAGCGCCAGCTCAACTACTTTGGCTTCCGCAAACTCCACAAGGCCAAGGAGAACGACACGAGCAGCACGTACTCGCAGCCGTTCTTTATCAAGAGCGACCCGTCGCGCATGCTCCAAATCAAGCGCAAGACACAGCGACTCAAGACACCGACCGCCTCGTCGACCCCATCCTCCGGGCGCCGGCCCTCGAGTGCGTCGACGCCTTCGTCCAGCGACTTTAGCTTTTACAATCCCGAGATGCCGGCGTTCACGCGCAGCAAGAGCATGTCCGACCCGATGCTGTACCACATGAACTACGCGCCGTCGCTCTCCCGAAGCTCGAGCAACCCGACGCCGTTCGACACCACCGGCTACGACAACCGCCCGCACTTGGACTTTGACCCGCTCGCGCTCGAAAGCAGTCCATTCCTGAGCGTCCACGACCACAACAGCTACGACCTGCGACCGACGCTCGATCTGTACCCGCCCCAATACACACCGCACCACCAGACATACCACCCCCATCCGCAGCAGCAGCAGTCGACGCCAATGCACATGTCGATGGGCGTCGACACGCGCATGGCCATGGAGATGGCGAGCATGAAGATGGCGTCGTGGGCAGATGTCCGTCTCGAGCCGCCAACGACGATGAGTGACGCGAGTAGCGACATCCAGCCGATCCCGTTTCAGTGCACGAGCGGCAACGACAGCGTTGATTTCTCGTCCGAGGAGCTACAGATGCTCTGCGACGCACCGCTCTGCTCCTAATCGCTGCAGCGGTCCTGTATCTATACAACAGCTAGGATTCTTCTTCAACTACAACTATTCAATGTAAACGCGTGCCAACCAGCGCTTGTCTTCGTCTTCTCGCAGCACTCGACGATGACCGTGCCACGAGGTGCTTGCGATTACTGACACTCGCCCATGTGGAGGTAAATCGATCTGATTTGGGCCCGCACGACATCACTTCTGCAGCTACGATCTTCGTCTTGGAAACTGATACGTGCCTGTCGGACGGACTACGGGTCAGTGCCGGTATGCACAGCAGCCACAGTGCTCCTCTCAAGGCCAGTGACGCGAGTCATCTCGGAACGGTTGCGCATGCACGCCGCTCGCTCGACGACAGCCCCGGTTTTGTATCAAAAAGGATGCGCTGGGATTTTATGGCATGGACTCAAGTATGTTTAGCTGCCTTCGTCGTCCCGCCCAGAACCAGTCCCTACGCCTGCTTTCCTTGCTCCCAGCTGCGCGAGGCCAACTTGGATATTGCTCGACTCGATCTACTAGAGTATTGTCCAAGTGATAACCACCCTCTGCTTGACATCGAATGACGCGAGCGTTCGAGTCGTGGTCTGAGAGAAAACGATGCATTGAGAATCGCACCACCACGCTCACCTCTGTGCCGTCCACCTCCCACGGTTGGTACAATAACGGACGGCGTCGATCGCAAGATTGAGAATGCAATGGCTCGCATTGCGAGACGCAAGCGAGAGGCCCTCGACCATCGAGTGGCGGATTCGAAGGCGACCCATGCAGTCAGTACGTTTGCAGCGATGCATAATGGCAACGCAACAAACGGATCGATGATGACGAGTCTGCGTTGCTTTTGCGGGTTGAAATAGTGTCCTGGTGCAACGACGTAAGGACGGACGGGACACTCGCCATGGAGACGGTCCTTCTTCTTGTCGTATCGATAGCCACTTGCCGTTGACGGAAGAGCGGGTCATTACCAAACACTTGTACTAGTAAGCCTAATGGGGACGGCAAAGACGGAATCGTTGAGCTCCAACTATCCCTCGCCGAGGAAGCGACAAGACGGTGTGGACCGCGGAGCAAACGGTGGGGCACGTCGTGTCGAGTTGACACGATTACCACCCACGTGACCGGTGACGCGTCGATGCTGCGTAATGGCCAGAGGCGGCGCATCTACAGTTATCTGCTTGTCCTCGTTGTCACGACATATCCTAGCGTCTTCGCATTGGATGGACACGCGCCCTCACACGTGGGGGGAACGAAGGACCTCCTCTCTCAACTATCATCCATCCATGCTATCCATCCGTCTCGCCAGCAAAAGAAATGTGCGGTGCTGGTAAAAGCACTGTTTGTTGATGCAGCACATCTGGCGCTGGATCGCACAGAGACACTGCACGGACGCGCCGCGGCATCCCACTGTTGGCGCGGTGGTACCGGAGTAGACGGCGTCCTTGCGCTTGGGTACACGCGAGCCGTGTACTACGTCGTCTTGCACGTGGAGAACGCAGCGCCCGGTTATGCACTGGCATGCGGGCGATGGCTTCCTCGTTCCTTGCGCCGTCGCCGACCGCCAATCTCGTAACCCTGGCCCTAGCCACCATATCAGAGTGACATAAGGAGGGTTTGCATTTTTCACGGGATTCTTCACCGTGGTGTTTATGTGTGTGTGTGTGTGTAAAGAATGGCGCGAACGCGAAGATCCCGCCACCAAAATGCTCGGTCCATCGTCGTACGTCAGTGCCGAAGGTACTACTACCGATCTGCGCCAAAATGGGCCATCGCCTTCGTCATCCAGCACGTGGCTTCGGCTTCTTCTACTTGCATCATGCGCGGGATTCGAGCTGCAAGGCAGAACGTGCAATCCGGCGAAAATGACATGGCGTCACCGCCTCGTACTTGGTGCATACCGCGACGTCGACGTTGTTATCGCGACCGAGTAGGTTCGAGAGCGCGCTGATTCGCCCGTGCGGGACGTTGATATTCGCCGAGCACCTTGTCTTTTGTTCTCGACACCGTCAGACGCCGACTGTGGCCAGAAAAGGGACGTGCATTTGGGGCCAAAGGCCATATCGAAATGAAATGTATATGATATTCTATACCTACACATCTATAACGTGCACACCAATGCGGTCGCCATGGCAACAACCACGTCGCTGATAGTCGGCGGCGAGGTTGGGAGACAGACCTTCGGCGCCACCACCTCCTTTACCACCGTCGTGAGCCGGTTTAAAGTGACGGCTTGAAACGGAAATACACCAGTCCATACAGGAGCGACCACTGCGTTTGTTGAGGCGACCAGTTCGCACCAATTCGACCATCTTGTCTTTACTAATACGTGTATGCTGGGTGCGAATATCGCCGCGGCGCGTCACGGCCGTGAGATGCCATCAATGACAGACAGTCCATGCCGAAGCGAACAGTTACCACATGTGGATCTGGCTATCTCCCGCTCGAAGTCGAAGTTCTCACAGGTGGTCGTAGTACGACTCTCGGACCAAATGATTCGACACACGCTTGGCGCAGCTTTGTTCAGATTGCAATTTGCCTCGTACCTCAAAGAGCTACACTTACAATGAACACGTACCACCACCCGTCGACGCAGCACTACCACCTCGGCACGGGCTACTCACCGCGCACGGATGCGATGCTAAGCTCGGCCGTCGCGCCCTTCCTCGCGACGCTCTACGAGATCCTCACCAAGGAGCACCCGAGCACGATCTCGTGGTGCCATGACGGCAAGGCGTTTGTCGTCTACGACTACGACGCGATGGAGAGCCACATTCTGCCCACGTACTTTCGCCACAACAAGTTTGCGAGCTTCCAGCGCCAGCTCAACTACTTTGGCTTCCGCAAATTGCACAAGGCCAAGGAAAACGACTACAGCTCCGTGTATTGCCAGCCCAACTTTGTTCGGGACGACCCGAACCGGATGCTCCTCATCAAGCGCAAGACGCACCGCCCCAAGGCCACGACGCCGCGCAACGGCGCCGACAATGTGATTGCGATCCCGATCCTTGTCCGCTCCCGTTCGGCGTCCGAGCCGCCGGCCGCGACGACGTCAGCTCCGGCGCTCTCGCGCAGCCACTCGGCGCCACTGCCCGCGTCGTCGTCAGCCTTCAACTTTTCGTGCCCGGGGGACGCCGACTTTGTCCCGATGTCGTACGGCCGGCCGCAGAGCCTTCCGCCGGCCGAGGACTTTGAGACCAAGGTCGCGCTCGAGTTTGCGGCCATGCAAATGTACTCGTGGCACAGCAACACGCTGCCGAGCCCGTGCGACGTCGAGGCGGTCTTGCAGCCGATTCCGTTTGACGCAAAAAAGGGCGACGAGCCTTTTGAATTTTCCCCCGAAGACCTCGACCTCATCTCTGCCTTTGACCCGTTCGTAGCGATCCTTTAAGACAATCGCGTAGGGTATTTATTCTGGTAGTTTTGCTGTTTAATAGCGTTTACTTGGTCAAACTTGCGTGTTCTTGACAATTACTTTGCCATTGATGGGGGCGGTAGGAGGACGACGACGCGGCGACGGAAAGGCGGTCATGCATCCAGGTGGAAGCGGACACGGCGTCACCCGTGCGCTATCGAGCGCTTTGTTGAAGCATGCCATGCGACGTTGAACGCATCGCAGAGGCACTGCGCACGCCGTAGCAATACAGTCCATTTTCGTCCGACCAACAAAGCAAACTCGATCCAACAAAGTAGAGAAAGAAACATGCGATGGCCTGACTATGCAAGTGTTCTTGCCTGGAACAAGGCCGCGCCAACTGGTTGATGCATGATTCGTATCACCTCCCTTGGACGTGATCACCCATATGAAGAAAAAGGGACGAAAGGGGATACGAAATGGACGGAGACGAGAAGCAGCGTGTTGAGTGCTCGTCCAGCTGCCGCCAATTCAGCAACAAATGGCTATGGGATGAGTGCCATTCTGGGCGGGCTGTGATCATTTCAACGAGCCTGATGCTGATGCGCTGAATCATCACGAGAGCTAGCCAAACCAGCAGGATATGTGCATCGATCACACCGAATCCTACACACCTCAGGTGGCAAAATGCATGGCTCCACGAACGCATTGGATCGCTTAACGAGATCCAGTACTATGGCGCAACTCTGACGCAACCTACCACTGGTGCGAGTAGAGATGGGTCATGTAAACTAAGCGGCCTTACATGACCAGGCTACCCGAGACAACTGTGTGTCCCAAAGTGTCTTTGGCAGCGTCTTTGGCGCCACCGTTCGACGACTGCAATATCGTCAGCGAAAAGCTGCGCTATTTGAGCGCATTTCGCAGCCTCTACGCTGCTTGTCAAGATAACACAGCTCGGATACAGTGCCATGTACCGCTGCGACGATACGGGCGCGGAGGGGGATGCGCTGTCGACTCGGCGCTAGCAACCAACGAGAAGCAGCAGCAGCCGTCGAAGTGATCGCTTCGCACCTTGGCGACTTGGGACCAGACAGCTGACGACAATGGGATGGTTGAGCGCCGTTTACTGTACTCGGAAACCACCTCGTACAAACCTCTCCAGTCACGAATCCGAGTGCGTCTGGCATAAACTCAGCAGCCAACTCTCATGTTTCTTGCGACCTAGAGTCGACGGGACATCACTCAACACGTCATTCAAGGTATCACAATCCATTATTATGCATTTATGCATTCCCCTGTTTTCACCACCAACTTCGTCATTCAGCGCAACCCGAAGGAAGATCGTAACCGCTTCGAGAATGTATGATGTTTTGAGAGTGTAGGTAGGGCGCATGAAACGCTGTTACGTGCATCGTGGGTGGCTTTCGTCGCGCCCCGCGATGCTGTTGTTCATGGCCAGCGTCTTCTTCTCGTAGCATGTTGCAATAGTAGACGCCGTTTGGATTCCTCTTTAGTTGCTACTCTCGTCCTCAGACGCGCACCTATTCTGGTTGAAGCCGTCGAACACGCATCGTTTAATCTCTTTGAGGCAACGTCAGGTGCGATAAGTGGACAGAAGAACATGTTGCAGATGTTAGGGCTATATGGCTATGTGGAGCACATTGCTACTGGCACACAGCGACGACACAAGGGTACATGAACGCTACAGACCACGGAGGCTGCTACGCTAGTCAAGACCGCTACAGACCACGGAGGCTGCTACGCTAGTCAAGACCGCTACAGACCGATGAGGCTGCTACGCTAGTCAAGACCGCTACAGACCGATGAGGCTGCTACGCCAGTCGAGACCGCTACAGACCACGGAGGCTGCTACGCTAGTCAAGACCGCTACAGACCACGGAGGCTGCTACGCCAGTCGAGACCGCTACAGACCACAGAAGCTGCTACGCTAGTCGAGACCGCTACAGACTACGGAGGCTGCTACGCTAGTCGCTTGTGCTCGAGGTGGCAGCTTTACTAATGACGAATTCAAGTGCTGCAGCCAGTAGCGCGTAAAGGACATATTCGCCTTTACGCTTGTAAAGTGTGTTCGAGAGTTTTTGTGCTCCTTGCGTCGGGACGCAGTCGCGCGGACTGGCATCGATCACGCAACATACACGTGAGCCATAGCTCCTACGTCTCAGACGATGCCATAGCAGCGTTCCGTCCTCTCGCCACCGCTCATCGACCATCGACCATTTTCGGGCCGCCGCGCAGCTGTGTCGAAAGCGGATCCGTGTCAATGCAGCCATGTGCATCGCGCGACCGTCCATTCTTTCGGCTTGCACGGTGCAGCTCTCCATCGACGCTAGCGGCGTGCTCTGCTCGGTTGGGCCGGCGTGGCTGGCCTCGTGCTCCTCCCAGTCCACTTCTCAAACGAGGAGGCAATCGTGGCAGCGCGCACCCAGCACGAGCTCGTCGGCGACTGGTATTGATCATCGGCTCCTCTCGTTCTCTTCCATACCACCAACCCGCTCGTCTACCTGGATCCATCAACGCCATGCCCGTGCTTCCTGCGTCGTTGGCGATGCGAACGACGAGGTCAAAGTACTTATTAAGGTGGTGGCTTACGCCGTCTTGAGCGTCTTCTTTGCCGCCCTCCGTCGTCGCCACGCAATGACGGCGAGCACAACCAGAAAGGCGCCCGCTACCATGAGACCCATCGACTTGATGGCGTCTTCAAACTCGAGCTGGCGGAAGCGCGAGACGCCCTCAATGCTCTCTGAGAGCCGGTGGAGGACGTTGATGAGCGCAATGATCTCGTTGCGCGCTAGCGGCGGCAGCGTCGAAATGTCGTCGGCCAGCAAGATCTTGATCGCGGTGCCCAAGCCCAAGATCTGGATCTTGCCCCAGAGCCGGCACTTTTCGCAAGTGACGCAGTCCATGATGCGCGAGACGTTTTCAAACTTGCGCTGGAACTGGTCGCGCTGGTGGGCGACCGAGACGCCCTTCGAGAAGAGCATCGTCTCGTTGAAGCCGGCGAGGACCGCGCGCGAGTCGGTCGGCGCGCGGCAGCTCGCGTTGAAGGCCGTATTGTCCACGTCAAAGAGCGCGCGGAGCACCTCGGGCACGCGCTGGTCGTCGTAGTCGTTCCCGGTCGCGTAGTCGTAGTTGAGGAGCACTTCGCGGTACCGCCCGACCGCGCGCAGGACAAAGAGGTAGGTAAAGTACATGTTCTGGAGCCGCTCCGGGAACGCGCCGACGCGGTCGACAAACATCTTGGTGTTGGGGCCCCAATGGTCGCCAAAGCGAAAGTCGAGCGCGACGTGGGTGTTGATGGATGTGTGGAGACCCGAGATGAGGCGGTAGTAGACGCGCTCCTCGAGGCAGAGCTCTTTCGAGTGAAAGCAGTTTTCTTCATAGATGGCCTTCCAGACACGCCACGCCGAGTTGCCGCTGTAGCCAGTAAAGCGCTCGGGGTTCTCGAGCAAGTTGACGTACATCATGGCGTCTTCGTTGGGCACGTCATCGGCGACGGCCGCTGTCGACCACGGGTTGAAGTTGGTGCCGACGGCGGCGTTCGCGCGGTCAATCTTGGAGAGCTCGCCCTCGCCGCGCTGGTCATCACAGGGCTGTTGCGCCTCGCGCTCGCGCGCTTCCTTCTCGGCCTCGTCCTGCGCATACCACTTGGCAGGGATCTCGTCCTTGGCACACTCGCACACGGAGCAGTCGCGGTTCGCGCACTGGTTGTTCGAGTGCCAGAATGGACACTCTTTCGTCAAGTCGGCTTTGAAGTACCGAAAGAACGAGAGCGTCCGGAGCTCGTCGAGGAGCGGGTGGAAGTGGGCCTGCGTCGCCACGTCGACCGTCTCGTAGTTGCAGCACGAGTCGGTGACGGTGCCCGTGAGCTCGGGCGTCTTGCACACTTGGCACTGGATGTTGCGCACCATGTCGGCGGGCACGTAGCCAAAGACGGCGGCGGCCTTGTCCTCGGCGGCGACGGCGCCCAGCAGCGCGGCCGCGCCGGCGAGCAGTAGCGTCTTCATCGTCGGCCGAAAGCTCCAAAATGAATGCAATGCGCTCGCCAAGGTGCGATAAAAATGGGCTCACTTGCACTTTGTATGCCACATACAAACATCAAGAGCTGTCGCTGACGTGGCACAATTTTTCTGCTTTTTGGCAGAGTCGCAGGCATACAAACTGCAAGTGTACGGTGGCGGGTTGGCGCCAAATCAACGCACAAAGAAAAGTCGAGAACGCGCAAATTCGGCGATTGATTCGTGGATTTTGGGAACCAAACAGGTAAATTGACGAGGCGCTTCCACGACGTATGAGGTGAGCCCATGCGGCGTGGAGGACTAGAATGTGTCACAACCGAGGTCATCCACGTTGTCGAGTACCGTAGATGCCATGGTGGTGTCGAGCCGAGATGCAGCACGCGGATGAAACGGACGCGCGCGCTGCTCGAAGGTTGTTGCCCAAGGTTTTAAACATGGGATTTGTAGATAGTAATGATAGACTCCATTGATTACGCTAAAAGGTCACTGGCAATTAGGTTTGACGAAGGTTGCGCGGCGATGCGGCCCCAGGACCGTACGGAGGAGGAGTCGTGGAGTCGGGGCACGGCGTAGGTCCGGGGTTCGGGCCGGGTTGAGGACCAGGCTGCGGGCCGGGTTGGGGGCCAGGCTGCGGGCCGGGGTTCGGACCGGGGTTCGGGCCGGGGTTCGGACCGGGTTGGGGGCCGGGTTGAGGTCCAGGTTGCGGGCCGGGTTGGGGGCCAGGCTGCGGGCCAGGGTTCGGACCGGGTTGGGGGCCGGGCTGCGGGCCGGGTTGAGGACCAGGCTGCGGGCCGGGACCCGGTTGCGGGCACGGAGTACGCTTGCCCCAGCCACCGCCGTTGTTCCAGCCGCCGCCGTTGTTCCAGCCGCCGCCGTTGTTCCAGCCGCCGCCGCCGTTGTTGTTCCAGCCACCGCCACCGTTGTTGTTCCAGCGACCACCGCCGTTGATGGTCCAGCGGCCACCTCCCTTGTTGTCATCGCAGTCGACAAGTCGGCCAAACGTCATTGCGTCCGCGGGTGCTTCTTGAGCTGCAAAGGCAACCGCTGCGAGCGCGAGGAACCCTTGAATGTACACCGAGACCATGAGAACGCCGATTGAAAAATGATTCCTTATCGCATTATTTCCCTCGTCACGCGCCGACCCTCATGGTCTTTCGTATGAAAAAGCTGGCGAACAACTGTGCACTCGCGTTCGCTTCGTTTATGGGACACGAACACACGACGACGACTTCCTCCGGATGGTGCATTCGGAGGCTGCATCCCACGTTCGCACGACGGCGTCCGTATGCATAACTTGTCATCGAGCGAGTTCAGCGAGTTGGCGGCTCACAGTCAACGCAGATGTGGCTCGTACCTCTGGCTACCCAAATCATGGGCGGCGAGGGAGACTCCACAACCGTAACATCCAGTGGCCCAGGAGGAAAGTGCGAGTTGTCCGTGCATCCGCCACAACACTTAGACAGAACGTGTGGCCCCACAATCCGAGACATGCTACTTCAAAACGGCGAGTAGCTCGTGTTCAGACGGAGTGATCCAAGGTCTTCATCGTGTTGATCCCATTTGACGCAATGCACGACCATCCTCTTCATACCTTTTCACCACCAAGCAGCCCAATGGTATGTATTCTCGAGGGCATTCATGTATGCACAAAATCGTTAGCGTTTTGGTCCAACCGCAGAGATCCTGTAATGGTAGCTGGCTACAGCAGAGTGTGGTGGTGAAGTCTATTCGACCGGCGTTGAAGTTGTGGCCTCGACGTCCGGTTACCATATTTATTGAAGATATGCATTTTATCTTACGAAAGTGAGGTAATTCGATACAAATTAAACATTAAAATACGTCTGTCTCATGGGCAGCGTATCCGGACAAGCGCATCTTGCGATCCAAGCACACCTTTTGATTGGCATGCACGGATTCGGAGACTCGAAGCTCGCGCTCGCGCTCGTCGTCCTCATCGTCGCGCGCTGCGTCGACCGCGTCGTCTACACGTACGTTCGTTTTCACGATTCGGTCGTTCGAAGCACTGCGTAGGCGCATTACGTTTGAATTCGGGCCTTTTTTGTGGTATTTTTCCAACATCATTTGCCCGCTCGCTTTTGCCTTGACGTGCTGGCCCGTCGTGTGGTACAAGCTCTGGTTTACGAGTATGGATGTCGGATCTATCTTCTGAAAGTCACTGTATCTGCGGCTTTTAGAGGACGTGACGCCCGAGATGAAAGCGTTTCCGACGTCGCGCTTCGCCTTCATGGCACTCCTCGACATGGTCAGTGGCTTCTTGGCTGCCTTTCCGACGCCTCACATTGGGTACCACACCTTCATTGACATAACGTCGATCTCGATGTATTTCCTCGTAGCGGCAACCTCGCCAACGTGCTCGGGCAATTCAACCTGCCGTTCAACATGATCATGTCGTACCTTTTCCTCCAAACCAAGTATCGCCGCATCCACGTGCTTGGTGCGATCCTCGTTGTATATGGCGGCCTCGTCGCGATGATTCCGATCCTGCACGGCGAGCGCCCGGCCAACTCGCCGGATCCGAGCCTCGGCTGGATCAGCATGTATGTGTTTGCGATGGTGCCCTCGGCGCTCTCGAACGGTATGGCCCCGTTTCGTTGTAGAATTTCTATCCACGTCGATGCCACTGGATAGTCTACAAGGAAATTGGCTTGAAGGACGTCGATTTGGATATCTGGTACACGAACGCGTGGATTAGCTTCTACCAAGTGGGCTGGGGCCTCTTGACGATCTGGACGATCCGCGTACGCTTTGACCATCTTAAGGCGTCTGGATTTTTCTCCGTTTTTGAAACTGCGCTAGATCCCCGTGTTTTGTGACCCACCAATTGCGTGGGCGGCATTTCCGAGCTACATTGCGGCCGCCAACGACTGCTTCCTCGGTCGCAACGTTACGCTCCACGGCGACGTCGTTGCGTGCGAGCACAACAGCGTCTTTCTCCTCTTTGTCCTCTACCTCGCCTTCAACCTCGTGTACAACCAAGTACGTTTTGCCCTCTTCGTGCATTGAGGGAACAAGTTGTTGACGATATCCAATTAGTTGATGCTATTCGTCTTCAAGGAAGGCAGCAGCGTCCTCTTTGTGGTCTCGTCGGCCATTTGCCTCCCGTTGACCGACATGTTGTACATGATTCCGTTCCTTGCGGGGACGCATGCGTCCCAGACGTTCACGCTCTACGATGCGTTTGCGCTCTTTGTACTCGTGGTACGTCTCCTGGATAGTACGATGTGGTTTGGATAGATCCCAAAACACAATCGATAGATTGGGATTCTCGTGTACCATTCGGAGAAGGAGCAGCGTTTGGATGCGTCCGGCACCAAGTCGGTCGAACGGTCGCCCATGTTTGCGTCGCCGAGCTTCCAGAAGACGCAAATGATGCGCGCCAAGCGAGGTATTTCTTCCCGATTTTCCCCACGAAAGGGTCTCAAGTCGGAGACCAGGACGCGTCATGTACCACCAGAGCCCCGTGACGTTTCGTCAGCGCAACTCGCCCTCCCGCCCGCTTATGTCGTTGCGCAACATGGTTTCGTACGGCAGCACGGCGACGGACAAGGTAGTTTAACGCCACCTCGTGCACGGTTCTGCGAGTCGGCCGGAAATATCAAGCTGGCAACGTATCGAGCTCCGATAGTTTGAAGCGCACAATTTGAAGATATCAATCGAACGATTGTTGCTAATTCATCAATCACTCTTCATCGGTGGAGCGCCAAACGCTTCCTTGCGTCTCTAGGGCTACCACCTCGTCATTTTGTCAAGCATGATTTGCTTGCAGTGGCCGCAGCGATTGCCTCTCGACCGCGCGTGGACCGAGTTAGAGAAAAAAGAAGAAATCTATCGTAAATATGATTGCCTCGGAGTTTAGAATGCTCGGTGGTGGCACGTAGAAGGCCTCCCTGAGCCAGCCATAGAGATAGGAATGTCTCTGCTGCCCAGTGCGTCAATACAACCCTTCTAGTTCGTGAGATTTATCGTTGGCAGAGAGCTTGTTCTCGATGGTAGGCAAGATAAAGACACTACAACTATCATTCGTTTACACACAGCTATGTATAATTTTGTTACTTGTCGACTTTTGTGACTTCTCGTTTTGGCAGCAGTCCACGCCATCGCCTCTACCGTTCGACGCATACCCATCTGAACGTTGGCGGTCTACACCATGGCCTCGGCCGCCTTCTTCTTTTGCTTTTTCTTTTTTGGCGTCTCTGGCGTGCGGAACGGACGCGACCCGTCCGGTGTGCCGTACGTTGGGCGATCTGCCGGCGAGTTGGACCGGCGCAAAAGCGGGCTCTTGCCTCGAAACAAAGGGCTCTGCCGGTACACGACACGGCCGCGCTGCGACCGCATGAGGTGCGTGCGCTGGAGCGTTGGCGATGTGAACATGGGCGACTTGTCGATGGATCGGCTGCCACCTGCGCTCACGCGCTTTTCCTTCTCCGAGTGGTAGACCAGAAGGCCGATCTAGACAAAGCAAGATCCAGACACATACCAGATCTTAGGGTCGTACCACAAGGACGAAGAGTGCAAAACCGTCGTAGATCGTGAACGTTTGCGACGCGCTCGCGCCCGTGATGAACGGAATCATGTACAACATGTCGGTCACCGGGAGGCAAATGGCCGACGAGACCACAAAGAGGACGCTGCTGCCTTCCTTGAAGATGTACAACATCAACTACAACCACACATGCGAGGTTTCAGGGTGAGCGATCTCATGGCGGATAGTACTTGGTTGTACGTCATGTTGAAGAGGATGAACCAGAGAAAAATGGTGAAGACGCCTTCGTCGCACGGGAGATGCTTCCCGTTCAACTCGACGGGCCGCCCGAGAAAGCAATCGTGGGCCTTTCCAACGTACGGCACAAACTCCGACCACGGCACTGGCGGGTCGCATAGCGCTGGGACCTATTCATGAATCTTATTTTGCGGTCACGAATGTTCATTTACCCGAATCGTCCAAATGGTGAGAATACCAAAGAGAATCTGGTAAAAGCTGATCCACGCGTTGGCGTACCAGATATCCAGATCCACATCTTTAAGACCAATTTCCTTGTAGACTGTCCATGAAGATGCTCAGACACGAGGTCAACGAAGAAGACGGAGGTACCGTTGGAGGCTGCCGCAGGAAGCAGCGCTGAGATGTAGAGAAGGATCCAAAAGGCGCTGGGGTCAGGCATGTTGAGCGTCTTGCCGCCCGTGAAGAGAGGAATCATGTTGACAAAGCCGCCGTAGAGTACGAGGATCGCGCCAAGAATGTGGCAGCGTTTGTACTTGGTGTTGAGGAAGATCGCCGAGAGAACCATATTGAACGGCAAGTTGAGCTGGTCGAGCACGTTGGCGAAGTTGCCGCTACAAGCAGATCCAGATTCACATCTAGATGAAGAGGACAAAATCCAGTTTGTGCATGGTACCCAATGTGCGGCGTCGGGAACGCAGCGAGGAGGTTGTACGCCGTGTCAAAAAAGCCCATGAGCGCGTACTTGTAGTGCGGAAACTTGCGCATCTCGGGCGTGATTTCATCCGTGAACCACATTTTGTACCTATATTGGTGAGCTCATCCCGAGAAATGCAGGTCGAGCGATACCACACGACGGGCCACGACGTGACCATGAAGGCGATTGGGAGAATAATGTTGGAAAAGTACCAAAGAAATGGCCCATACGCGTACGTGATGCGCCTAGTGTCATCGTCAAGACGTGTTCGCAGTCGGTACTATGGGGTACGTGTCAAGGACGCGGTCGACGCAACGCGAGAGGATGAGGCACGCAAGAGGCAACACGAGCTTCTTCGCATCGGCCGCCATGCTGCGAGGAAAACCAGCTTTGCCGTCTCGAACAAAGGTCGGGATTTTCGAAGCTTACACGACTCGCTACCAGACATCGAACAATTGTCCAACACGGACACGTTGTGCAATGCCGGCATTCAAGATACTAAAGAGGTCCATGGACGCCACTCGATGTACCCCGCTCAAAAATACTTCATATATGTACAACTTAAAAGTAGAAGAGCATCCCCCGCTCGATAGGATAGCAGCTGACGCGCCACGTCATCGCTCTGACCAGAACCTGCGGAACTTGGTCCGTAGGACAAAAGCAGACCATACAAGCGGACAAATTGCAGTCCTTCGCCCGCTGCAACGCTGATGTACGAGCTCAGAAGTCTAGGAGGATTGTTGGTGTTTAGTGAGCGAGGTGTTGTGCGCCTCAACTAACTACACAGCAGCACGCCAATGACTGTGGCATTGGACAGTCATCGTGTTGTGCTTATATACGACAAATGGAGGAGCAACAACACCAGACTTCATCGATGCGGTACTGTAGGGGGTAACAATGTTGCAATAGTTGCAGGCACATTGCATTTCGACCGATCAATAATTGGCATGTCGAAAAATCCTTCTCGAAATGCGAGCTCCATGAAGCGCTTCGGGTGTGTGCTCTTGGGGTCAGTGGAAGCATGAGTGGAAGCTTGCTGTCGGGAAAGCTACTCAGACATCAATTTGGCGCCACTGCGATTCTTTTTATTACTCTATTAATGTATAAAGGATATCTATGGATAGAGTTTAATTGAATTAATTTGGTTCGAGGAGATGTCATTCGTTCTACACAACACGACACAATATAAATAGACAGAGGTAGATCAAGAAATGATGCAAAAAAGAAGCCTCTGGGTCGGATCTTCGACGCCCTGATTGGCCAAAATTGTCAATGACGTGTTACCAATCAGCATCGCCGTGACGGAGCGTTTCATGGTGCGCTGATATTCGTATTAAAATATACATCGCATTGTTTTAAAATACCGTCCCGGCTATGATAGACGTGGTGCCAATGAGAATAAAAACACACATATTTTTATTCACCCCCTTGAATTATTATAGAAAGCGTGTAACGCTCCCAGCGATAAGCTTGGGGAATGTATGCAGCACTGAATTGGGCCAATTAAATTCAGAATGATGAGCCTCTTGCGCGTCACAACATTCCTCAATTTGACGCGCCTCCGACGATGCTGCCGCTTCGAAGCCTGTATGTAGAAACCTCCATGCTGCTAGGAAGCCGACGACCTCATGCACGTCTACGGTCCTAGGGAACTCGAGGCGACGGAGCCTGCTCTCGGCTATGAGAAGCCGGTGACTTACCGCGAGAAGCCCGAGACGACCGAGGTGCCAAGCCCGAAGCGTGCCAAGCGTGGTCACACTGACGAGCCCGCGGGCTCAGACCTAATCGAGGTTCCGCGGCGACGCAAGCGCGATGTCCTCAAGCAGATATCGATGCGCCTCTTCATGAGCGCGCAAGGCTACACGACGAGCGCGCTCCACAGCATCTTTGACCATCGCGTGGACGATGGCGACCAGGCTACGAACGACACGACGACAGCGCTTGCCGCGCCGCCATCCAGCAAGACGAGTCGCAAGCACCTCTGGCAATCCACGACCCGCGACGATACCTCGTTTCGGCCACGCTCCAACAGCGGTACGTCCATCGTCCGCCCCGCACGCCGTTTGTCTCATGCGAGTGGTTGCATGTACATAGGTGCCACGGGTGGGATCAACGTCAGCATGGACTTCTTCGTCTCGCGCTTCACGGATCCGACGTCGTACTTTTACAAGTACCGGTCCGACACGGAGACGGAGCCCAAGAAAGCGACCGTCGTCCTCGTGTGCCTCTCGTGGCTCAAGCCCCACGAAGAAATCGTGAGCTGGGAGCGCGTCGATGGCCTCAAGAAGGCCACGATCACGTGGGATGCCTACACGGAGCCGCTCCTTGTCGATGTCAAGACCGGTGCGATCCTTGATGGACACCACCGGTACACGGTGGGCCTCCAGCTCCAACTCAAGCAAGTGCCGGCGGTGCTCGTGGACTATCTGGGTGACGAGCAAATTACTGTCGACGTGTGGCCTGGCTGCGGCCGGAGCTCCCTCACGAAGCAAGAGGTCATCGACATGTCGCTCTCGCCCAACGTGTTTCCGCCCAAAACGAGTCGCCACCGGTTCACGGACTCGCTGCCGCCCATCTCGATCCCCCTCGCGACGCTCCGCGCCGACCCGACCGAAGGCACCCTCGGGTTTGGCTGCCCAACTGTCGCGCTCCTCCCCGAAGAGTCGACGACCGCTCTCGCAAGTGAGCCTCGCACGCGGAAGCGCGATTTTGTACGGAAAGCGTCGGTCCAAGTGCTCTCTGGTGCGACGCAGCTCGCGCTCTCGGTGGTCCGCGGTGTTTTTCGAGACCGGTTCCGAAGCATTGAAGCCCAAGCGTCGTCGTCGCTCGATCTCGTGTCGCGCCCGTACAAGAAGAACCCGAACACGAGCGATGCGTTCGATGCCATTCGAGCCAACGACCCGACGTCGTCCTTCTCGCGGATCAAGGGCCGCATGGCGCAGACGCTCGAAGACGTCATGGACGGCTCCAACAAATACCGCGACTTCTTCGTGTCGCGCATCACCGATCCGACCTCGACTTTTACAAGTACCGCTTCGACACGGAGCGCGAGCGCAGCCCAAAGCGGCTCGCAGTTGCCCTCGTCCTCGTCTCGTGGCTCAAACCCCACGAGCAAATCGTGAGCGAAGCCCGCGTCGACGGTCTCCGCCGCGCCACGGTCAAATGGGACGCGTACCTCGAACCGCTTCTCGTGGACCGCAAGACGGGCGCGATTTTGGAT